GCCAGGTCTGATAGTATCAAGTCAGCAGTCTTAAAAGACCTTATGCAGAGCAACGTAAGAGAGGCCAAAGGCAAGAGAGCTCAAGGTTGTGGCAGGAGATCAGTCGAAAGCAAATGAAGGAATCAGTAATGTCAAAGCTGAGATCAGCACAAAAGGAATAGAATGGGAGAATGGGGTGAGGGTAATGGTGGTCAATTCAGCAAATAGCTAGTGCTGTAGCATAGGGTTCTAGCTATTATTATTATTTCTTCCCCTAACCCCCAACCTTACATTCCCAGGCAGTTTCCTAGCCCCTAAATTTCTGCATGCCCTAGAATTTAAGTCCCCCCTAACCTAGCTTCATCCCACCCAATCTCATCTTCCTGATTTGTTTGAAGGGGAAAATCATCTGCATTATTTCATAAGATTTCAGAGCCCATATATGAAGTATATCTCTTACTGTTACTGCTCCTCAATATCAGCTGGCTATTTTATTATTTCTGAGTTACCAGCCTTCTTACACATGCCCTGCTGGTTTCTACTTACCTCTGCTAATGCTCTTAGCCTCCCTCACTTCCTTTCTTCTATGGGTCTGAAATCATCTTCCCTTCAAAGGTTCATTTCAAGTCCTACCTCTTTCCATTCAGCCTGAGTTAACTACTCTAGCCTCCATTATTGTTTGCCTTCTGTACAGCTCTGTATAACAACATGGTACATTTGTCATGGGGGAAAGGGAGCAGAGGAGATAATTCCCTCCATGTGATTATTAACTCCTTAAGTAATTTATAAGTTTTGAAAGGAAAGAACTGTGTCTTACAGAGACTGTATGTGTCTGTAAGAGAGAGAATTTTGGAATGAGGAAAAATAATCTGGTATTCCATCTTGGCTTAGTGACCTTTAGCAAATACCTCTCTATAGGCCTTAACTTCTGTGAAAAATAGGCATCATGCCCTGACTTCCTTACACAGGGATCAAATGTTTAGATCAAGATCATAACCCTCAGCACTTTTAACCTGTGAAGCACTGTAAGGAAGCAAGGTGTTATTAGAAGAGATGCTATGGTGTTACAAAAAAGGCAAGGGAATTTGGGGAATCTGAATTTTGAGTTATGTTTTTATTAATCTACTCTACCACTTACCCAGTACATGACCTTAAAAAGTTTTTCATTTCTTTGTAAAATGAGAATGACACCGTTACAAGGATTATAAGGCTGATGCTGACTTACACACCAATTTGTAAGAGCCAACTGTAACTTTGCAAGCAGGTTACTAAACCGTTATTAGCTTGAAATCTGCCATGGTGGGAGTATTTATACCAGAGAAATCAGTAAACACTACAAATCAGATTGTCCCTGTGTTTCTTCTTTTCTTTTTTCTTCTTTTTTCTGCAGAGCTGTTTTACCAGTATACTGCTGATTATGTAAACAGGACTGTGTAAATTGTAAGACACTTTGTCTCATTTATCAAATTAGAAGTAATAATGGTACAGTAATGCTTTGTATCCACAGAACTTAGCCTAGTGCAAATCACAGCTCCAGCATATATTTATTTAATACGTATATTTTTAATTTAACTTGGGTTCAACCTTGTATTATTTTGATACTTGTGCCCTGAGCTATAGGAGCCTGCCCCGCCACCCTGCATCTTTAGCTCTTCAAATCCTTCTCTACAAAGTATCTTTTTAAAATCAGATAACATAAATAAAAGCTTGGTACAGTGTGTAAGACACACAGTATAGGACTTAAACCTTCCATGTCTGTAACTGAGCTAATTACCTTCTTTCTAAACCTTTCTTCTGATATTTCATATCTCAGTGAATATTGCCCATCTATCCATTATCCTAAGAAGGTTATCTGAAAATCTTCCTCTCTTTTCCCTTTCCCTCACCCACACTCATATTTCATCAATCACTAGATCTTGCTTATTCGACGGCTTAAATCTGTCCTCTCCTCTTCATTACCATTGCTCCTGCCTTGGTTCAGGCCCTCATCACTTCCCACTTGAACTCTTCCTCCTAAGTGACATCTTGACTTTCAGTATTTCCCCTTCAATACAACCTTGACTTCTATAGATGTAATTTCGGATTACAAATTTGAGGGGCACCTGGGTAGCTTAGTCAGTTAAGCATCTGACTTTGCTCTAGTCATGATCCCAAGGTCCTGGGATCCAGCCAGGCTCCCTGCTCAGCAGGGAGTCTCTTTCTCTTCTGTCCCTCCTGCACATGCCTGCTGTCTCTCTCTCTCTCTCTCTCTTTCTTTTTTTTTTTAAGATTTTATTTATTTATTCATAAGAGACACACACACAGAGAGAGAGGCAGAAACACAGGCAGAGGGAGAAGCAGGCTCCATGCAGGGAGCCCGATGTGGCACTTGATCCTGGGTCTCCAGGATCACACCCTGGGCTGAAGGCAGGCACTAAACCACTGAGCCACCCGGGCTGCCCTGTCTCTCTCTTTCAAATAAATAAATAAAATCTTAAAAATAAATAAATTACAAATTTGACCAAGTCACTCCCTTGCTTAAAATTTCTTAATGGTTCTCTGTTGTCTTGAGGATAAAATCTAAAAGCTTTAGTTTGTCACCAAGGTCTGCCACATTCTGACCTTTGTCTGCATCTTATAAGAGTTATCTCCTGCTACTCCCCAATACTTCCTGGAATGTCTAGTCTCACTTTTACCTGGCTTACCCTCCAACCCAAACAACATTTCCTCTATGACATCTCTAGACATATTTGATGTTGATTTTTCTGAGTCCTGTAGCACCTTGTTCATGTCTGTGTACCCTATATCTAACTACATGGTTCTTATAATCAATTGGTCTTTCCCTCTAGATGTAAGTTCCTATACAGTGGAACCCTATGTGCCATTCATTAATTCCTAACACATTGTATAGCATGTAATAGGAGCTCAGAACATGTTTACATGAATGAATGAGACTTCAAAGGATAGGGTATTTTCATTTTCATTCATGCAAGCTACTCATAGTGTGTTGCAATGAAAAAAAGACTTAAAATTTGGATCTCAATAATGCAGATAAAAATTAATAAAATAGAGATAGTTTCTTTTTATCTATACCCCCCAACATGGGATATTATGACCCCCATCACCTTCAGGATATAATCCAAGCTTCTTAGTCTAGCATACAAAACTGACAAAAAGGTCCCTTTCTCTCTATTCTTATCTTTCTCTGTATACATACATATAACCTACATTCCAGCCACTTCAATTGGTCATATTTTTAATGCCTTTCCTGCCTCCTTACCCTTGTTTGTACTTTCTCCACACCTGTGACATCCTCCCTCTTTTCTCACTCACCCTTTTCCTGCCGACCCAATGAGGTTTGATGCTTCTAACTGATCAATAGTTACCACCTTTGAGCAGCTGGCCCTAAAAGTATCCCTCCCTCTTCCGTGCTCCCAGAGCACTTGATTGGCTCATTATAAGCACTGTACTGCCAATCATTGTTGGTCTGTTTCTTGCCCCCTCTCTAAAGTGAGATTATCTTTATACCATGGCTTCTATTAAACACATTCTAGATGTTTAATACAAAGCAAAGGAAGGAAGGAATAACTATTATATGGAGATTTGTAAAGAAAGTAAATTTCTGGGATGCCTGGGGGGCTCAGTGGTTGGGCATCTGCCTTCAGCTCAGGATGTGGTCCTGGGGTCCTGGGATCACATACCGCATCAGGCTCCTCATGAGGAGCTGCTTCTCCCTCTGCCTATGTCTCTGCCTCTGTCTGTGTCTCTCATGAATAAGTAAGTAAAATCCTTTTTAAAAAAGTAAATTTCTGGTAAGAGACATACAATGAATAAATTTAAGATTGAATTTGCTTCAAACTGACCAATCTGGACAATTCCATGTCTTTATTTTCAGAAGTTGGGTGGCCCTGAAAAATTGGTGCTAATGGACAGATCAGAAACAAAAAATAAGTTTAAAGCACGGGGGCTGAGTTTGTTGCCCCAGATTAGGTGCATTACCGTAAAAACAGATTTTGTATCTTAGGAATTTGTCTTGTCCCATACATGACTTAATGAATACCTACATGACTTAATGAATGCCTTAGAAAGGAACACAATCCCCCAGTGGATAAAACACTAAAGAAAATAGGAAAAAAAAATGAGCAGAATGTTGTTTCTAATAAAACTGTTTACCAAGACATTTAATTTCTCTTTGGGAAGGGAAACAATTTTTTTTCTGATTATGAAACTACCATGTAGTATTTGTCAGTCTGTTTAGGTGGCTATAACAAAAATACCATAGACTAGATGGTTCAAACAACAAACATGTATTTCTTACAGTTCTGAAGGCTGTGAGGGCTCCACCCTTGCCTAATCACTTCCCAAAGGCCCCGTTTCCAAATACTATCACATTAGGGAATGGGGTTCAGCATATGAATTTTGGAGCAAGGAGATAAAAAAATTCACTCTCTAGCAATATATTAATACAGAATGCCTGGAATATTAAAAAAAAAACACAACAATATAAACCCCTCCCAAATCTAACCACTGAGAATTAACAATAATTAATAGTTAACAATAGTTAGTTAATTCTTGGGATATATTATTCCCAATCTTTTTTCTTGTATGTGTTTGTGTGTCCTTTCTAGTAAAAGGTGGGGGGTGGGTGAAACAGGTGATGGGGATAAAGGAGTCCACTTGTGACGAGCACCAGGTAATCCATGGAAGTGCTGAATCACTATATTGTACACCTGAAACTAACATTACACTGTATGTTAACTGGAATTTAAATTAAAACTTTAAAAAATTGTAAGGGTTTATGTTGTATATATTGTTCTAATCTGTTTTCTGTGTTAACATGTCATGAACGTTTTCTCAGATTCGTAAAAAATACTCTTCTACAACATAATTTTTAACTGCTGCACAGTATTCCATCATTTGGATGTATACCAGTGTTTAACCAATTCCCATTGTTTCAATGTTTTTGTTATTATAAACAGAAGTGTAATAGTGTGGCTGACTGCAGGAAGGGCGATCTCATGTCCTTCTCCTATTTTCCCCAGGTTTGGGAGCCTCCTCTTGCATCAGAATTCTGTCCTAATAATCCTCTGAGTGTCATCTCAGGACCCTGGGCATACTCATGGCACGATGGCCAACCCTCAGGAGCACCTGAGCTGCTCCTCTTCCCCACACTTACCCTTGAGTGAAAACAGAACCTTCAATGGACTACAAGATGAACTCACACCTATGGGGAGCCACCCCTCACCCAAGCTCCTTCAGGACCAGCAGGAAAAGGGGGTGGTACAAACAGAGCCAAATGAGAGCATGAACAGCCCCATCACCACAACAGTGTTGACCAGTGTGAGTGAGGATTCCAGGGACCAGTTTGAGAACAGCGTGCTTCAGCTGAGGGAACAAGATGAATCAGAGATGGCCGTGTCTCAGGGGAACAGCAACGCCGTGGATGGAGAGAGCACAAGTGGAACTGAAGACATCAAGATTCAGTTCAGCAGGTCGGGCAGTGGCAGTGGTGGGTTTCTGGAAGGACTGTTTGGATGCTTAAGGCCTGTATGGAATATCATTGGGAAGGCATATTCTACTGATTACAAATTGCAGCAGCAAGGTAAGCTAGAGTGGGAACCTGGGAAATATTTCCTGGATAAACACACCACCACCATTCACTGGATAACCTCTGATTAAAATGCTAGTACCAGATGAATACCCTGTACCAATCTCCTACAGACCTTCTCACTGGAACAGATTCACATTTGGTTGGTCTTGTTTGGCCAAAGCCCATCTTCTATAGTTGTCCAGCCTAGTGGTGTCAAGTAGAGTACATAGAAGACAACCCATAGTGTCATGAGGGAAGAAAACGTTAGTGGGCCTATTCCTTCTATCACCATTTTAAATTTCTATTTTCATGCATGTTCTCATATATATTTGGTATTTTAATAAAGTTGTGCAGATACATAATTTGTAAAATCACATAATGCATGTTTAAAATTTTTTTATTGAAAGTTTATGTAATCAAAAGGTCTGATGGCCACTGGATTAATTCAAAGCCACACAGAAACCACGTGGTTCTGTGCCTTAAGATTGCCTGCCTGCCGTAGGTTGTAGTAAAAAGGTATCATTTTCTTACAGCCAAGGCACAGAAAGCTCACATTGTGAGAAAAGAACAAATATACAACCAATCTTGAGAAGCATTATTATGTCTAGATCCCACAGCTTTTTAAAAAGTAAATTAACTCCCATCATTGTGTGACATGCATATTCATATATTCCAATTCAAGCATTGTGCTTCTGAAGTAAAGAGAACACATGGCCCCAGTGTTCTTTATAACTTCATTTATATTCTTCAAAAGAATTTTTTTCTTCCTGATAGCAAATGTAATATATATGGAAAAATTGGAATATACAGGTAAGTTCCCCCCCCAAAAAAGTAAAAATATTTATCTATGATCCTCGGTCTCCATTATTAATGTTTGTGGTATGTATTATGTTAGTCTTATTATGTGTGTTTATGTGTGCTTTAAAAAAAAGAGTCAAACTATTTTGTTATGGTTTTTCACTTCACATTGTGAACATTTCCCATATCATGAAATATACTTCTTTAGCATTTTTAATGCCTGCATAATATTAAATTGTGTGAATGTGCCAAGATTTCTTTAAGCAACCCTCTATTGCTTGGCAATTTGTTTGCTATTTTTAGTGATCATAAGCTACACTGCAATGAACATCTGTTTATTAATTAATTTTCACCCATATCTTTATGTCTGTGATTATTTTTTATTATATTTCTAATTTCCTTAAGCTAAATCTTTAGAAGAGGAATGATTGGTTTAAAAGAGTTTGTGGCTTTTTAAAGCTTTTGATACATATCTTTGTAGCTAGCCTGGCATAAATCATTCCATTGTTAACCGTTCTCTCATCAAGAAACTTTGGAAAGGACCAGAAATGAGATTCTGTCTCATTTATTTCATAACTGAATGTTGGACTCTGTGACCGTCTTTTAAAAATATACTCATTTGGGGGCACCTGGGTGGCTCAGTCAGTTGAGCATCTGCCTCTGGCTCAGGTCATGATCCTGGGGTTCTGGGATCAAGCCCTGTGTTGGGCTCCTTGCTCAGCGGGGAGCCTGCTTTTCCCTCTCCCTCTATCCCTCCTTCTGCTTGTGCTCTCTCTCTCTCTCAAATGAACAAATAAAAATCTTTTATAAAATTAAATAAATATATTCATATCTTTCATTCAAGACTATTGACAGCTTTTCTGCAGCAGCCAGTTGACCTCAGTCACCATTGCCCATTTTTCTCGTGCCTTCTATTTTTCCTATTTCTGAAATACTTTCTCTTAAACCAATACCAACTTCTCCTTCCATATCCTTAAGTGTATTGGGATTTGGTGGTAAATCAGTTGATCTCAGGCATGCTTTCCAGGATTTGTCAATCACAGCATCCATTCCTGCTGCATTCAGAAATTCTTTGTCAGTCTCTGGGTTTGGTATGTCTGTCTCTCTCTCTCTCTCTGTCTTTCATACATCCTCCCATCCCATCCACCTTGCACATTCCACCCTTCTTTCCCCTTCTTATGGTCTTAAGGTTTCAAGGAAATTAAAAAGCTGTAATTGGGGATCCCTGGGTGGCTCAGCGGTTTAGCACCTGCCTTCGGTCCAGGGCGTGATCCTGGAGCCCTGGGATCAAGTCCTGCATCGGGCTCCTTGCATGGATCCTGCTTTTCCCTCTGCCTGTGTCTCTGTTTCTCTCCTTCTCTCGTGTCTCTCATGAATAAATAAATAAAATCTTAAAAAAAAAAAAAGCTGTTCTTTGTCACATGAAGGTTGGGGGTTTCAATGTTAAACAGTGTTATTATTTTAAAAACTGAGAATAAAAATAAGCACAAAGAGGAAAGTACTTGATATCCCACAACCCAGAGATAACCACTCTTAATTTATTATTTTTTAAAAAGTTCCCTCTTCTCTGCTCAGATGCAAAACCTACTAATATCTGTTTATGTGTTAAACTACCTTTGGTTTTTAGGCTCTTCACTTGCCCAATCAAATAATTATTTTGGCGGTAATTTGGAGATCTCAGGATCCAAATGCAGCATTGAGCTTCAGGCTCGTAAAGATGGGCAACTGACACATCCTATGTGGCTGTCAAAAGGAGCTTTAAAAATTTTGGAGGGTGTTTGGGTGGCTCAGTTGGTTAAGTGTTCAATTCTCCATCGCAGCTCAGGTCTTGGTCTCAGGGTCATGAGTTCGAACCCCGTAATGGGTGTGAAGCCTACTTTAAAAAAATAATTTTTAAAAAATTGTCCTGTAGACTTCTATTTAATTGTCTTCCAATTGATTATGTGACTGTCAGAAAGGCTTATTTAAAGAGTAAATAAGAAATAGGCCTGGTCATCTTAAGCTTACAAAGCACCTTATAGCTGCCTAAATCTTCAGCAGATGACAGGATACCCTACTGTGGCTGGTGTTGCCGGGGCCATCAAAGAGACTCACTAGCCAGAAACTAAGGTAGTTTTTTCCTTGTCAGCTCTGGGATCAGGGAGCTAATCTTTAATCCTGGATTACAATCAACTAAAGGATAGTACACAGAACAGATGTGTCTCTACTCTTGGTACTTAGGAGAAAATTTCACTTGATTTTTCAAAATTTTAATGAATTCTTCACCTCCCATTTAGTATGTTAGTAATGAAGTCCAAGTAAGGTAGTATGTGTAACTGAAATCTTTTACTGCCAAATAGTTCCCAGTCCTTAATGCAAGTATTATCATAACCACGTCTGAATATAAACAAAGGAAAAATTATGCTGTAAAAGTAGATGGGCACGGGGCTTTTTCTCAGTCTTAGAGATCATGGTAGATATTGGAATTAAGACAGGACTCAGAGTGATGAATCGGAAGATAGAAGCTGGGGAAGAGTACCAATGGACAGATACAAAAGCAGCAGAAAGTCTGAGACTAACCCCAGAGCAAACACAGCCAGGTTCCATTGTTAATGTCGTTATCTTGCTGTCAGTTAGTGGGGGCCCTGAATTTTGCACATCCTCATTGCTAACATTCTTTTTTCTGTTTTTTTTTTTTTTTTCCTACTCCTTGGCTTCTGACTAGATATTGAGAGGGATATTGGGATGAGACAAAAGGACTGAATCACATCAGTTTTACTTCTGATAATTAGTTCCAGTAAAAAGATTGATAGGTGGTTGAAGTATTACTTTACACTCTTTTCCTGAATTACCAGTGTGGTCCACTCTATTTTTCTATGGATAATTAAGACTTGGCTAAGCATAGCTGAACAACACAGGCATGAGCTATTGTTGGTAGAGGAAAATTTTACTCTTTAGTATAATATCGTCAACCTTTGGTATTTGAGTGCCAAATGTATTTATCATTTATATTTTAATAATTCATTTATTTCCCATTTCATACAATGCTAAATAATAGGCATTATTTATTTCAAAATATAAGAAATTGTAGGGGCACCTGGCTGGCTTAGTCATAGTACATGTGACTCTTGATCTTGAGGTCATGAGTTAAAGCCCCATGTTGGGTGTAAAGTTTACTTATTTTATATAAATATAAATATATATACACGTGCATATATATATATATGCATATATATAAGAAATTACAATATAAACATTATAAAATTATATAAAAAGAAAGAATTATTTAATAAATTGGTTTGGAATCATTCAATAACAATATGAAAAAAATTAATTTGCCTTGGTCCTCATACCATACATCAAAAAAAGCTCCAGATGGATATAAAGATTGAACTTTTTTTTAAGATTTTATTTATTTGACAGAGAGAGAGCACACACGAGCAGGAGGAACAGCAGGGAGAGCCCGACATAGGGCTCCATCCTAGGACCCTGGGGTCATGACCTGAGCTAAAGGCAGATGTTTCACCAACTGAACCACCCAGGTGCCCTGGATGTAAAGATTAAATTTAAAAAAAGAATCAACCATAGATTACTCTCAGGAGATTGATTGGTAGTAGAAGAAATTACGAAGGAAATGACAGGCATCTATGAAAATAATGTGTTCAAAAAATAATAAAATATAAAGTAAGTTTTCAAAAATATATTCTGATTCACATGTATTCAAGAAATAAAAAAGCCCTTCAAGTTTATGAGAACTCTGGGACCCCGGCAGATAAATGCACAAAGCATAATTGTGACAATTCATGCAGAACAACCGTGAGCATTAGACAAATGTGGAGAAACCTTCCACATCACAGGCAATTAAAGTACTGCAAACTTGGGGTGCCCGGGTGGCTCAGTCGGTTGAGCAGCTGACTCTTGGTTTCGGCTCAGGTTGTGAGACTGAGCCCTGCACTGGGCTCCTTGCGCCACGGAGAGTTAGCCTGTGATTCTATCACCCTCCCCCTCTGCCCTGCACTCTCTGTCTCTCTCTCAAATGAATAAATCTTTTAAAATAAATAATAAAGTAGTGCAAACTTATAATACATTACCTTACACCTAAATAAATTAGAAGCCAGAAGACTATCGACAATATTCATTGATGACAAACTTATAGTCAAAGGGACACACTTATGCTTTACTGCTCTCAGCAAAAACTAGCGAAACCCTTTTGGATGGCAAGTTAGAATGTATAGCAAATTGTACTGTTTAACCTAAGAACTGAGTCTGAGGAAATAATATAAAGAAAGAAAAAAGTATCAAATTTAGACCAGACAAAAAGATGGAAACACTCAAGTACAGAAAAAGTACAAGGGTATAGTGAGCAACTATGAAAAAGCTTATAATAAAAACTGGAAATACATGGGATATACACATTACCTGAAAAAAGTGTAAAAGATTATGTGTCACCTACAACTTCTACATAGTTGCATACATATGAGCAAAGACTGGAAGAGAAGATGAAAACTGAATATGGAATGGGATTGTAGATAAAATGCTTTTGTTTGTTTTTTTCTAATATTTTCTGGTGTTTCTAGCATTTAGCAGTAAATAAAGGTTCAGTAAATGGGGGAATAAAACACCCAAAGATGTCTAATTTTAGTAGTTACTACACTTAAAATTAGGATAGTTTGGGTTTTTATAAGGTTTTTCAGGAAAATATAGCCCACTATGTTCTTGCCCCAGAATCCAGTAATAGTACTTTATTTGGCCCCAGAGTGGCCAAAGTGACACTGTGTCTAGTTCCTCACCAGACAGACCCCTAACAAGTAAAACCTTCTGATGGTGTGTTATGGATATCTGGGTCCTGCGTTTGCTGCACAGATAAGCCTGTGGGGATGGAAGTGGGCTGTGTGACACACTTAACTCTTGTCAGTCATTCGAAGCCAGAAAGATCCTCAAAGCAGTCAAACCCACGTAACTCACTCATTCCTCCTGCATCTGACTTGGTATCATTTTTTTATTCAATGATTTCGTATTTGTGATCTATTTGTATTTTAGAGAAATTGTTTTTATGTAGCATCTATCTAATTTCGGCAGAGCAGAAACCTTCAATCTGCTCAGAGCAAAAGAATGGGTTAAATACCTATGCTGTCAACCATCCTCACTGTAATTTGTCCTGCTCCATGTCATTTTCTCTGGAAGGTCATGTTTTAACCACTATAATGAGAGGCCACATTTTATTAAGACTCTGCAGAATTTCTTTTCTCTCAAGGTTGAGAAAATTAGAAAAGAGGAAAATGTAGTTCCTTCTAGGTCCTGATGACCTCTTTCTGCTGCTTCTTCACTATGGTAGATGTGAGTTGATCTGCTTTCAAGATCAGAATATCTTCAGAGCTGACTCAACACTACCTTGTTCAATGTTCTGCAAACAGTGACCTTTTAGTGCTTGATGATCTAATGAAAATCCTCCGTAACCTTTAACATTGTCATCATCCTCTCTCCACTCTGTGGGACTCCTAGTTCTTTGATATTTATTTCTTACCAGTTGACAATGAACTGATAAAAAGGGGGACAAGGAGAAGGATCATATTCTCCTTTTTAAGTTCCATGAGATTAAAGCACATATTGATGGAATTTTTGAGGTGCTTTATCTAAAAATAGCATTTTATTCATTATAAAAGTAATACAGGCTCAGGTTAAAAAAATACAGGAAAGAATAAAGAATGTAATGTGAATCATCAATAATGTCACCACTTAGAAATGACTCCTGTTACTGTTTTGGTGCAAAGAAAATCAACTTCTAAGAAAGAGAGAAACTGGAAAGTACTGCATCTATATGAGTAAATCTATCATGGCTAATGACCCTCTCAATTACTTCATGAGAGGCAATGTGGTATAGTGGAGTATAGTGGAGAAAGCACTGTCCCTGGATTCAGCCATTCTTGAGCTCTGGGCCCAGTTCTGCCACTTACCATCTATATGACCTTGGGTAAGTTACTTAATCTCCCTGTCTTTGTTTCTCATCTCTAAATAACCACAATAAGACGAGACTTACAAAATTGTTGAAAGGATAAACACATGAGATATATAAAGCTTTATGCTAGTGTCTGGCACGTAGTACTCAATAAAAGGTAAATATTAACATAAGTTATAACATAATTAGATCCTTGTGAGAGTATCATTGAAAATTCATTCAGGAAAGATTAATTAAGCATCTGCACTAGAGATTCAAAGAGGAGTAAAACAACACTGACTTATCATGGGTGATGGACTAGAGATAGTGGTATAGATAAGTGGATTGAACATGCAAGCTTGAAGTGAGGAGGTGGGCCCATGGGAATGTCAAGATATGTTTTGTTCAGTGGAGAGTATATTAGAGATCTCTGATCTGCTTGATTTCATTGGTTAAAAATTGATACAAAATAATACATGAGAATATGTGATGGATAGTACCAAGACCCATAGGAAGGTTGTATCTTTTGGTGAGTTACCAGGTGGGAGTCAAAGGGTAGAGATCATCTGGGGTGATGCTGAAGTTCGTACCTTTGGAATGGCCTTGTAGGATGGTCCCTGAGTAAATTCCGAGATCTAAGTTTGTTTCTCGCTTGTGTGCCTAGATACTTGGGAAGTGCCATTTGAGGAGATCTCAGAGCTGCAGTGGCTGGGTAGTGGAGCCCAAGGAGCTGTCTTCTTGGGCAAGTTCCGAGCGGAAGAGGTGGCCATCAAGAAAGTGAGAGAACAGAATGAGACGGATATCAAGCATTTGAGGAAGTTGAAGCACCCTAACATCATCGCTTTCAAGTAGGTCAAGGCTTTTTTTTTTTTTAAGAAATAGATTTTCTTTCCCCCAATATCTACATATGAGTTCCTGCTTTGAAAGACACATCGAGAATACTATAGACTTAGTACCATGCTAGGTGCTTTGGGAGGGCACCAACGATTGAAAGTTATGTCTTTAAGGATCTTATAATCTAGTAGTTCTTTTTGCCAAAGCACACCCTTCTCAGAAAGGATGTACATGAGACAGAAAGGGAGAAATGGATTCCTACCAAGCAATCCTAGCTGATGAATTAACCTCATTTATCAGTGAGATGATGGAGCTCACTCTGAGATAACCTGCACATCCTAAAGTTCAGTTAAGAAAACAAAGCTAATATCTGATGCAATCACAGAACAATTAGTCCCTGTGTAACAGAGAGGTATTTTTTTTATTAGTTTCTGTTAGCCTCCCTTCTTAAATATGAACTTGTAATAAGAGGCATCTTCACAGTGTTTCTCCCTGCCTCAGGCTTTTGCTAGATCTCTTTTCAAGTAATGCCAAACACTCAGCCTTCTAAATCTAATGACAGCTGAATTACTGATGAGAGTAAGTTATATGCTATGCTCATTCCACACAGTAGGTGTTTTCAAGAGTGTATGGACATATCTTTCTAGCTCAGACTGTTATTTTCATAATAATGGTAGGGATCACTAGCAAAAGGGGAGGCATAAGGGGAAATTTGAGGAAGTCCCCATATCTGGCAGTGCTGAGCTCTAAATATGTGTCATCTCTTCTGCCTGTAGCTTTCCCTTGAGTTCCCTCTCTTGCCAGGCTTCAAAGTCTGCTCTATCCTGGAAACAAATGGATGAGTGGCTTTACAGGAGTGAAAGTTAAGAACAGGAAAGCTAGTCTTTAGGTAGAATGACAGTTAAGAAACTAGAGCTTCTTGATATGTTTGATGTATATATTTCGATCCTGGAAAATAATATGAGCAATGTGGCTATAGCCAGAAGTGGAATAATTTACAAATTCCCCTTTCCTAAACTAGGAAGAGCTTCTCCCAGCCCCCAAGAGGCATCCTCTCTTGATAAAAGTCTCATTATAAAGGTAAACATGTCATGTGATAATTTTTCATTGGAATCACATTCCTAAAGTAAGGAATAGAAATCGTGGCTAAGGGTTTTGTAGAATGGGTTTAAATGAATATTGATGTTGAGTTTTGATTCCTAAACAAGACCCCTTAATGGAAAGGGAAAGAGATGTGAAAAGGAGAGAAGCATTCAACTGGGATACTAAATGAAGTATGTGAATGTATTTCCTTGTGGAAGGAACATCCATACAGTGGGCATGGGAGAGAGCTTCAGTTGCTCTAGAGATTCCACCCTTTGTTGCCCTATTTGGGCCAGGAGGATGTGAGACGAAAACGAAACGCTATAGAAACTAATCATAATCTTTCCAACAATGATAAATTTCAAAAGACAACAGAAGGGTTATTTTTAAGCAGATAGACTATCAGAGACTCACTTCTTTCCTTCATTTGACTTCACTGAGGATAATCATCACTTCTAGTTTGCTACATCCTAAATGGAAGGAAGGACCTTTCATTTAACTTATATTTAACTCAGCTTTTAAGCTTAGATCACTAGGATGCTGAGTTTGAGACACAGAATATTCTCTAGATTAGTGTGTTTTGTTTTGTTTTGTTTTTTTGCCTCCTGAAGTGAGCTGAGCTGTATGTCCTAGGTCTGAGGGTTTTCCAGCAGGGATGTCCTGGGTAAACCAAAGGTAGAAATGTATCCTGAGAGTATGGGTGTAAGAAGCTTTATTTTTCCTTCCTTTCTTTTTTTTTTTTTCTTCCCATTTTCCTTGCAACCTTTTCCCACCTTACTCTTTTGATCCTCTTACCTACATGTGCAGTTTTCTGCATTTTGGTCAAGTATTGCCATGCCAATGCCCCACTTTTTAGGCTGAAGATGCTTAAATAGTCTTTACCTCTACATGGAAAACAATAGTGAGACTGTGTCCCTGGTTCATTACACCATGCTCTTGAGGCATTGTGCAGTGTTATGTTTGCAGCCATCTGTGCCATGTGTTGCTTGGCCAATGAATCATTCAGGACCGTCTGGAAGATATGAAGGCATGATTAGATTTTAGTATGTCTCTCTGGATACTGATTGCTGTGCTTACAGCTTCCTTTGAAGTAAGAACCATGTACAGAAGGGGAAGTGAAAGAAAAGAAGTCTGTATTTTTTTTCTTCCAATTTTTTTAAAAGCAATCTTTGAGGAAAACCTAATCTGACTGTTCCTAATGGAATTGGGTGCCAAGGGGAAGAAAAAGGTAGCAATTAGAAGTGATTAGAGAGCTGCTATTTATAGCTACTAAGAAGCCTTGTCATAGTATAGGGTTGATGGAATGATTGCTTCTCATTCATCAGTCAAGAAAATGAAAAGTACATATCACTGTTACCCTTTCTGTCTGTTTGTGCAGCAAGTTAAAACATGGTTGAATAGGATGCTGAATAGCTTCAAACAAATATTTATTTTGATATTCTTAAGCACATTATTCCTGCCTAGTCATTGTTTTTTTTTTTTTTTTTTGTAATGAAAACTGTCTGATTATAGTTGTGGTTTATCTGTGTTCCACCAACTTCTCCTAAAAAGTCAAGTAACAGAAACTTGAAAAAAAATTTCATTAGACATGAAGATGAGAATTCTGGGTAGCTTAGAAAGTGATAAGGAGCATAATAGAGATAGCTCTGTGGCATTTGACAGGGATATCAGGGCAGGGAAAATGAAGACTTAATTTTACTTCTTCATAACCTGCTGTTCTTTAGGATGTTCCTATGATTGCAAGCTATGGCCTCTTCATTCTCTCATCGCTTACAGCCACCTAAGGGAGAAGACATGAATTGGTAGCTGGCTGAGGACTTTAGCTGGGCATCTTGCAGATAGAATACTCTCAACTCTAGAAAGTTTTGGAAGAAGGCATACATACTTATTAAGAGATGGGATACCAAGAATGGCATAATTGTTCTCCACTTTTCTTATCTTCATGACAAAAGTATGAAGAAGAGTTAATATCATTATCATTTTTCTAGGGTAACGCTGACATAGGAGTCCCCAGTATGCATGTGTATGCAGACGTTGCAAAGCAAAATGGAGGGCAGTGTCCCATAGTGAGTGGAAAGAGCATAGGCTTTGAAGTTAGACTGGATTAGAATCCAAGCTCTGTCACAGGCATATCATCTAGGACAGGTCACTTTCCTTCTCTGAGCCTTACCTGTTAACAATGGAAGGGGTCATAACTATTGTGTAGTGTTTGGGGAGATTCAATAAGACAATAAACATGGAAACATTCCTGACAAATAGAAGAAATTCTCCCATGTTGGTTCCCTGCTTCCTAACCCTTACAATTGCACATGTTTGTGCAAAGGATTTAGTGCAAAGAAGGTTCAGGTAAAGTTAAGAAATAGCTGTCAAGGACTTGCTGTGAACTTCTAGGCCTTCTTGGTAGAGAGACAAGAACCTGGAGACCTTTCCCTTCAAGGAGCCTATGATCTGTAAGGGGAGAGGAAAATTGTGTATAAAAAACTAGTGGCTCCTGTGTAGCATAGTAGGGAAGAGAAAGATCTTCTTGGACTGGAATAATCAGGAAAAGATTTGTAGATGACATAGGAATTGATAGAAATATAGGCCATACAGGTATGTGTTACATTGTATGATATTGTTTTTATTCTAAATAGAAATGTTTTTCAAAGACTATATAATATAGAAAATTGTCTCTTTTTTGATTTTCAGTCTAGTTATCTTAAATTTGACTAATTTAAAATTCAACAACTAATAGTTAAAATACCAATATTTTACCAGAATTCTCTTTCTGTATCCTATGTATAAAACCTTCTATTTAATTTTAAAAGGAAGAGATTTAAATGATTCTTAACCATCTAAAACGACACAGTCCCTGGCCTACTCAAGTCTCAGGAATCCCAGAATGGAATGGTCCCCAGAGAAAAGCACCAGATACAGCACAACATAGAATCAGGAGTAAACAAAATGAACTAAAATTGTCTGTGTGCATAATAAAGAAGCTTGGACACTAGAGGTGTTTTAACAGTAATTGAAGAATCAGGAAAGGTTACACCTTTAAAAAATAATATGGGTAGAGAACTGGTCTTAATTATTTAATGTATTAAATGTTCTTAAAATATAAAATATCTATACAGGTATGTTTGCATGTATGTATGAATTTATAAACATATTTGTGTTTTCTTGAAAGGGGCGTTTGTACTCAGGCCCCCTGTTACTGCATCATCATGGAATACTGTGCCCATGGACAACTCTATGAGGTTTTGCGAGCTGGCAGGAAGATCACACCACGGTTGCTAGTGGACTGGTCCACGGGAATTGCAAGTGGAATGAATTATTTGCACCTCCATAAAATTATTCATCGTGATCTCAAATCACCTAAGTGAGTTTTGGAGCGAATTTTTGTTTTATTGCTTTGAATAAGGAACTTTATCAAGCACGGTTCAAGTTTTTAGACATCATATGTGAAGTTCAGCTTAAATCAGCATAGTGGATAATTCTATTTGCATGTTTCTTTGGATTATTGTTGACCAACTTACTTTCTTATGTGACAGATAGCTCCAAGCACCTGACACTAGTTTTCCCTGTGTTGCTTTTTAATAGTGCGAGTATGAAGCAAGATTCATTATTAACTGAAGTATTTACTCTCCATCATCCCAGATAATTAAAGCCAAACTTCCCCACCTGAAGGTTTGGTTTATTGTATTAAAAAAATGAGTTTCAAAAATGTATACGATAGGATAAAAATGGATGAATAAGAGACAGAGGCCAAGAAAAAATAAGAACATTAGAACTAAAGCTTGCTCACAAAATGTATGCCACAAGGTTCTGTACAATTGTTAGGGGTAGACTGTAGATTTGGCCTTTGACCTTCCTGGAGTCTAAGCAGAGTTGTGCTTAGTAATCTGTTTTCGAAATGATTCTTCGGCTATCAATAACCACTTTAAGAGGAGTGTTTATTCACTTCCCAAATTGCATGAAAGGAAGAAAGGAATTGATAAAATAGGGTATTTCCTTGTAGCTTCTGTTTTATTATTTTTCATCACACTTTAGAGAAGCAGAGAGGAATTAATCTTTTTTTTTTAAAGATTAAGATTTTTATTTTTTTATTCATGAGAGACACACAGAGAGAGAGAGAGGCAGAGACAGGCAGAGATAGGCAGAGGGAGATGCAGGCTCCTTGCAGGGAGCCCGATGCGGGACTCGATCCCAGGACTCCAGGATCATGCCCTGAGCCGAAGGCAGGCACTCAACCACTGAGCCACCCAGGCGTCCCTTAATATTTTTTTCAAAAACATGTAGGTGTAGTGCTTTCATGGTTTATAATATTTTTTTAATATCCATCATTACATCTGCTTTGATGTTGGCAAAAATTGTGTGGGGGTAGTTGCAACAAGTATCATTCATTATTCTTACTTTATATAAAAAAAATGAAGGATGCCTGGGTGGCTCAGTCAGTTAAGTGTCTGACTCTTAATTTCAGTCCAGGTCATGATCTCGAGGTTTTGAAATTGAGGCCTGTTTCAGACTGCCTGCCGGGCATGGAGCCTGCTTAAGATTCTCTCTCTCCCTCTCTCTCTGCCCCATGCCCCCCATCCCCACCCCACTCCCTTTCTAAAAAAGAAAGAAAATGAAAAAAAAAAAAAAAAAAAAACAAGGGCTCAAAGCCCAAAGTCATGGAGCTAGGACTTGAACCCAGAACTTTTAGACTCAAAGCACCTACCTGCATCCTACCTCGTCATATGAAGGTGAGGGATTCCCAATGATTTCTGTTTCCTCTCCATGGAAGACACAAATCAGTCCTTGATTAAAAACTTCAAAGCAGCCTTTGGTTACCACCACCGTTCTCAGCGGGGATCATCGTAGTCATTAGCTCACTGAACAGCCCCCTCCTTGCTTTACTTGCAAATAAACTTTATTATAGTCTTTATTCCATCTGTTCACATTCTTACACAACCTGTTGCATTTGTCATCCACTACACACATAAAAGACACGGAAGATTTGCCAAAGGCCTCTATGAATGGTTTCCTTCTTAACTCCGTGGTGCCCCTTGAGATTTAACTTTAGAGGAAGAAGTCAGGAAATGTTAGAATATATAAAATCACATGCTACTTTCTTTGACTCTTGTCATTTAAAGATTAGAGTAATAAAAAGTTACCCAATAAGGCTTTGCCTGTGTTATCAGTACTCCCCTGAACTTCCGGCAGCCTTGGCCTCTTTGGGTTCCAGGCTAACTTTGAAAAGACAAACATCAGTCTGGCTTGCAGTAAAGAGAGATTTCATTACCCGCATTAAATCTTTGGCTGTGTGACCCCAGCTTTGTTTCAGAGAAGACTTTACGTAAGTTCTAACCTCATGTGCCCTCTAGTCCTCCCCCCCATGTCCCTTCCCTCTCACCATGCCAAGAAGTCTCATAGTGAGCAGCACAAGAGAAACAGAAGAGGAGCTTCTCACGGTTTTCTTTCTAGGGGCTTATCACCTTTTCTGACTTTCATGGTGTATGATACCATCCATTCTGAAACTATGTCAGATATCCCATGATGTTTAAGTCCTTATGCATTTTCACCAAGACTAGCACTGTTAAATCAAAATTTCCAAATTATGTAAATTTTATATATCAGGTGTAAAGCTAGGGGTAGGACGTGATGAAGGCATTCTAACAGTTGTAAGCAGAGCCGTTTGGTAAGTAGAGAGCCACGTGACACTGGCAGGGAAAGAGGCAAATACCAAGTTCCTGGTTCAGAGAAGGGAGGAGAGGAATTAAGTTTTATGTTTTCTAGCCCCCTCAAATCTGATAACTCTGAATATCAAGCCTTCTTCTTATTAAAAATAGGTCTTTAGATCATTAAGTCTCTAGAACCCTAACTCATTAACATTCTAAAGTTCCAAACAGGTTATTTCACTTGAATTCAGTCCAGTTTGTAAGCATATTAATAGTTTGGATTTGACTGGTACTAGATTGTATTCATCGTTAAGGCTAGAAAAGCAATTTTCCCAGGTCACATTTCAGGTAAATACCATGAAAAGGAAAACATGACTTGCATGGAATCTACTTAAGTCTAAACCTATTCCAGCTTTCCCTTATCAACATTGGTGGAGTCCCACTATATACTTATTAGCTTTTTAATGTAAAAAATCCCTAGTGTTATAGTCTCATGTGTGATTTTAGTTAGCCATTATTTATTTTTTTAAAAAAAGGATTTATTTATTTATGATAGACACACACAGAGAGAGAGAGAGAGAGAGAGAGAGAGAGAGAGGCAGAGACACAGGCAGAGGAAGAAGCAGGCTCCATGCCGGGAGCCCGACACAGGACTTGATCCCAGGACTCCAGGATCGCACCCTGGGCCAAAGGCAGGCGCCAAACCGCCGAGCCACCCAGGGATCCCGTTAGCCATTATTTAAACAGTGCTTTAAGGATTTTTGTGTGTGTGTGTGTGTGACAGCACAAGCAGAAGGAGAGGGAGAGGCAGGCAAAGGGAGAAGTAGACTCTGCTGAGCAGGGAACCCGATGCAGGGCTGGATCCCAGGACCCTGGTGACTCTGGGATCCCATGACCTGAGCTGAAGGCAAACGCTTAGCCAACTGTGCCACCCAGACATCTGTAAACAGTGGTTTTTTTTTTTTTAAGATTTTATTTATTCATGAGAGACACACAGAGAGAGAGAAAGAGGCAGAGACACAGGCAGAGGGGGAAGCAGGCTCCATGCAGGGAGCCTAATGCGGGACTCAATCCTGGGTCTCCAGGATCACACCCTGGGCCGAAGGCAGGCACCCAACCGCCGAGCCACCCAGGGATCCCCAATAGTGTTTTAATTTTTTATTTATTTATTTATGATAGTCACAGCGAGAGAGAGAGAGGCAGAGACACAGGCAGAGGGAGAAGCAGGCTCCATGCATCGGGAGCCCGACGTGGGATTTGATCCCGGGTCGCCAGGATCGCACCCTGGGCCAAAGGCAGGCGCCAAACCGCCGCGCCACCCAGGGATCCCCCCAATAGTGTTTTAAAAGAAGTGTTTTTCTTAGTGGTTTCTGAGACTGGGAAGGGTAGAAACTAATATTTATTGAGCACAGGTGTTTTACATATCTTATCTCATTTAATTCAAATGAAAATTCCATGAAGCCATTATTATAGGCCCATAATTCCTTATCAAAAACTCTTCGAGTCATAAGATTTCAGAAAGGTAACATAGTGCCTTACCCCACACTCCGAGCAAAGTCTAGGACAGCTCTCCATAATGAGCCACAGGTAAATAAAATGAGTTTGTTTGATACAGATGAGAAAATACTTATATACCACTTTCAGAGTTTTCTGCATGTTTGAATCATGGATAAGATTACTGTGACCTGAGTTGTCTCCATCACACTAGATGAGAAAACTGGATTAGAAGAATCAGGTAACATGGCAGAGGCGACCCAGTTAGCAAGTGGTGGAGGCAGGATGAAACTAGGTGGAAAAAGCCCACCACACTGGGCGGCCTTACATGCGGGAGTGACGCTCTGTCTAGGGTACAGCCAATGCTCCCATAATGTTGGAACTCACGAGCTGAATTCTACAGGGTAGGAGGCGGCAAACTAAGTTGCCAGTTACAGTCGTGATTTGTATTACTACTAATGATCTGGATGTTCTCTTTATTTCTTTTTAAAGTGTTTTGGTGACTCATACAGATGCGGTAAAGATTTCAGATTTTGGGACGTCTAAGGAACTCAGTGACAAAAGCACGAAGATGTCCTTTGCTGGCACAGTCGCGTGGATGGCACCAGAGGTGATACGCAATGAACCTGTCTCTGAAAAAGTTGATATATGGTGAGCAGCCCAACTAAGAGGCCTTCCCACTTCCCGTATTAGCCCTTCCCTCCTTCGACACTTGTCCTTTCCCAAAGTATTCCTTCCTGTTACTCACTTGTAAGTCTCTATTATAAATCATCAGTTTTGCAGACCTTCACAGAATAGACTGACTTTCTGGAAAGAAAATTTTCTGATTTTTGATTTTTCTGATTAGACTTTTCTGGAAAATGGAAAGTTAACTTCAAATAAACATTTAGTGTAGAAGTCTTTGTGAGATATACTACATAATTCTCACCTTAAATAAAATACCCTAAACTAAGTTTACCTGGGCTTGGTCCCTCAGACCATCACTGTATATATCAGTGATGTATGTTGCGGTGATACGGTTATGTGCTGTAGAGTTACTGGAAGTGTATAATAGGGCTGCTTGCCCTTTTATCATGCATCCCCTATGAGCTATGCTGTTTTTGGTTTGTTTGTTGTTGTTGTTTTTTGCCTTTTAAAAATACCCACTTTTCCTTTGAGATTACAAATCTTTACTATTAATTGTCTATTTCCCCGTAGTCACTTTTCTTCCGTCCTTAAGGATGGCTACTAATAACTCTTAGGCTAAAAACCAAAATAATAGAATATGTTAAAATGACATGTAACACCAGAGTAAGATAAAGTAGAAATGGGGGATCATTTGTAATTTGGATAATTATCACCAATGCATCCTCCTTTGGGATTATACCAATTATGTTCCCAACAGAAATGTGTGTTTTCTCAGTCTCACCAACAAAATGTGTTAACTTTTTGGATTTTTGCCAACCATCTAGGTAACACATGGTATCTTGGGTGCTGTTTTAACGTGGGTTCCTCTTATAAGTTACAATGCACATTTTTTCATATGTTTACAACCCATTTATAATTTATTTGTGAGCTATTCTTATCCTTTGCTTACCTCTCTGATCTTGATTCTTATCAATTTATAGAAGTATTTTATATTTTAAGGAGATTAGTCTTTTGTGTATAGCCTTTTGTGTATACTTTTCCTATTTTGTTATTTTGTTTATGGTGGAGTTCTTTCTCCATGCTAGATTTTTTTTTAAATGCAATTTAACTGATCAATGTCTACGTTTGTAGTTTTTGGATTTCATAATTAGAAAGCTTTTGCCACTCCAAGATTAGTAAAAAGAAAAAAATTTTCCATGTGTTCTGTCAGGGTTTTATGGTTTCATTTTTTTCTTTTCACATTTGAATTTTTGATTCATTTGGAATGTATCTTGATGTAAGATGAGCTATAGGGACGTCTGGGTGGCTCAGGGGTTGAGCATCTGCCTTTGGCTCCAGTCGTGATCCTGGGGTCGTGGGATTGAGTCCCCCACAGGGCTCCCCGCAAGGAGCCTGCTTCTCCCTCTGCCTGTGTCTCTGCCTCTCTGTGTCTCTCATGAGTAAATAAATAAAATCCCCTCCCCCAAAAAAGATGAGCTGTAGATTTAATTTTTCCCCTAGTTGTCCCAATAGCATTTCCTGACTAGTCAGTGTTCCTCACTGTTCTGGGATGTCACTTCTATCATATACTCAAGCCCTGTATGTATTTGGCCTATTTATGGATTTCTGTTCCATTCCATTAGTACGGCTGTCTATTCACTTGCTAGAGTTAATTACCAAAGCCTTATAATATTTCTTAATATCAAGCAGTATTGGTTACCCCTCACTGAATTTCTTTTTCTTAGTTTTCCTGGCTGTTTCTGTTCTTCTTATGGCAGTATTAGAATTTTGAAACTGGGCATATATTTGGCTAAAAATTAATAAAGAATTCAAAACAAACCTGTATTTCTGCACTGTCTTTGGTACCTGTACCTGGTACTACTATAGGTCTTTTGGAGTGGTGCTTTGGGAGCTGCTGACAGGAGAGATTCCTTACAAAGATGTAGACTCTTCAGCCATTATTTGGGGTGTTGGAAGCAATAGTCTACACCTTCCAGTTCCTTCCACTTGCCCTGATGGATTCAAAATCCTTATGAAACAGACATGGTAAGAAATCTATTTCTTCCAAGATTCTTTTACCTTCTTACTCAAAACCACATTTAAAATTTCTCTGAAACTACAGGGAGGTCTCTGATATGGATTTGAAGTGAGTCACCTGGTTAAAGCCTGGCAGACCTGGAGTTGTTGATAAATAAAAAATTTGGTATATCCTGAAATAGTAGGCCTTAGTAAATGATAGCTATTATTACTTTACTAGTCCTAAGGGGCTACTATTATCAAACACTGATCCTGGAGATGTACATTTTAGCATCACAGGTATCTCCTAATTACATTTTCCTTTTGCTCTTCAGTATGTGAGCACTGCCTGAGATATAGCCATGCACGAAGCCAAAAATGCTTCTTATAAAGTAGAATAAAATCTTTATGTTCCTGGACACAACCTCTACAATGCACAAGCTGTGTTTTTTTTTTTTTTTTTTAACTTGTAGGCAGAGCAAACCTCGCAACCGCCCTTCCTTCCGGCAGACACTCATGCACTTAGACATCGCTTCTGCAGATGTTCTTGCCACCCCACAAGAAACCTACTTCAAGTCTCAGGTAAGTCTGGAAACTTTCTTCCACTGTGCAGAACACACAGCCAGGGGACCCCCAATGAGAAAGAGAAACTCTTAGAACCATTCTGATTTTCATAACAATTGTAGAGCTCTAGTTATTGTGAAGTGGTAACTTTGCTACCTCACACAGAGGAAATTTTGGACTTTTCTAAATACTTAAGATACATCATTATCTCATTTCAAACTGAACCACCCAGGTGTCCCTCAAAAGTCTTTTTTTTAATTTTTAAAGATTTTTATTTATTTATTCATGAGAGACACACACACACAGAGAGACAGAGACATAGGCAGAGGAAGAAGCAGGCCCCTGCAGGGACCCCAATGCGGGACTCAATCCCAGGACCCCGAGATCACTCCCTGAGCCAAAAGCAGACCCTCATCCACTGAGCCATCATGATCTCATTTCAAAGGAACGTGTGTAAGAATGTCATCCTCATAGTGGTGAAATTGTTGAAAAGAGGAATATATTTGAATTAGATTTATTGCTGACCAGGGCACCTGGCTGGCTCGGTTGGAAGAGCTTGCAACTCTTGATCTTGGGATTGTGAGTTCAAGCCCCATGCTGGGTGTGGAGATTATTTAGATTAAAAAAAAAAGTTAAAAAATAATTCCTGCCAACCTTCATGAAAGGATTGCTTCCCTTGAAAGCAAAAATCTAAAGTACAGAGGAGGGATGTTAAGTATCAGAGAGAGCCCACGATAGAATTAGGCCCGGAGAGAACATTCACTCTAATTCTATGTGTCACCTATTAGTATCAGATAAAATGTAATTTAATGAATCTGTTAGCCTTTACTGTATTACAGGCCATTCCAGACTTATGGCTTACAACATTCATATAAACTCCCTTAGAACTATTAAAACTATTGCCTATCTATTCAAATATGTGTAAGTATGGATCACCAGAAAAGAAATCTGTCCAATCTTTTTGTGTTGGTTAGAAAAGCAGTTTTTGGTAAGAGTACTAAGCCACAAGCTATTGAGGTAGTATAACTTTATGTACTTGGGAAACTTCAAATTTGAAACAGATTTTACTTAAATGCTCCCAGAATGTCACTTCTGAAGCCAGTGCCACATCTTCTGGGTACCTACCATATGCAAAGCACTGTGTAATGCAACGAAGCATCCACATTCGGTATCCTCATTTGTACTCACTCAATTTAAGACTCACTTTTACCAATACATGCAGCAGTAAAACCAAACTCAGAAAAGCCTCTTTTGGAGCAAGAATATGAAGGGAGGAGGTAGGGGAAGGGAGGAAAAGGAAAGGTAGGGGAAAACATTACACTGGACATCTTTTAATATTAATTATTTCACATTTTTCTCCCAACATAAAATTTTACCTCTCCTTAAATAGCCCCAAATCTGCTATGCTTGCTAGTTCCTAGAATTATTTCAGATACTTATAAACTCATTTGTCTCTGGGTCTGAAATTCAGACTCTCTCTGGCTACTGATAAAGTATTTATGAACTAGCTACTGAAGTACTAAGAAAAGCAACAGACTCAAGTCTAACCCTTGCCCTGTGGTCTTGGGTAAGTCACTAAAATTCTCTAAACCTCAAGTGTGCTCATCTAAACAGTGAAGATGGGATCCCTGGGTGGTGCAGCGGTTTGGCGCCTGCCTTTGGCCCAGGGCATGATCCTGGAGACCCGGGATCGAATCCCATGTTGGGCTCCCGGTGCATGGAGCCTGCTTCTCCCTCTGCCTGTGTCTCTGCCTCTCTCTCTTTCTCTCTCTCTCTCTGTGTGTGTGTGTGTGTGTGTGTGTGACTATCATAAATAAATAAAAATTTTTAAAAAATAAATAAATAAATAAACAGTGAAGATGATGGTATCTTCTCTTCCTTATGGAGTTTTTAGCTCGAATCAAATGACAAGATAAAAATGCAACTGTATTGGAAACAATAAACTGCTCGATTTTAAGATATTATTCACTGCCCAGGAAGCTACAGAAATTAAGCCTCCTTTGGGCTGTTACATTCTGGTGAACTCCCGAGATGGCTAAGGTAGCAGCTGGGGAACTCCTCCCCCCAATGCTTTGACTTGATGCCACCCGAATGGGGAAGAGCTGATTGTTTAGCACCTGGTTTTGCTTTCCTGCTGCACCTGAGGCTCCCCCCTCCTCCTGCCAGCTGATAAAGCCCAGTCCGCATCAGTTACCGACCAGTGGTTAGCCATGGGTCTCCACTTTCCTAAATTTTTTTTAATTTTTATTTATTTATGATAGTCACAGAGAGAGAGAGAGAGAGAGGCAGAGACACAGGCAGAGGGAGAAGCAGGCTCCATGCACCGGGAGCCCGACGTGGGATTTGATTCCGGGTCTCCAGGATCGCGCCCTGGGCCAAAGGCAGGCGCCAAACCGCTGCGCCACCCAGGGATCCCGGGTCTCCACTTTCCACCAAAACTGGCAGTCAAGGGCAGCCCCAGTGGGGCTGATTTAGCTCATTTAGATATTCTCGATATCTAAAACAACTGGCGGTCAAGGGCACTGCCAAGAGCCCCAAGGACTCCTTCCTGAGAGTAATTGCTTCAGCTGTTTATCAGCAGTAGCACTCGTAAAAAGATGCAGCATATACAGCACAGATTTCACTACAGCATTCAATTCGGCCAAAGCTACTGCTTCATTCCTAGACAGTAACCTATTTCTCCAAGTAGGCAACTATTGCTTCTGGTATTCAATTGCATTTGACATCAGTTGTCGTTGCCGTCGTCGTCTTCTTCTTCTTTTGGTGAGCACTGTGCCCAATGTGGTGCTTGAACTAAAAATCCTGAGATCAAGAGTTAGGTGCTCTGCCAACTGAGACAGCCAGGTACTCCCAGCATTTGATATCAGTTGTTAGAAAACATTTTAGCGAGGCCCCAGCTGCCCCCTGCTAGGTGGGTCATGTGCCCTGCTTCTAAGCTCTTCCACCACCACACTCTGCCTTTCCACCATTCTGATTCCCTCTTGAGTACCACTGCGACCACCCAGAAATTCAGGAGCTGGGATTGCAGACACATTAATGTGTTCATTATAGGGACAGAGTGTGCTGCTTAAGGGGAATCTCATCATGGGGCTCCTGGCTGGCTGAGTCGAAAGGGCATACAACTCTTGATCTCAGGGTCATGAGTTTGAGTCCCACATGGGGTATAGAGATTACTTAAATAAATTTTTTAAATTTAAGAGAAAAAAAGACGATTTCATCAGGAGCAAGTAGGTCAGTAGGCAGAGGCTGGGCACTCACGTGGGAAGGCAGTAAACAGAACTCCTGTGCCAGTCAAGGGGACTTGAATTCTAGGTCTTTTCTGATTCAGAATCTCTGATTTCCTGCTATTTAGCCCCCCAACATCCTGCTTCTCTATTCCTCCAGCTAGGCTGCAACTGGCTCAACTTCTCTTTTTCCTTTTTAAAACTCATGGTAAAATATGTATAATACGAAATTTGCCATTTTCAAACATTTTGAAGTGTACAATTCAGTGGCATTAATTAAATTCACAACATTGTGAAACTGTCACCACTGTTTCCAAAAGTTCTCATCACCCCATTAAGCAGTCATTTCCCATTCCCTCCTCCCCTTAGCCCCTGGTAATCTCTCTTCTACTTTTGGTCTCTATGAACTTAGCTGTTCAATCTACTGATTGAATAACTGGAAGGCTGGAGAAGACAAAAACCTTTTAAATGGTGTGGCCTGTCCCAGGCCTTATCTAGGACATAAAAAAGATCCCATTAATGGTAATAACCCAAGTCTCCCTGGATTTTTCCCTTACCTACTTACACAGGGTTTGAATGCCTTGTGAGCCACTCCCTACTCCCTCCCTTCCCCCCTGACATGCATTTGTGGGGGGATCCCCAGTGAAGAGTGGGGATCTCAGTAACCTCATAGTAACATCTGCTCTGTTTTCCACTGACTGGCCAGACACAGCGATCTCCTATCTAGTATCTGCTAAGTATTACTTTATGGGTTGCTCTGTTTTGTGCTACAAGACATTAGGCCCAGCTGGCATCCATTGGATGCTTCCATAACCTAAGGCACTGCCATCACCCACGGGGAGCTGCCATTTCCTTCTGTAACTAAAGCTCTGGATTTCTCAAGATTCCAGAGCTATGCATTGTTCTGTTTACACCAATGAACTCTTCCTTTCTCTGTTGAGTTACACTTTGTTAAAGGTAACAGAGCAGTGCTGGTTATGGCCTAATGTTTTACAGATACTTTAGTGAAACAATAGGAGATATACCTCCACTCCTATGATGGTAGCTTTGTTATAGATCAGGTTCATGCAGGATTCTTTCTTTTTTCATGCCTTATTTTCTCTCAAATTGGCTTCCAGCCTACCCACCCTCCATTTCTTCAGATATGCCCAGACATGTCTGAGCTGAAGACTAAGTGCAAATTGGAACTCCTATTATGTAAAGATTCTAAGCATATGGGATGGAACTCCAAAATTAACATCTACCAATAACACCATAGCTTTGGGGAAAATACATTATTAATCAGGACCTGGTGTTTGCCTACGTATATCCTGTTCCCTCTTCATGGGGGGGGGGGGGATTTCTCTTTGGAAATAGACTTTTTTAATAGGTTTCTTTTTTTTTTAATTTTATTTATTTATGATAGTCACAGAGAGAGAGAGAGAGGCAGAGACACAGGCAGAGGGAGAAGCAGGCTCCATGCACCGGGAGCCCGACGTGGGATTCAATCCCGGGTCTCCAGGATCGCGCCCTGGGCCAAAGGCAGGCGCTAAAACCGCTGCGCCACCCAGGGATCCCTTTTAATAAGTTTCTATCTTCAAAGGGTTCTCTCTAAATTCCCCATTCCCGTAAACTAGGTATCAGCAGATTTATTTCCTCAAGAATAAAAAAAAAAAAAAAAAAAAAAAATCTGTTCTAGGATATCTGATTCCTGACCACCAGAGGGAGATATTCCTTTCCTTGTCCCTTCTTTAGGTATTGCGCTAGGGCCTACTAATAACATTTTTGCACAGAAGAGGGCACTTTAAGGCCCAAGCTTGGCCCCTTCCCTAATCCATTTTTGGTCTAACAACTCTTGATTGTCAATCTTAGGCTTCTTTAAGTTCAAGTATTCTTACTTATTCTTACTTACTTACCAAACAATGGGCAGCACATTCTGGATCTGACTTTTTGGTGATGTTGTTTGGCAGGTTTTGTGCCCAAAAGTCAACTGACTGAGAGAAATGTTTCTCCAGTTGTCAGTCGATATATATACATGAAGATCTTGCATATTATAAACAGATAAGAAAGATGATCACTTTCTAAATAATTGCAATATGATTTCTTCTATAAAAGTAAATGACTAACTGAGCCTGGGTGGCTCAGTTAGTTAAAGACCTGACTTCGGCTCAGGTTATCTCAGAGTCTTGGGATCAAGCCCAGATTCAGGCTCCCTGCACAATAGGAATTCTGCTTCTCCCTCTCTGTCTGCTGCTCTCCCTGCTTGTTCTATCTCTCAAATAAAGTCTTTAAAAAAACAAGTAAATGAGAAACAGGAAATTTGGGGAGAAACCTCCTGTAATTTCACAATTACATAAGCATAACTTCTCCCATGATCTAGAGAAATAATTTTAAACATGAATCTAAAGGTAACAGGATAGCTCCAGAGGAAGAATATATAATTAGAGGCATTTAGTTATACATCTAGCCTTTACTGGAAATTATCTTAATCTCATTAGCTTCTTGGGATTGTAGTTTATATGCAATTTGAGGAAATGTCTCCTTTAGCTATTTTCTAGAAACTGCCATATTCCAGCAGAGGTTTCTCTACTCCCTAAAATTTAGGTAAAATTGGCCTGGAACTCCATGCCTTGTGGAATTTCCAGTGTCCTAACACTTCTGTGAATTCCTAGGAGATTTATAATTTCATGGTCACTCTCACTCTGCCTTTCTAAAATTTTTGGGCTTCATCCCTGCCATCTTGTGGTTCTTTCTCTCTCCTGTTGTTGGCCCAAACATGAAGTTCAGCACCTTTCCTCGATATCTAAAAAGACAAAACCACTCATTCAAAGGTGAGTGTTGGAGACTTTACCAAAGGTTTAGGAAATTGGAAGAGGCTTATATTTTGAACAACTGAAATCACATATTAGGTATTCATCCTCATTCTAAAAATTTTGTCAACCTACTAAACTGTCTAGCCATACTCTTTCTCCTGCTCTTTCTCGTTTTCTGTTCTTTCCCTCACTCCCAAATTCCTATAGAATTCCCTATATTTTTTTCTCCAGGGCCAACTGTTCATGCCCCTTGCATCTTCTACTTCAAATATTTTTTTCCAAGATATTTTCATAAACAAAACCTAAGAAGAATTCTGGTGCCAATTATAAACATGATCATATTCTCTCTGGCACATAATTATACCAAGTGGTTATCAGAACTCCTCCTTTTGGCCAGGACATCTCAGCCACCATCTTCACTTAAAACTGAGCTCTCTTGTTCCAGAGGTGATGGCCAGTATGCCAGCTGTGATATTTCTGGTGGTCAGTACAGCAAGGAAACTGGAAAAGAGATGGCACCACGTGGAACTAAATACAGAAGATGAGATCATGGTGTGTGGGTTGGGGGGCACAGATACAGGAGCATGAGATATTTTGCTATCAACTAATATTTATTGAACATTTATTCTGTAAGGGTCTTCAGTAAAAGCATGCAGAAGGCAAAAATCTTGCACCTGATCCTATGGTTACATCAGGGACTGAAACTCCTAAAATATTAACAAAGTCCAATTTATCCTCATCCAGGCTGAATGGAGAGAAGAGGTGAAAAAACACTTTGAGAAGATCAAAAGTGAGGGGACTTGTATACACCGATTAGATGAAGAACTGATTCGGAGGCGCAGAGAAGAGCTCAGGTGTGCTGCTCTCTCCTTCTCTACCGCTTCTCATCCCCAGATCTTCAGACACAGGCAGAAACTCTCTTTGGGAATCACCATTTCACCTTCTATACACCTTTCACCTCTGTTTATTATGATTAATTCTCTTTAAAAGGCACCCCAAAAGTTAGGCCTCCCTTACCACTGTCCTGTCCTCCCCCTGCATCCTTGTTAGCCTCCTTTATCAGATCTCTGCAGCCAGTTCTCCTGGAGCAATACTGTTTCTTCATTCAGTGCCTATCCTAGGTAGGAAGGTAGCACTTTATAAGACATAGGTCCTGATCTCAAGATGCTTATGCCTGATTAAGGGGTACGAGTCATAGACATAGATAACCATATAGGGTCAGGAGCTCAGCATTAATTGCGTATTTCCATTAACATGAGTTATTGAGTATTTCCATAACATGAGTATTATAGTGTATTCTCATTAAGATGTTGTCAGTGCTACACAGACAAAGGCTTCAAGTTATACACAAATCACATTCAGAGTTTATCTGTATCACCCCCACCCACCCCACCCCACCCCGCCCAGCTATTCTGTATGGCTGGATGTGGCCCCTAAGGATAAGCCAAATGAAAGCTTGAATTTCCCATTTCCCACTCCATCTTGTCTGAGTCTTTACATCAGACAAGGGATCCTTAAATTTAGACGGCCCTCAGACAAATGCGTTTGAAATAAACTATCCCGGTTCTTATTTCATTAGAGCTGTTCTTTGGTCTGCCCCAAGGTGGCCAGCTTCGCTGATCCTGTATTTTCTTTGATAGGCATGCTTTGGATATTCGTGAACACTATGAGAGAAAACTTGAGCGAGCTAATAATTTATACATGGAACTGAGTGCCATCATGCTGCAGCTAGAAATGCGGGAGAAGGAGCTCATTAAGTATGTACCCAGACTTCTGTCTGTCCTTCCTGAGTTGGGTCTATCGATCAGCCGAAATACACTGTTCTGTCTTATTGCTACTACTCAAAAGTAACACGGCAGATATTTTATTCATTCACCTACTATGCCTTAAGGGACATGCTGTGCACAGGCCCATCCCCCCATGAAGTTTCAGTTGAGTAGGCTTGCCGCAGAGCTTGTTATAGAGATATGTGCACTTGACATATATCAAGTTTGCAACTTCACCCTGACAAATGGCCCCAGGAAGGGGTCCTCATTTCAAGAAAAGTTTGGTGTAGGTAAGTGGGAGCTTTTTTGCCCACTGGGGAAATAAGGTGGCTGATGAAAGTGGCCTAAGGTATTCTTGACAATGACAAGGAAACCCCGTGGTCTTGACTAAAACAACAACTAAAAATAAATGGGTCTTCTATCATTGCATTATGTCTCTCATGAAGTATGTTGGATGAGGAAAGGTCAGTCCCGGAGTCCATCTGAGAGTGGAAGAGCACAGTGAAGTCAGATTAATTGAACTGAGCATCTTTCTTCCCCCTTTTTAAACCTGAATAGTAGCGTTGTTATTCAAATAATGTGTATCTGTTAAGTGTGACCAGCATCTGTGAGTGGAATTAGCCTGTGAAAAAGTTCTGCCTACCTTTTCTGTCTGCGGTGACTGAGATGTGCCTTTTCCTTTCATTCTGCAGGCGTGAGCAAGCAGTGGAAAAGAAGTATCCTGGAACCTATAAACGACACCCTGTCCGTCCAATAATCCACCCTAATGCCATGGAGAAACTCATGAAGAGGAAAGGTGCGCCTCATAAATCTGGGATGCAGACCAAACGGTGAGATACCTATGCCAACCTGATATTCAGAGAAATAGAAAAATACAAAATACATTATTACACAATGGTATATTCACTCTGTAGCTTATCATTAGCACACTTGCTTTTAAATAAAACAGAGTGGAAAAGTGAGAGAATGTGTCGTGAACTCTAGGAATCTAGTTTTTTACTCTCTGAGACATAGATATTTACTGTTTTAGCATGGAACAGTGAAAAGAGAAATAAACTGAGGGCCAGGCAGATGTGGATTCAAATCCTGGCTCTGTCTATTATAATAAGCCATATGATGTGGGCTATGTCACTTGACCTCTTTCAACACCATGGGTAAAATGGTCTAAGGATTATACATGAGATTTCTTTTTCTTTTTTTGACCTCTAGTATACAGAGTTTGGTTAATCATAATTCTTATTTTATGCAACATTGGTCCATGTGTGTGCCATTTTTATTCATTTAGTTATTTTTAATAATGTAATAAGTGCCTGTAAATCCACCACCAAAAACAAATGCAAGGGCTTTGATACTTGTGTATACCTAACAATGTGGAGCCCCTCATTCTATTCCTGCATGAGATTTCTGTGAAGTTTAAATAAGATAAACATGAAATCACCTTACAAATCACAGGTACTATAAAATGAGTTTTTGAGTAGTTTTTTTTAAAGATTGCCCTTTCCTCTAATTACAATGCATTTCCCTTATATTAGTTTAATCTTACAATGTTCTAACAATCAGTTTTTATTATCAAGCTCTACTAGATGCCCATTCCTCCCAAATAATGAAGAGTGGACTCTATCCCAGCCACGCTAATGTAAAGGAAAGAAATGTCTCAAAACCTGAGGTGTAGACCCAATGGTCTCTACTGCAAAATGCAGTAAGAATAAGGGTAATGACAAAATGCAAACCAAGAATGTATTTTAAGGCTTTCAGAATAGTGGCCATTCTACTATAGCATGACTAATATAAATCTAAACTACTAAAGAGTAATTACATGGATTAATTTCAATTTTGCTTTTACTTACCACCCCTGATCACCTTCTAGTCAAGTTCTGAGAAATTGTTTGCAGATGGCACCTGGCACAACCCTCAGTGGATCCCAACACCTCTTTATTTTGATGTGTCAATCAGGGAACAGGGTGCACCTGCTGGCTCCTCCCTGCATTCTGCTACAGTTAGCACTAAGAACTTCAGAGGAGAAAATACTACTGCTCTATTTTTCAAAATATGAGTTCATGTTTACTTTTAATTTTGGCTCTGAGAAATATGTTTGGAAGAGTTTGCCACCACCCACACAAGCTAACTGAACTCATCCAGGAAGACGCCCTAGAATGGGTCTTTGAACTGCAAAGAGTTCTGCTCTCAATTGATTGCCCCTGGAGGATTTCAGTTTCAAATAATTTAGAAAGTCCAGTGACTAAGTCAGAAGTCCAGTGACCTGTGAGGAGATCAGAGAGTAAAAACCATCCACCATCCTTTGGTCTAGATGTCAATGTGGGTTCAGTTGGGGACTAAAAAGAAGAGAATCAGAGTTCAGTTATGGATACACCAAGCCTGTTACAAGCGAGTATAACCCAATACAGTAGTCTCAATACCTCATTATGAGGAGAGGTTGGGAACGGGGAGAGAACTATTTCTTCCCGTTGGAGACTTGGGTTCGAGTTATGAGTTCTGCCATTTACTTCCTTTGTGATGGACACAAGCCAACTATCCTCTAGTATCCTTCAGCATGCTTATCTGTAAAATGAATATCGGAAAATGAATAGTGGGAGACAAGTGTGTTATATATTATAAAGTGCTTTGTAAACTCTGAAGTGCTGTACCATTGTTATTCTGTGATTTTTGCACTGCCAGGTTCAATAAAGGCAGCCTTCAGCTGACTTAGGACACTTTCACCTCAGCTCTCTTCTAGATCCCACCATAGCCAGTCACTGTGTAAGTAGATGTCCCCACCTGGGCCTTGGAGGGCTCTCTTGCCTCAATCAAAGGCCCAGGACCACCTTAATCCACATATTTTCTGTGGCACAAGTTGCCCAGCTGACTGCAGAACCATGAACCTGAGACCAGAAGGTGCTCACAGCAGCACAATACTCTGCCCAACCTATCATATGCCAGTATTTCCTGGAACTTCTGTGCTAAGACAAGCCTTTAACTATTCTCCTGAAAAAGAAGAAAAACCCATCTCCTACAGCCTGATACTAATTTCCCATGAGCCCCAGATACTCAAATGTGGTCCTTGGTTCCACATTATCTGAGAATGTGTTAGAAATGCAGACTCGGGCCACATCCCAGACCTGACCTCCTCAACCACTTTAATAAGCCCCAAGTGATTAGTAGGCACCTTTAAGCTTGTCCTCTGACTCTCCAATAAGCCAGACTGGGGATTAGGAGAGACTTCCTGTCTGGATTCTCCCAGTAATGCACTGTGAGACGATGAGCCACTCTGAGCTTTGGATTCATCAGTACATAAGGTAGAGGTGGCACTGTGGTTTTCAAGCAAGGTCTGGGACACCCTAGAGCTTGCAGAGAGGTGTTGGGGATTATTGCAGAAGTAGAAAGGACGAGAAGGGACGAGCCCTGCAGGGAGGGGCTTCTGCTCTTCCACCCCTCTTCAACTGTTTCACTATATCTGTGGGAGGAGGAAGTTTGAGATATAATAGGCATATAACATTACCTTAGTTTCAGGTGTACAAGATAACAATTCAATATACATATATATTATGAAATACCATGATATGTCTAGTTAACATCCACTCATCACCATAAATAGTCATATTTTCTTTCTTGTGATAAGAACTTTCAAGATCTCTTAGCGACTTTCAAATATACCATATGGTACAGCTGACCCTTGAACAACAGAAGTTCAAACTGCACAGGTCCACTTATATGTGAGTTTTTTGCAGTATAGTACTATAAATGTTCTTTCCTTTCTTTTTTTTAAGATTTTATTTATTTATTTTACAGAGAGAGTGAGAGAGCACAAGCAAGGGAAAGGATAGAGGGAGAGGGAGAAGCAGGCTCCTAAGCAGGGAGCCTGATGCAGGACTCTATCCCAGGACACCTGGGATCATGACCTGAGCCAAAGGCAGACGCTTAACTGATTGAACCATCCAGACCCCTATAAGTATATTTCTCTTCTGATTTTAATATTTTCTTTTCTCTAGCTTACTTTAAGAATATAGTATATACTTTTTTTTTTAATTTATTTATGATAGCCCGGGCCAAAGGCAGGTGCCAAACCGCTGCGCCACCCAGGGATCCCAAGAATATAGTATATAATATAGTATATAACATATACAAAATAAGTGTTAATCAGCTGTTATGTTATCAGTAAGGCAGCTGGTCAATAGTAGGCTATTATTAAGTTTTTTGGAGTCAAAAGTTATACCTGGGGGTGCTTGGGTGGCTTAGTCAGTTGAGCATCTGCCTTTGGCTCAGGTCATGATCCAGGGTTCCTGGAATCAAGCCCCATGTTGGGTTCCCTGCCTACTTCTCCCTCTCTGTTTCTCTCCCCTGCTTGTGCTCTCTCTCTCTGTACCAAATAAATAAATAAGATTTTTTATTTAAAGAAGGCTATATCTGGGGATCCCTGTGTGGCACAGCGGTTTAACGCCTGCCTTTGGCCCAGGGCGCGATCCTGGAGACCTGGGATCGAATTCCGCGTCGGGCTCCTGGTGCATGGGGCCTGATTCTCCCTCTGCCTGTGTCTCTGCCTCTCTCTCTCTCTCTCTCTCTCTCTCTCTCTCTCTCTCTGACTATCATAAATTTAAAAAAAAGGCTATATGGATTTCTGACTGTGTACATCTTTCAAGGGTTAACTGTATATATTAACTATAGACTATAGTCTCCATGCTATATATTACATCCTAGGACTTACATATTTTATAACTGGAAGTTTGTACCTTTTGACCTTCTTCATCCATTTCACCCATCCCCCATCTCTGGCAAACCCCAATCTGTTCTCTTACTGTATCTATTTCATATACTGAGTTTCTCAAAATTTATTTGAGAAAAGGATTCTGTTGTTAAAAAAAAAAAAAAGTCCTCCAGTTCTGTAATCTGAAGATTTATGTCTGTTTGGCCCCAAAGAAGGAAGGAAATAGTGGTGCTATCTGGTATCCTCATCTCTGCCTATACCAGTCCATCAGTTCAGATGGACTGAATTGTTTACCTATGCACCCTGAAATCAGTATGTGTGAGGTCTACCGTCAAGCTTTGGCTTGCTCTTGCACATGATGTGCATGATCAGCCCGCAGTGAGCACTGGAAAACAGGACTATGAGAGGAGCCAGGACTCTGCTGGGCCACTCCTCACAAGCCCTTCTCTTGCTGGCTCTGCTCAACCTCCTAGGCTCTATTATTTCCCCCTCCTCTGTCCTCACCCATTTCCCCTCCTTCCTTAAATATTTTTGAGTACAAAGTGTGAGCAGGGCTTCCTGCTACTGTCCCTCCCATACACAGATGGATGGACACAGTCCCAGACCTCAAGGAGACCATGTCTAGACCAAAGTCCCTGAACTTAGCCTCTTGCCTAATTAATCTGAGGTTTCCTTCTTTTGTGCCAGACCCCTGTGATTTATGATCTTCCGTGGGATCTATCTAAATTCATCATCAGACAGATTTCTGATTGTGGGCAAACCCTTGGCTCTGCTTTGGCATATTGGCACCAGGCTGATAGCTGAGGTTGTGAGGAAGAGATCAAGAAACCTGTAGGATAGAATTAGAATTTAAAGGGGATTGGGGGGATCCCTGGGTGGCGCAGCGGTTTAGCGCCTGCCTTTGGCCCAGGGCGTGATCCTGGAGACCCCGGATCGAGTCCCACATCGGGCTCCCGGTGCATGGAGCCTGCTTCTCCCTCTGCCTGTGTCTCTGCCTCTCTCTCTCTCTCACTGTGTGCCTATCATAAATAAATAAAAATAAAAAAATTTAAAAATAAAAAAAAAGGGGATTGGGTACCTCAGCTAGTAAGGCATAGAATAAAATCCAGAATGAATGAAGGAAATCCTTTATAGGTTGACATCTAAGTTGTTTCTACTTTCCTGCTATTTTAAACTATAGTATAACATAACATCTCCCACTATACATCTTCCTTTATCCATTGGATAAATCCCTGCATATAGGGCACCTGGGTGGCTCAGTGGTTGAGCATCTGCCTTCAGCTCAGGTTGTGATCCTGGGTTCCTGGGATCGAGTCCCACATTGGGGTCCCCGCAGGGAGTCTGCTTCTCTCTCTGCCTATATCTCTGCCTCTTTTTCTGTGTTTCTCATGAATAAGTAAATAAAATCTTTAAAAAAAAAAATCCCTGCATATGTGACTGGCTGTTTCAAAGGGTGTGCATATTTTAAGGTTTAGGTTATATTTCCTCGAACTTGAATGTGTTTTCATATGTTTAAAACCAAATCTTTTCTTTTCTCCCAGGCCAGATCTGTTGAGGTCTGAAGGTATCCCCAGTACGGAGGTGGCTCCCGCCGCATCCCCTTTGTCCGGAAGCCCCAAAATGTCCACCTCGAGCAGCAAGAGCCGATATAGGAGCAAACCACGCCACCGCCGAGGGAGTAGCCGCGGCAGCCACAGTGACTTTGCAGGGATCTTGAAAACCCAGCCAGCCCAGGACACTTCACCCCGTCCCACTTACCTACACCAAGCTCAGTCCCAGTACCCTTCCCCCCAGCACCACAGTCCTCTGCAGCAGCAGTACCAGCAAGGCCCTCCTGCCACATCTCAGAGCGTCCATCCCCGACTGGGTATGCACGGACAGGACATTGCCGCCTGCGCCAACAACCTGCGGTACTTCGGCCCCGCCGCGGCCCTGCGGAGCCCACTCAGCAACCACGCTCAAAGGCACCCGCCCGGCTCCAGCCCCGACCTCATCTCCACAGCCATGGCGGCAGACTGCTGGAGAAGCTCTGAGCCAGACCAGGGCCCAGCCGGCCCCTGGGGCTGTTGTCAGGCTGACCCATATGACCCCTGCCTCCAGTGCAGGCCGGAACCCTGTGGGTCCTTAGACATACCCTCTGCTGAGCCAGTGGGGAGGAGCCCCGACCTTTTCAAGTCACCAGCACACAATCCCCTCTCGGAAAATACCCAAGGTTCTGAGAGAATGGAAGAAAAGGACCTCAAAGGCTGTAGGTCTGCATCATCCCTTGGCATGCCTCATCACACCACCCCCACCATGCTACCTCGAAACACAAGGCCCCTGCAAAAGGTAAGCAGTCATGACAGCAGCGGCTCCACAGCATGTCAGAAGCCGTCGTGTTGTGCACACTAGAAAACCTACATTACGTGTCCTTTTTGTGAAAGGATGAGATGACAAAAGCATAATCAGAAGTCTCTTTGACTTTAAATAATCACGCCACACTGCTTATGGGATAGATTAGAGACTGCACTTTGGGAACTGTTGAACCAGAGGACTGATTCAACTGTATCTCATTTAGAAGTAGATAAATAACCATATAGTAGGGATATGTAATCAAAACTAGAACTAGCCTAGCCTAGTCCTGATGGGTGTTGCAAGAAGGAGGGATCCCATTATAAAACAAGTTGGAAACCATAGTATTCTCTGTCCCCTTTTAGAGATTCCTAGTGACAATCAACAAATCTTAGGCTTTAAAAAAAATCCTACAGTACCATGTTTAATCCGGCATTTCCTTCACCTTTTTGGCCACAGTGGCTTTAAAAATAACATCTATTAATATCCCATGGAGCTAGCTTTCTTCACAATATATTTTGGATAGGCGCCTGGCTGTCTTAGTAGGTAGAACATGAGACTCTTGAGCTTCAGGTCATGAGTTCAAGCCCCACGTTGGGTGTGGAGCCTACTTAAGAAAAAAATAAAATATTTTTAAAACCAATATATTTTGGAAAACACTGCCTTTATTAATAACCATCATGACCCAGAGAGGTCTCTATCACTGAACCTGTTTCTCTCCTCCTCACCCATTGGCTGCCTAGGGTTTATTAGCTTGAAGATAATCTACCATAGTAGTTAAGAGCATGAGCCTGGGAGCCAAACAGATCTGAGTTCAACGCAAGGCTCTTCCACTTAGAACCTATATGAACACTGGTGTCCTTGTCTATAAATGGGGTGAAGAGCAGACCCTGCCTCATCAGTTGATGTGAAGATTAAATATGGATTAAATGAATTAATACATATAAAGCATTTAAAACAGGGCCTGGCACATAACAACATTCCGAAAATGTTAGCTCATCTTGCTAATGAGTTAAAAATAAGATTATATATGACAAGTGTTTAGCACAGGGCAAACACCCACTCACTTCTCAGCATTGCTTCATCTCGTCAGCATTCATCAGGAGTGCAGTTGAAGGAGTGAAAGGGTCAAAAATGTAAATGAGTATGTTTTGGTCAACTAGACATTTAAAAGAAGTTGATGTACCTGTCAGGATGGCTAGAATTAAAAAGACAAGAAATAACAAGTTGGAGAGGATGTGGAGAAAAGAGAACTCCTATGCACTGTTGCTGGGAATGCAAACTGGTATAGCCACTCTGGAAAACAGTATGGAGGTGCCTCAAGAAGTTAAAGATAGAAATACTATGTGATCCAGTAATTTAACTTCTAGGTATTTGCCAAAAAGAAAACCAAAGCACTAATTAGAAAAAAATATATGCACCCCTGTGTTTATTACACTCTTATTTACATGTATGGCCAAGATAGGGAAACAACCTAAGTGTCCCATCAATGGATGAATGGATAAAGAAGACAGACAGACAGACACACACACACACACACACACACACACAATTGGATATACTCAGGCGTTAAAAAAGAATGAAATCTTGCTATTCATGACAACATGGATGAGCCTACAGGGTATTATGCTAAGTGAAATAAGTCAGACAGAAAAAGACAAAATACCGTATCATTGACTTACATGTGGAATCTAAAAAACAAAACAAATGAACAAACACAAAAACCCAGAAATAGATTCATGAATATGGAGAACAAATTAGTGGTTGCCAAAGGGGAGGAGGGTAAGGGAATGGGTAAAATAGGTAAAGAGGATTAAGAGGTTCAAACTCCCAGTTATAACTCACAAGGGGTGAGGAGTAAAGCATAGGGAACATGGTCAATAATTGCAATAATTGCAAGGTGGAAGATGATAACTGTATTTATTTTGGCAGGTATAGCCTAATACATACAATTGTCGAATCACTATGTAATGCACCTGAAACTAATATAATGTTGTAAATCAACTATATTTCAATTAAAAAAAGAAGTCGAGGCTAAGGGCTGCTGTCTCAGAACTGGATTTCTTTTCCTACATATAGTGCTGCCACTGATGAAGCATTGCTAGAGATTAAATTATGTTTTGGGTGGAGAAGAGAGCTCGTGCTCTCTGTCATGCTCTGCTCCCCCACCCCTATGTGGCCAGCAACACATATTTTTTTGGTAACAACTTTATTGAATATAATTCACATACCATAAACTTCTCCCATTAAATGTACCACTCAGTTCTTTTATTCATAGTTATGCAGTCATTACCAATTTTAGAATATTTCCATCATCCCAAAAAGAAACTCTGCACCCTCCAGCAGTCAGCCCAGTCCCCTCCCTGAGTAACATGTGTCTTTGAACCATTCTGATGCAATTCTGATGCATTCTGGTACATTCTGTAGGCCAGCAGGCCAGGGAACACACACCCTATACATTTGGCCTCATTGGAACAGCACTCCCACAGGGCAGTTCAACTTCTCTTGACTGAGATACACTTCCATCGTGCCTCAGGTAAATGCTCACCTTGGCAGTCAGTATAACCCCATACCTGTCTCTCCAGCTCAAAAAGGAATATCGGAATACAAGTGGGTAAGAGTGATGGTAAATTAGAAGTAAATTATTCTCAGAGTGCCTGGGTGGCTCAGTTGGTTAAGCCTCTGCCTTTGATTCAGGTCATGATCCCAGGGTCCTGGGGTGGAGCCCCACATTGGGCTCCTTGCTCAGTGCAGAGTCTGCTTCTCCCTCTCCCTCTGCCCTACACCCTGCTCGTGCTCTCTCTCTCACACGCTCTCTACCTCTGTCTCAAATAAATAAATAAAATCTTTAGAAAATAAATAAAAGTAAATTATCCTCAATCTTTGATATAATTACTTGGACCCAATTGTCTACCTCACAAGGGATCACAGTAATCTAGTGTATCATGATTCTGGGGGTAAGGACTATTGATTTTAAGTGTGGCTGTTCTTATGTTATTAAAGAGAGATAGACTCTTCCCTGTGGAAGAAGATCATCTTCTCAGACAAGGCACTTACCCAGCCTCCCAGATCAACCACAAAGCCCTGGCAATCCTGAGGCTTCAGATATCCCAACCAGAGCTCCCTGATGCTTGCTAACAGGCTGACTCCATTATGCACAGGTGCATTAAGTACCTGTTTTGTATTCATGGTGGAATGAGAACTACAAGATACAGTTTCACTCTCATTTAATATATACCTTAGCAGTACAAAGGATCTAAGCATAATAACTATAATATTAGTGATAAGGTGATTGGTACATAGAAGAGGGAAAGTAGTTGTTGGGTTTTGAAGAACTGAAAGATCACTTCTTGGTGGAGTCCCTATGTCAGGGCCTGGAACCCTGAATGACAATGATTATAAGAGACTGCCCCCAAATCCAAAACCTTCTATTTTCCCCTCCTTACCTACTGGAGGGCAAAGCTCACCTTTACTTACTTTTGTGTATCTTCCAGCATCTAGTACAGACCTTGTCACATGGACACCAAGGAAAGGTTGCTGAATGAATGAATGAAAATATGTGTGTTTATTTTTTTTTTAAGATTTTACTTATTAGAGCACAAGTAGGGAGAGGGCATGAGGGAGAGAGAATCTTAAGCAGACTCCCCACTGAGCAGGGAGCCCCACATGAGGCTTGGTCCCAGGACCCTGAGATCATGACCTGAGCCCAAGGCAGACGCTTTACTGACTGAGCCACCCAGGCGCCCCTGAAAATATGTATGTTTAAAGATGACACTCAGCAAACTGCTATTCAGTGCCTTTTGATCTTAATTAAATCTTTTACAAAGACTGTGTGTGTGTGTGTGTGTGTGTGTGTGTGTGTGTGTGTGTGTAAGAGAGACAGACAGATTGGGATAAGGCTCTTTCTCCTTGTTCTCCTCAGAGTGGAGATGACTCCTCAGAAGAGGAAGAAGGGGAAGTAGATAGTGAAGTTGAATTTCCACGAAGACAGAGGTAAAACCAACAAACACATGTGACTGCTTTCAATATGATGGGGAAAATCCTGAGTTTGCCATACTGCCTGTTCAGTCACAGGTCACCCTTGGACAACCACCTTTTAGGGAGATTCAAACCCACCATTCCTGTTCTCCCATTGCCACATTTTGGTCACTTAGCATGCATAACAGATCCTAGTTCATCAGAATTCATTTCTTACGAACTTCAAGATAAGGAGCATAAATATGGATTCAGAATTATGACTGAGTATGTAGTGGGCGTTTTTTGAGAGATGGCCATACTCTTTTGTGGATAACTTCATTGGGTTTCTGGTGTGCCTCCCTGTATTAATCTCTCTGGCTGCTATAACAAAATACCACAGGCTGGGTGGCTTAAACAATGGGAATTTATCTTCTACAGTTTTGGAGGCTAAGGAAGTCCATGATCAGGGTTTCTGGTGAGGACTCTCTTCCTAGCTTGCAGACAGCAGCCTTCTTGCTGTGTCCTTACAGGGCTGGTGGGGAGAGAGGGGTGGAATGGGAGAGAGTATAGCAAGGAAGGGAAGAGATCTTCCTCTTATAAAATCATAGTCCCATGGGATTATGGCCCATCCTTATGATCTCATTTGACTTTCATTACCTCCTAGAAGCCTATCTTCAGATTCAGTCCCACTAGGGGTAGGGCTTCAACATATGAATTGGGGTGGGGGTGGACACAATTCAGTCCAGAGCACTCTCATGCCTTTGGATATTATGCATCAGGTTAAGTATAATTAATTAGATTGTGTCCTCCTTTTTTTTTTAAGATTTTATTTATTCATGAGAGACAGAGAGAGGCAGAGACACAGACAGAGGGAGAAGCAGGGAGATCCCGGAATCCCAGGATCATGCCCTGAACTGAAGGCAGATGCTCAACCACTGAGCCACCCAGGCATCCCAGGGTTGAGTCCTTCTTCAACCTAGCCTTAAAAATCGCTTCCTGTCTAGCCAGAAATAATAATTTTGCTGGTAGGATTAAATTTAAGAAGTACCACATTCCCCTGGTTCTAGAATAAGAGCTGCCCTTACATAGGAGTAGGGAAGCTAGCTTTCCTCCAAGAAAGCCTTTTCTGCAGTTACACATTCTGGTCTTGAAGAGTAAAGCTCTAAGAATTGCCTAGGAAGGCTTGTGTACCTGCCCAGAAACAGGAATTCTCTGCAAACCAAGGGACTCATTTGATAAATTGTATTCTGGGTCTCCGTATTGCACAAAGTTGAAATCTGTTCTCATCCCCTGAGCTACTCTTGCCACATTACTATTGCTGCCTTACTGTGTGTCCTTGGCTTCTCCTATGCAGTGAGATTGGATTCTAGTAAAATGTCTTTTCATTCTCTGAACTCACTCTACTGACATCACAGTTAACATTACTTCTAGCTTTGTTCCTGTGACACACAATGAACTCGGCCCACCTAGTGGCTTCCTGCCTTTCTTGTTAGCTGCAAATTATATATATGTTTTTACTGCATAGTTTTGCTTTTTATATTATAACATTTTTCTCCCTGTCTCCTTTCTGTTACCAGCTCTGAGATGTAGTGTGAATCCTTTTTTCTTTTTTTAAGATTTTATTTTATTTGACAGAAGGAGAGAGAGAGAGAGAGAGAGAGCACAAGGAGAGGGGGAGTGGCAGGCAAAGGGAGAGGGAGAAGCAGGCTCCCTACTGAGCAAGGAGCCCAATGTGGGACTTGATCCCAGGACCCTGGGATCATGACCTGAGCCAAAGGTAGATGCTTAACTGACTGAGCCACCCAGGTGATCCTGAATCCTACTTTAATTTCCCTTTCCCACATGGGCTCTTTTCAAGGTGTCTTTGACTCCCCCCCCCCCACCTCAGCCTATTACCTGGCCTGGTCATTGGCAAGCCTCAGATCATATGCCATCAAAACCACTTTTTTTTTTTAAAGATTTTATTTATTTTATTCATAGAGACACACACACACACAGAGAGAGAGAGAGGCAGAGGCACAGGCAGAGAGAGAAGCAGGCTCCATGCAGGGAGCCTGACGTGGGACTCGATCCAGGTCCCCAGGATCAAACCCCGGGCTGCAGGCGGCGCTAAACCGCTGCGCCACCAGGGCTGCCCAAAACCACTTTATATTAAGAGATATAGAAAGATTAGATGACAGAGGAAAAAGGCAGTCTTCTTTTTATTGTATGTTTTGTTTTGTTTGTTTTGTTTTGTTTTGTTTCGAAACCAATATAAGCTAACAGCATTCTTAATTACTAGGCTACTCATAAACAATGGGAGAGAAATGAACTTTTGTAAATTCTCCCTCCCCTTGCCCCCCACAGATTTAGTCTCATCTAAGTAAAACTCACATGTTAACTAGAACTAGGCAGTGCCCCCAGCTGCAGAATAAACGTTTTTTCCAAGCTTATCTCCACTGGGGGGTTACATTAGCTGATGGAGCGAAGGCACTCGGCCGTCCAGGGCTGCCATGCCCAATGGGAAATGCAACTGGGGTGGAGGGAGAGGGAGAGAATGACATTGAGTGGGGTGTGAGTAGACCCAGCCCAAGCTGCAGCCTGCCTTCTGTGATGATGTGGCCTGGAACAAGTCACTTTCCCTCTCTGGCTCAGTTTTATGGGCTGAGAAATGAGTTAGACCAAAGCATCTCCCAAGACTCCTTTGCCTTTAAGAATCTGGGAGGTCGGGGATCCCTGGGTGGCTCCGCAGTTTAGTGCCTGCCTTTGGCCCAGGGCATGATCCTGGAGCCCTGGGATCGAGTCCCGTGTCAGACTCCCTGCGTGGAGCCTGCTTCTCCCTCTGCCTGTGTCTCTGCCTCTCTCCCTCTCTCTGTGTATCTCATGAATAAATAAATAAATAAATAAATCTTTAAAAAAATAAAAGAATCTGGGAGGTCTTTGCACAAGAAGCAGAACATCTCCATACCATGCATGCGTGTGCACACTGTGATCAGACCAGCTGAGTTTTTCAAAGACCAGTGGTAGCCATCGGCTTTGGAATATAGTGCTGAGCCACATAAACATGTGACCAAAGGAAAAGGGAAATTCAAAATTTCTTCTCTTTTGCTTTAAATTTAAATGGCACCCATCTATCTGATTTGAATCTCCCTCAGGGGTTGGGAGAAACCTAGGTAACCTCTCAGCGAGGCTATGATGGACAGACAAGGGAAGAACAGTGGTTGTTCCTGTGATTAAGATCCTCTGGTTCTTTGTGGTCCTAGGCCCCATCGCTGTATCAGCAGCTGCCAGTCGTATTCAACCTTTAGCTCTGAGAATTTCTCTGTGTCTGATGGAGAGGAGGGAAATACCAGTGACCACTCCAACAGTCCTGATGAGTTAGCGGATAAACTTGAAGACCACCTGGCAGAGAAGCTAGATGACCTGCTGTCCCAGACGCCAGAGATCCCCATTGAGATATCCTCGCATTCAGATGGGCTCTCTGATAAGGAGTGCGCTGTTCGCCGCGTGAAGACACAGATGTCCCTGGGCAAGCTGTGTGCGGAGGAACGTGGCTACGAGGTGGGGCTTCTCCTCCCTTCTCCCCTGATCACTGTAGCTCTTTGGGGTTAGAGCATGCTTGAGTCCCTAGGGCCTTTACAATTCCCACTTAGTATGCCTCCAAGAAGTAAGCTGAAGTACAGAGATCAACAGAGCTCCCCTAAATAAGGGCAGCTCTCCCAAATGAGGCACAAACATTGAACTGCTCAGGCACCCTTCATTCTAAGATTAAGTCAAATGTCACCTCCTCCTAGCCCCTCTCCCTCGTGGTTCAGGGTATGAGCCTCCCTCCTCCGTGTCTCCACTGTACCCTGGATGATGCTCTCATAGCCTGTGGAACGCTTCAGTTCCTACACAGTACAGTATAGTTCCTGCCGTTGGAGGGCAGGTTAGCATAGCGGCGGAAAGTACACCCCCGGAATCGGACTGCCCACACGCCAAGCCCAGCCTGAGTTCTCTACTGACCACCACGTTGCACAAGCTGCTAACCTCTCTGTAGGTCAGCTCCCTCATCTGTAAAGTGGGAGTGATGACAGCATCTGTCTCCTGGGGGGTTGTGAGGATTAAGTGAATTTCTAGATGTAAAGCACTTAAAGTAGTGCCCAGGTCATAGCCAACACTACATTAGTAGGGCTGAGGTGGTCCTGCTGCCATCACCATCATCATCATTGCCATCATCACCTTTATATGTCTTCTTTCTCCAGAAGCCCTGCAAGGGCAGGACCTGGTCTCATTTATCTTAGCCAGCAACCCAGCACGGTGCCTGTCATGTGGGACGTATCTGGTACGTGTTTACTAAGTGGCTGCCTGAATGAATTAAGCTTTTTATTTTGTCTCGATTTTGCAGAATCCTATGCAGTTTGAAGAATCGGACTGTGACTCTTCTGATGGAGAGTGTTCTGATGCCACAGTTAGGACCAATAAACACTACAGTTCTGCTACTTGGTAATGGAAGAAAACCCATCCTGAAGATCTCATGACAATACTGGCATTTCAAATCCTTCCCACCCCATAGACTCTTTCCCCTCTCTCCTTGCTTTTTTGTCTGGGAAGAGAGCCGCCCCATTTTTCTTGCCCCTAGAAATGAGCTGCAATAACAGGAACATGAGACTTCGCAAATCTCTGGAAAAAAAAATATCCAAATGAAATTAAGTCTCACTGAACATTTCAATCAAGAATGGCAGGGATCTATTTTATTGAATATTCTAGCTACTGTAACATTGATATTTATTTTTGTTTGACATTTTAACACTTTGTACTGTAAAGAGTGAACTATATATGACATAGAGAGAGACAATAATTTCTTGCAAAAAAAGAAAGAGAGATAAAGAAAGAAGTTGAATTTAGGAGCAACATCCTTGGGAATTTGTGGGGCCAGGAGGTATTATTGCTACTTGAACAGGGGACCAGTTCTTTTGGCCATAAGTGACTGAAGAAGAGCCAGAGCAAGACATATTATTTTAGAAAACAAAGAACAACAAAAGAAAAGCAATTCCAGGTAACTTGTGAACAGACCACATTAAGTTCAACCAGCTTGTCCACATGGGTGATGGAGATGACCTAGAAAAGATTGGTGACCAGATACTTGCACCCAAGGTCTTTGAGGGCATCTGCTTCCTCTAGGAGGAAAAAGACAACTACCCACGTGGAAGCTGATTTCATTTTACAAATTTGAAGCAGCAGTTGGTAGTGAGACTTACAGACAGCGTCAAACCTTGTCTTTACCAATACTTCCCATTTTAATGCTGTCATCGCCATGACCTTGACAAATGTGTGACCTTGACCAATGTGTTGATTTTTCAGACTCAAGTGCCATTTTCTTGTAGCCTATTTCCTTTCCACCTATTGACCACTTCCTCGAGGGAAAAAAGGCAGGGGGTGCTCATAAAAGAAAAAGGAGATTTACAACAGTATTAGAAAAGCGAATGTGGAATTTGTGAAAGTACATTCTCACAATGTCTCAGTTCAGCTTCGTGGAGAAGGTGGGATCGCCCCTCTGTGGAACCAGGTTGCTTGTCTACTAGAGTCATATTGATTCAAACAGAACAGACTTTGAAGGCAGCTAGCATGTGTGTGAGTCTGTCCAGTGTCCAATCCCAAACCACCACCACCCTTGTTTTCATTCATTAACTCATCCTATCCGGGAAGCTTTAGTGCCTGGCTACCACTAGCAGCATAAAGGCAAAATAAGCAACTTACAAAAGGCAACTCCTTTCCCACAATAGCATTTTCATTAAATGCAACTTGTGAAATGTGTTTTACTGCACTCTGGATCAATGCAGTTTGGAATGATTGAATTTAGAAATTTCTGAGAAGAACACCTGCCGCTGAGCAGCAATCAGAAAGATTTGACATTGTCCAAGGCCTGAAGTCCTGCTTCGCTCTGTACTTCATGGTGCCTTGGCTTCAAGGAATTTTTATCTAGAATTTTATATAAAAACAGGTGTTGGCCTAGTTTCCATCTCTTTCTCCAAGATAGGTTACCACTGTCAAACGACCTCTCTAGGCTCAAGACCTGAAGAACATGGCTCAACTCTTTGACAGTGCATCATGTTGGACATTAGGAAAGACTTACACCTTCAGGTATTAAACTATTTCCGACACAGATGAAAACGTTGCCCCCCTCTGGGTGTCACTGATTGCATCAGCCAAAAAGGAAAGGCGGAGGGAATGTAGAGCAATTCCTTTTGCTTGTTTGGTCCCTCCATCTGTTTACACTTTATGTTGAGACATTGATTTAAAATGTAGTGTCTATAATTTATAGCTTTTAGGTAGGATGAAGGAAAATGTTTAACTTATGCAGAGAGCAGTATTGTTTGCATTAAATTATTCCATTTTGTATAAATTCTGTAGCTGGACTACATGAAATATCTTAAGTTATGGCATTATTCTCATTGTTATTTTATTTTATAATAATTATCATTCTCATTTTCTGTCGATCAGAAGGTGTGGTTTACAGTGTAGCACAATGATTGTGTTTATTGCTAACCATGGATAATGATGGATTTTTATGATTTTTATGAAGGAATGAAAATGGAACTGCCATTTGGGAGCTCCCTGGTATTCATCTGAGTTGTATCCCCTCATTTTCTGTGTGCAACAACAATCATCTGAGGATGCGGGTTCTGCCCTGGAGCCCGGTGGATACACTGGGGTTTTGACTTGATCTGAAAAGCTCCTGGGTGGGCAGATGATGGAGTGGATGGACAAATACTTCAAAAGCTGTAAACTTTATCAAGTTTCTTAAGAAATAAAATCATGAGACTACATTAGAGGCAAAAAGAGAATTATTTAGTGCCCTAGAAGGAACTGGCCTAGGGAGTTGTCACCTGGGGCCCCTGGGTTAGGCAATGTTCAAGAGCGGGCAGCAGCTTGTCATCTCCTTCCTGCCAGGAGGTCCCATAGCACCAAAATCTTTTTTTCCTCCTGATGGGAATAGCAGGGAAACCTCAAAAAAAAAAAAAAAAAAAAAAAAGAATATATATATCATGACACTGACATAAAATGCCTAGGTGTGATATAATCCCATTAAAGACTAGAAAAATTCTGGAAGGAGGCCTGAGGGTCATAGGGCTGGAAAAGTACCCTGAAAGGCCATATTTTGCATCCTTGGACTTTAGACCACACTGTACTGTGAATCTCTCTCTTGTTCATTGCTTCTGGGAACAGAGAGGCTACAAGTTTCCACCCTCTTTCTCTCCAACAGAAAACATACTTCAGTTTGTCCAGTTCTTGCCCATCTCTAGTAGCAAAAGGGAAACACAAGGGTCAGCTTCTGTCTTACACCTTTCAGTGATGGTCTTCCTAGAAAACCTACACCTGATACCTCATAATTTTGATGGGTTGTTTTTTGTTTTTTGAGTTCCTATCTTGACTGCCTGTCATGATAATGCCATATATACCTATCTGGGTTTACTGTTATGAGCATGTTAGGATAGCAGACAGTGTTGAATCTTTAGTCATTCACTGTATTGTCAAGAGTTGAATAAAGTTTCACATTGAACATTTTTATTTTTATTTTTAGTAGAAGTGACTAGAGGCTTCAGAGGAGAAACAGTGTCCCTAGTCTAGGTTAAAAGCCTTCTCTGTCTCAGCCTTGTTCTTCACTGCCTGCCTTGAACTAACCAGGACAGTTTTGAATCAGTGTGTGTTTCTTTGGGAACGACTCCACTGTCATCTGAAGAGTGCTGCATCCAGAGCTCAGGGAATCGAAGAACTGATTCTTCAGTCCTCAGGACTGTGCAACATGCTATAAGGAACCTCACAAGACTGTTATTTCAAGCTTCGGTGTTGATTGAAAGTTTACCCCCCTTGGGATGAGCATTCACATTCATTTAGCATCTGTTTTTGACTGACTGCAAGATAATGAGTTTTAATTTGTGTTGCAGATGAACATTTGGTTCTGATTTTCATCTATTTCTAGATCATGTCCTCTGATAACAATTCCTATTAATTGCTTAGCAGAGGGACTGAGAAGCCAACATCCACTTTGAAATTATAATAGACCTTACTGCCTGACCTGTTTGCAAGATTGTGGGAGCTCCTACTCAAAAAGTGTGAAGATACTAGCTAGCTCCGTCGTAAGATGATTTGGTACAGCCTACTTGAATTTCAAATGCTTAAAAACTTTAGTATTAACCATCCTTTTGGAATTAGGGATTTTTTTTTTTTTGTAGTGAGAGTTAATAAGTACTAGACATACATTTCAGGGCCTCATTGTGCTAAATTTCCCTCTTACCCTAAGTAATAGAAGTGATGGGGTTTGGTTTTCCTGATACAACACAATTTTAAATGTTGTCCCCTACTGTGAAGCATTGACATCCTTTCCATGTGAATGCATCCTTAGTGATCAAATAATTTAACTTTTTTATCCCCACACCTTTTTGTCTCAAGTTTTCCCTCCTTTTCATAAAATATTCCCACTTGAACTTCCTAGAACTGAATTCTCCAGAATAGAACATATTTGGAATCCAAGGAATTCCTGCCCTGCTCTGGAGTATAGTGTGCCGTTTTGTTTTTCCACTAAGCCAGAAATCAAAATACCATCACATACCACCATCTACCACCTCCACCCTGAACACCCGAGACTGATGTTATTTATTGACCGCCATATTTTTTCCTACCCAGCCTGGACACAGCCTCAGCACCTCTCACAACACAGCACTGGGAACAATAACTACCACTTGATTGGAATTGGTGTGCAAGGGGAGATGTTTTGGCATCCCAACCCTGAGCTCATAATTAATTTTCTCCAGGTGGTTTGATAACTTGAGTTAGCCCTGAAGGGAGAGTGACAGGATATCACACCAGTGCTCTTATGGAGCCCACCCTATGGCTGTTGCGGGTCAGCACCATTGCCAGGAAAAAGGCCACTTGCTTCCACCCACTGTCCTTCTGGACTACCATTCCAACTGAGTAATTTCCAATCACTGATGGATGGAATTCCAAAGTATCTCTTCATTTACATCATTTCATTGTGTTCAATAGGCATGTTCCTCCCTCCCCTTCTATGAACAAAGTTAATGTATTGAGTCCCAGTTACATACTTCTTTCTTAGACTCTGTGAGGCTAATGTACCAAAACAATGTGATATTCTTTTTTAAGACTTTGACTTGTACTGTCAGTGTGAATTTAGTGCCTTTCCAGGCAGCAAGATTTTTCTTCTCTGCTGACTTCATAGAATGAAATGCCCTACTATACTCATACCACCAATGTTACCATCCTCACAGACCAGCACATCAGAATTACATTAGTCTGCTTGTTTGCATGTTACAGCCAATACTGCGAGCACCTATTCAAACTGGAATGAACTAGGCTGCCAAGCAGAAGACCCTTCTGGAACCTGAACACTTCTCAGGGACAGGTGGCAGAAAAGGGGAGCTCTGAAAGCAGTGCTTTGAGAAACAGGGTTATTCCCAAGGAGTTGGGGTAAGGCTTTTGTTAACTGTCACATGATGAGGGCGTGATGGCAGGTTCTCACAAAGACCAGACCCCAGGTGGAAGCAAGGCTGCTGTAAGGGTACTTTTGGCAGGACCCCAGGCTTACTCTTTGAGCCACTTCACAACACTCAGGGGAATGCTGGCTCCTGGCCCCGGGCTGCTGCCTGGTGACCTGGTGAAAAGGGTCCTCCAATAGTTAGACACACAGGGACCCCCGGTCAGAATGTGCAGGCTCTTAGGAAGAGTCCCTTATGGACTGGATCACTAGAGTGGCTCTCCACCCTCAGAGTGCCCTCTTCTTAGACTCCAGTAGTGGGAAGACCCACTTGGATTCTTTACCGCAATAATTTAAGTTCCTATCAGCTTGGAGCAAATTCTTTTTCATGCTTAAGTCTCAAAGCAAACTTCCTCCTCTGTCTCCCCTGGGTCTCAAGTACCATCAGTCCCCTGTTCCCTGTGGTCTCTGATGCCAGCTCCATCTGTGCTGAGCAACTGTACAGTGATGGGAACAAGAGCGACTATCGAAGCAAACCAATGCATGGAATTAAACAAAAAGTGTGCTTCACTCTTTTCTGGTCCTGTCTCTCTTCCTAAGGTGCTGTGTGTGTCCTGAAAGCTGCCGTCACACGTCTCGGCATTGGTCAGAGCTTTAGGGTAAGAAGATTTGACATGCAGGGCGTCCTGCGGCCAGGAGAGCCAGGTGTGGAGAATCTGGTTTCTGTGGCTCCTTGTTTCAGACACCCCCACAGGAGGAAGGGAAACCGTTGTTTTCTTTCCTCATAGTCTCTTCCTGATTGATTTGTCACAGGCTGGACAGGTGCCCTCCTGCTTTCCCACGGCTTCCCTGCTGCCCATCTTGTAGTCACTCCTCTGTTATTACTGACTCTACTATAAAGTAAGTGTAGAAAACAGTGAAAACAAAATTCTGGCTTCCAAAGAATAAGAGTGGTAAGAAACCTCCTGAGAGTAGAAAGCTAAAACACCATTTTGGATTGTCTGATTTTCAGCCAATCCTGATTCCCAATGACAGGGGGAATTGAAAGTTAGCAACATGTACATCACGCACCACGCAGAACATTTATATCCATTTATTTGGGAAATTGCTTTGCCTGTAAACTCACAAATGGTAAGGCACATTGTAGCAAAATCAAGGGGGAAGAGGGATAAAGACATAAAATATAAGGGTCCTGTAAAGGACAAAGGGCACACACTTGCAATAGTGTAGAAAACACTGGTTTCCCCTTCCCTCCACCTCCTCCTCCTCCAGAACACAAAAAGCCACAGATTTCACACAGCCTTCTCCTCACCCCCACTCATTACCAAGCTTCTTTTAAAACAACATGTCTTTAAAAAAGAAGTCCTGGCTGTTTTTTGTGTCATACCATGTCCCAAAACCATGACTTGGGGATTCATTCTTCCTACTGAACAGGAGTATGCTCAAGAATTCATGTAGAACAAGTGGCCCAAGTGAAAGCCTTGGCAAGATTCTTGGCCAAGCCAAAGCAAAACCCAGCAGATGATGCCCAAAGGCAACAGTTCTGGTAAGAAATGAATTACTCCTTTGGGTTACAGAATCCCAGAGCTGGTTAGTGTAGGCGCCAAGGTCCTCGTGTCCCTGGCACCATTAACCCAGGTCTGTGCCCGTTCAATACCGCAGCTGTAAGAAGCAGTAACAGCCACAGATCATTAAAATCAAACACAACAAAGTAATCTAAAACCAAGTTTTCCTCTTTGGGTTAAAAGATAAAATTATACCTCAGTTATTCTCAACAAATGACAAAATTAAAAATATTCAGAGGGTACACTGGCTGAGAGCTAAGTGTACTGAATCCAATCTCCTAGCAGGAGGGTGGAGAAAGGATTCCCACAGCAAGGACAGATTAGAAAATGTCATTTGGTTCCAGTGAGCCAAGGGCCCTGCCCCATTCGGACAGGTAAAAATTTCTCCAGAACATATCCATGACATAGAGTTTGCTGCATTCATATTTAATAGTCTATTTGCAGTCAGCTCCATTATCAGAACATGCAACTAAGAGGTTTAACACATCCAAGAACGTCAGTGCATCTGAACGCAAAGAGCATCACGGAAATCGCTGGGCGTGTGAGCTGTGTATGTGCAAGTTCCATGTGGTTCCTCAGCTTGATTCCCTTGGTTTATGGAAGAGGTAGGTCATCAGCAAAAAAGTGCAGGACGCTCTTCAAGAGACTAGCAAGACAAAGGGTAATGTCAGTGACGTGGGTTCACGTCATCATCTACACCAATTACATACACTGGGGACTTAACCACCCGTCACAACAGCCTACTGCTTTGCTAAAGAGGCACTCCGGACAAGGACAACCAGCAGCTTCTCCTAGGGCAGCTCAGGGCTTGGCAAGAGGCAAATACAACAGACTACCCTGAGTTCCCTGTTATTCAATAAATTATAAATAGGATCTTCTAGAAGGCCATCCATTTCACAGAGTGTCCTGCTACTCCAGGACTGGTTGGAGAACCTGATACAATTCACCTTCTAGAGCACTCAAAGTGTCCTTTATGAAAACACCACACACAGATAAACAGTGTCCAAATCACCTGTTGAGGGTAGTGAAGAACAATGAGGGGCTGCAGAGGACCACACCATTACACAGACAAGCAGCAAAGTCCAGGAACATGGCAACCAAAACCACACAGATCATGTGTCCTTTCTACTATTTAGATGATTAGTGTTGCTTATTTCATTCAAATGCAGGTCCTTCTGACTAAATTTTTTAATGAGGGTTCCAGGAACTAAGGCCACCAAGGCAATGGCCAAAAGCTTGAAGATCGTTTCCCAGGAGAAAAGAGCATCCAGAGAGGTCAGAGTTGACAGGATGGAGCCTGTCTGCACACAGATAAAATTGTACGGGATCAGACCTGGAAGGAAAGGGAAAGAGCCTGTTACTAGGGCCAGCAGGATGAAGAACAACAACCCTTTGGAAATGGCCCCAGAAATTCACAACTGTGACTCCAGATGTGTTTGTTTTTTTTGTTTTGTTTTGTTTTTTGCCCAACTCCTGACCCCTAAGCACATTACCTCTTTCCCTTCTCTACTCCTTCCCCGCCTTTCCTCACTCCCCATAAACTGCCATTTTACAAAAAGACCTGATGACAAAAATACGTACACCACAGTAAGATAAAAAAATGTTTTAATAGGAAACACAAAATGAGTGAAGAATAAAAGTGTAAAGTTCACCCATTTGCTAGAAGTGCCTTCAAACTGGGTTCTGAGCACCCAACAGTCTATGAAAGGCACCAGCATCATAAGATTTATAGTACGCATAGGATAAAAACAAGTTTCTTAAAAATAGCACTACTTTTGCATTCTACACTGTCTCTGAGAGATCATCAAATCCACTGGATCCCAAACGTCTGACTGGCGGCCTGACAGGCTGGTCACATAACAATTCTCTGGGGAAGCTGTTAAAAAACACATCCTTGGGCTCCCTCCCACCCCCACCCCAGAGATTCTGGTGACCTGGGCCTACGATAAAACCCAGAAACCCACATCCTAACAGCTTCTCCTGATCCCCACTCCTGAGACTAATTGGTTTGGGACCCCCTGATAATCCGCTGGCCCCCTACAGTAGTCGATGCCTCAAGATCACAGAGCACTTAAGGTCACACAGCCTGCCAGAGAGGGGACTGGAACCCTGGTCTCCAGAGTCTTTCCAAGACTCCTGCCACCTAGGTAATTACAGGCTGCTGACGGAGTACCAAGGCACTCTGCCTGAAAGCCAAAATGACCAGAATGACCTGTGGTCGATGTTGCTTAGATTTAAGATCTCAATTTCTGGGAACCCTGGGTGGCGCAGCGGTTTAGCGCCTGCCTTTGGCCCAGGGCGCGATCCTGGAGACCAGGGATCGAATCCCACGTCGGGCTCCTGGTGCATGGAGCCCGCTTCTTCCTCTGCCTGTGTCTCTGCCTCTCTCTCTCTCTCTATGTGACTATCATAAATAAATACAAAAATTAAAAAAATAAATAAATAAATAAGATCTCAATTTCTCGCTCAAGAGTTCCCTATTAATAGCAGCTGCTCGACCACAGATTTGTTATGTTCGTCCTAGAACCCCTTAGTAGTCGGTCTTTCCCTCCATGGTCTAAGGTAGGTTTAAGAGAGGCAATCCTTGCCTTGGGCTTAAAGAGGGTGGTTTACTTCCAGTGTGAAGAAAACAACAGTCCCTGATTGTACAGGCTGTAGGCACAGTACCACGCTGCTAAAGGTGATCCAAGGCCCAGACTCTGAGAAACACTGCTCTTGTCCCAGGCCCTCCTCTGGCCAAGCGGCCCATGGAGGACAGTAAGTAGCTCGTTGAAGGTCAGACAATGGTCGAAAGGCAAGAAGGAACTTTACTAGTATCAGCTCTTCTCAAGGCAGATCTTAATCAAAACAGGCGCCAGAGCCAGAAAGGAAGTCCCTTGCTCTGTTCCTTTCTCTCCCCATACGCCCTCACTCCAGCTCCACTTTCCCGCTAGCATTCACTGAGCCCTTGCTAAGGTCTTCCACAGATGATACTTCTAATCCCAGTGCCTAGCACGGTGCTGGCCACACGCTATGCGCTAAATACCATTGTGGAATGGAAAAGCTTTACTTTTCCCAAAAGTAATTTTATAGGTCTTCTGTTCAGCCCTGAGCAGATCTGAAGTCAGGAATAATTACTTGAGGCCACAGGCTTGACACTGTTCTTCACAAACTGGGCTCTCAGAGGCAGGCACATGGCCATGCGACTGGTAACCCAGGGCAGGCCCCCAACGTGACAACGCCGAAGACTCAGACTCACCCCGCCAGCTTCTTACCGAGTAGAACAGAGAAGAAGAACTGCGCAATTGGGATGTTCAGAATCGGAGCCGAGAGGTTCAAGAACCAGTTTGGTGTCATGGGGAAAAGTCTCAAAAACAGTAAGAAAAAAAACAAGCTGTTTCTGTTTTCCTCCACCTGTAGCCAAAAGAGATGAGGCCATTAGGCAGCAGAAGGAATCTCTAGATATTGAAAACCTGATAGCGCCAAGCACTGTTCTAGATGCTTCACGTATTCTCTCCCTGAATCTTCCAACACCCTCCGGGGTAGAGGATGTTTTCCTCCTTTTGAAAATGGAAAGTACCTGAGGCTAAGCAGGAGCATGCCCAAAGTCACAGAGCTGGTCATGATGAAGCTGGAATCTGATCCCAGGGCTGGGCCTCGTGAACACACCGAAAGGAACCCGAGGAGCTCCAGAGCAGGGTGGAGGAACCAGGGAGGGGGAATTTCTGCCTGCACGCCCCTCAGGGCCGTGCGGTGACGCTCAGGGCCTCAGCACTAGTTGCAACCCCTCTCCTTACCTTCCTCTGCAGCAGGGACACTTTGTCAGGGAAGTAGGAGACCACCAGCTGTTTGCCAAAAATACTGGAAAGCAGGTAGCAGCACGTGGCGCCCACTGACGTCAACACGCAGCACAGCAAGAGCCCCAGCCATGGTCCAAACAAAGCACCAGCTAAAATGTTCTGCAAAACCAAAACCAAACCAAACCGTCAGCCGTTAGAGCATCTAGTGGCTACCAGTCACCTTGCACTGGAGCCCAAGAGTCATAGGTTCCCTTCTCTTTCAGTGACTTTCCCAACCAAAACCCAACTCCCGTGCTAAAGGGGTGAATGAAAAGTGATGACGGGGCTGGGAACTGCACCCCTGGCCTTGGTCTCTTCACTTTCCAAAGGGCGGAGGATGAGCACTTCAGAAGGCAGGAGAAAATTCACCAGGACAACACGTGTTTACAGCCCCCAGCCTGCTGCGTGGGCTGCGGGAGGCCCTGCCCCGAGAAGGGAGAGATGAAACACGTTCTTGTTATTTTTTTTTTTAAGATTTTATTTATTTATTCATGAGACACACAGAGACACAGGCAGAGGGAGAAGCAGGCTCCCTGCAAGGAGCCCCATGCGGGACTCGATCCTCGACCCCGGGATCAAGACCTGAACCAAACGCAGTCGCTCAACCACCGAGCCACCCAGGGGTCCCTACTGTTACTATTTTAAATGAACATAAGCCACAAGTTTTCCTTCAGTGAGACCACACCAGCTACAGAAAACATCCTCTTTGCTTTTTGCTGGGGTTACATGTGTGTGGTAGAGAGCACTGGTGGTGCCCTGTTGACCCGAGCTCCAGCTGACACTCAGTAAAGTCTTAGATTAACAACCAGAAGAGTGAACGCATCCGTGCTCCATACAGTCTGGCTGGGAGACATCACCCCGCCAAACATGAGGCCAAGAGAGAAAGTAAAAGGGGAATTTCGAAGTGAGAAGACAGGGGTCTGAGGAGCACCTACTATATGGTAAGGGCTTGACTACATGTCTTACTAATCCTCACTGCGACCCTCTGTCATATGCCGTCCTTACACCATTCCACGGGGGACAGATTAAGTATCGTGCCCAAGCTCACACACAGGATTCGCTCCCAGGTAGCACGTGACCCTCTGCCCTGAAGTGGGACCAGCTCAAGAGGGGAGGAGGGAGCACCTGACTCTTGATCTCAGGGTCATGAGTTCAAGCCCCACACACACTGGACCATGGAGCCTATTTTATAAAAAAAAAAAAAAAAAAAAACAAGAGGGAAAGCAGCCACAGGGGCAACCCCAAGAAGTCAGTCCCTGACTTCAAGCACCACACACCTTCCCGTCTCTCTTGACATGGACAGGTTTGCTTCTCTTCCAGTTTCCGACGGAGACTGCCTAAGTGCATCCAGCTCGAGCCTAGAGTCGAGAAAAGATGCCAAGGGAGGCGAAGAGAGCAGGACAGACGGAAGCTTTCCGGGTTCCCGGCTCAGGCCCTGGGTCGTTTAACAACACGGGGGGCCCGTGTGCCGGCACCCTCGGGGAACCAGCTGCTCTGGACGCACTGCTCCGGTTAATCCTCCACACAGCAACGTGAAGGAGAAGCCCCACGTGCCAGATGAGCACACAGGGTTGGAGACGTTAAAGGGCTTGCCCGTGGCTACACAGCTGAGATGAAACCCACCCCAAGGGTTCAAATATACACGCATTTACATGAAACTGCTCTAAATGCTGCGCGGAGGGCAGTAAGGTTCTTCTCAGACCCTGAGGCGGCAACAGCCCGCAGCGAGAGCGCGTGCCCAGGCCGCCGACGGCTGTCCCCCAGCGGCCCCCAAGGTCTCCCCAGCCTCTCCAGCCCCACAGCACCATCAACAACTTGCACCTGCTCATCAAACATCCGTGAAGGCACTTCCCTGAGCCAGGCAAAGGAGAGAGCAACGAATGGGCCTGGTTCTCAAAGAGCTCAGAGACTAAAGGAGAAAATGATTTTTAAAAAGTCCTAGAAAACAGCGCCAACTTGTAGAGCGTTCTGGAGGCTCTGAGGAGGAACAGCTGACCCAGCCCGGACTGTGTGTGTGTCTCCGGGACAGCGCACGGCCATCCAGGCCTTAGAAACAAAAGCAGGGGGAACCTGGGTGGCTCAGCAGTTTAGCGCCGCCTTCAGCCCAGGGTGCGATCCTGGAGTCCCGGGATCGAGTCCCACGTCGGGCTCCCTGCATGGAGCCTGCTTCTCCCTCTGCCTCTGTCTCTGCCTCTGTCTCTGCCCCTCTCTCTGTGTCTCTCATGAATAAATAAATAAAATATTAAAAAAAAAGAAAAAAAGAAAAGAAAACAAAAGCAGCACACCTGGGAGGAGAGGCAGCCTCTGGAGCTAGGCAGACATGGGTTCAGAGCCCAGCCCTGCCCCTCCTCACCCTGTCACTGCTGACAGTTACTTCTCACCACAGTTTCCTTATCTGTACAACATGATACTGATGCTCACACGCTGAGGCGGTAGGAGAGTTGTCAGTAAAGCAACTAGGACAGTGTTGGATGCAAGGGAGGCTGTTGACAGGTGGCTGCCACAGGAGTCCTCCTCCAGACTCTGTGATTTGCAGCCTAAGGGCCCCTCCACAAAACAGAAGGTGGTTTCCTGGCAAGGGCGGGGGGGGGGGGTGTCACTGACCAGGAAGCTGGAGCCAGGGATGGCAAAGCCCTGTTTGTAGAGGTAGGCGCTGCAGAACAGCAGGAGCACATAGGCCTGGTGCTCCTTCCGGTACTCTCGAAGGATCTCGGAGAGCTCCCGCAGCTCGGCCAGGTCTGAGGGGAACCACAGTGACCTGGGGGTTTGGAAAAGCAGATGGAAACATGAGTCCGCAGCAGCCTTGTACCTCGGAAAGTCACTTGTGGCTTCTTTCCAAAGTAGGTTCAGAAATGCGCCCATCTGGGGTTGCTGGGAACACACGTAATGGGAGCCGAGGGTGACGGGCGACCTGCCACACCACAGCAGAGGCAGAGAGAAGAGCCGGGGTTTGGGAAGCAAGAGACCCAGGTTAACATCTCCACTCTGCTGGCCTCCAGCAGCGTCACCTCCGGCTAGTCCCTGGGCCTCAGTTTCCTTATATGAAAAATGAGTGGTAAGTGCCCTTTTAGTTCTCGGGTTTTTCTGCTCTATCCTTAAGAGGCAAACGGACTGATTTTCAGGGAAGAACTAAACGTCCTGCATTGCCTTCCCTTCCTGGGACGCCCCCTGCCCCACAAGCTGCAGGCCGACGCCCACGGAAGCTTCCCGTCGCCGAGCCCGGAGGTTACAGACGGTCCTAACTGCCACTCACAAGCTAATCAAAGATTTTTCCGGGGAAAGCCTCTCTCTCCAGTACCATAAACATAATCTTCTTGATAACATGTCAGGCTGAAAGCAACCCTTTCAAGGAGGCTGCATTTCCACCCCCACCCCGTCTTCCTCTGGCCCTTAGGGCACCCTGAACCGGGTGCAAGGGTTACCGGGCCTCTGACACATGCGTGGCCCTTGAATCCGTCGATGATCAATGAGGAGCAAACCCTCGTCGCCGGCACCACAAAGTTTCTCCCGCAGGCCCGCCGCCCCTTCCCAGGGAGGGCCAAGGAATAACTGCAAACCGTCAGCCTCGGATTCAAGGACCGGCAGCTTCCTGGCCAGCCGCACCCGGGACGGGGAGCCCCCACGACGGGGCCGGCCTGAGAATCCACTCCCGCATAATTTTTTTTTTTAAGATTTTATTTATTTCTTCATGAGAGACAGAGAGAGAGAGAGAGAGGCAGAGACACAGGCAGAGGGCGCAGCAGGCTCCATGCAGGGAGCCCGACGCGGGGCTCGATCCCCGGACCGCGGGCTCACGCCCCGAGCCCAAGGCAGGCGCTCGGCGGCTGAGCCCCCCCGGGCGCCCCATTCCGTGCGGGATCCAGAGTTGTCCGTGCAACTCTCCTCCCTCCGGAAGACCGAAAGCCTGGAGGCCGCGGGGCAGAGCTGAGGTCTGCGGCGGCGGGGGCGGGGGCGGGCGGGCTACGGCGGGCGAGGGCCGAGCCCCGCGGCGATGCCCCCGCGCCGCCGCCAGGAGGCGCCGCGCCTCCCGCTGCAAATCACCGCCCGCGCGCGAAGCCGCGGACCGCGCGCCCAAAGTGCACAGCGCCCCGCGGGCGGACGCAGGGCAGCCGGCGCCCGCCCCGACTCCCGCCCGCGCCGCCGAGACCCGCGGACGCGCCCGGGGCACCCGCCGCCCCGCCCACCGGCCCCGGAGCTGAGCCCCCACCCGCGACGCTCCCACGCCGGAACCGAATGTCCCAGCCCCGCACCGCATCCTCGGACCCGACCCGCGGCCGCCGCCACGCACCTGCCGCCCGGCTCCTCGCCCGAGCCCAGCGTCCGCCCGCGGGGCAGTCGCGTCGACAGCAAGTACAGCGCGAACGTGCAGCCGACGAAGACCAGCAGGAGGCCGAGCAGGGGGCGCATCTCGCCGCCCGCTCCCCGACCCGGCGAGCGGCCGAGGAAGCTTCAAGGCAGCGCCCGGCGGAGCGCATTCACGGACGGACCGGGGCGGGGTCCGCGCCAAGCCCCGCCCCCGGCCCAGGCCCCGCCCCCGCCCGGCTCAGGCCCCGCCCCCGCCCGGCTCAGGCCCCGCCCCTGGGCCGGCGGGTCGAGATTCCCGCGGAGACCTGCCTCCAGGTTTCTGTCCAGCCTTCTTGCGTCTGCGCATGCTCATCCACGTTTGCCTTCGTCCGTTTCTCTGCTGTTTTGCCGGCTCTTTGCCAGGCGCAAGGAGATCCAGGGGGTGATTCACGAGCCTTGCCTACGGGGAGCGGGAGCGTGCAGTCTAGCGCTCGAGACCCTCTTGGCCACACCCAGCTGTGCTCCAGAGCAAATGCAGCCAGTGCTCCAGTCAAGTGCGCTGCGACGGCCAGGGTGACCACAGAAATTATGAGAAGGACTTTTTATTGAGCGCCTACTGTATGCCCATTATCCCTAGTCCTCACAACAGTCCTGCAAGGTTGGTATTTTTGTCTTTATTCAACAGATGAAAAATCTGACTCTCAGATTAAGTGACATCCCCCAAAGAGAGCCCTGATTACTCTTGTCAAGCACCAGCTGAGCTAGGGCATCTCGAGCTCTCTGTTGGTCTCTCGTGGCTCTGGCAGTAGAGTCAGCTATTTTGTGAACAGTTCGTTAAGATTTCTCATCGTAACTTCTGAGTCTGCCGTGCCTGCTCCAAGCCAGGAACCTGTGATTCTAAAGTATCTGTTAAACTGATCTCTGGAATATCCCGCAGGAAGGTGGCAGCCTTGGCTCTGGCCATAGCTCTTGTCTTCATATTTAGAAGGGTCCTTATGGTCGTAACTTTTTTTTAAAAGATTTTATTTGTTTGTTTGTTTATGAGAGAGAGAGAGAGAGAGAGAGAGAACCTGCAGGGGGAAGGGGGAGGGAGGGCAGAGGGAGAAGAGACTCCCACTGAGCAGGGAGCCTGACATGGGGCTCAATTCTAGGACTCCTGGATCATGACCTGAGCAGAAGGCAGACCCTTAACTGACTGAACCACCCAGGCGCCCCGTGGCAGTAACTCACTATTATTGATAATGCTCTTGACTTTCCTTAGTGAGGTTTGGGGGGTAGCAGCTATAATCATTTTAAGAATATTAAGAGGAGGGACACCTGAGTGGCTCAGCAGTTGAGCACCTGCCTTCCACCCAGGGCCTGATCCTGGAGTCCCAGGATCGAGTCCCGCATCAGGCTCCCTGCATGGAGCCTGCTTCTCCCTCTACCTGTGTCTCTGCCTCTGTGTGTGTGTCTCTCATGAATAAATAAATAAAATCTTAAAAAAAAATAAGAGGAGCCGTTAGGCATCCTAGAAAACATGCATCACTAAGGCCTCCAACTATTAAGACATTCATAAGCCCAAGGCTGGTGATCATATTCACAAATGAAAATGTATCCCCCTAGTGGACAGAGGACTCCAGATATTAAAACAGAGAGTGGGGACTAGAATCCAAGCAACCAGGGTCCCATACTGCATGGATTCACGACAGAGACAGAGTTTGAGTTTATGTTAAAGATGAACAGGATTTCCACAACAGGGAAAAAGATGGAGAGGGTGAGCCAGGGGCCCAAGTAAGGCACCAGAGTGCAGTTTCATGAAGTCTAAACTATATGAGAAATAAGAAGTTGGAGACAAACTGGAAAGCATTGGAAGGAAGGCTCAGGAGCTGGATTTTTCAATATTGTGTGTGGTGAGACAGCAACAGAGGTGTTTAAACAGGAGAATGATTTAGTTCCCGTTTTAGGATGTTTGCTCTGCCAGATGATTAGAATACTTTCTGAGCTGGTAGTTGCAACTATCCTAGTAAGAAAGGTTGCAGGCTGAGCCAGGACCACGGCGATGAGGATGAAGGCGGAAGGATGGACACACGATAGGAGCTGAGTTGGTAGGACATATGACTGATTAAATGGAGAAGAGGCAGAGAGGACTCCATAATGCCACAAGCCTAGACGACAGAGAGGAGGCATCCTTATCATATTCAAAGCACACTGGGCCAAATAGGGAGCACCTGTCAGAATTCGAAGTGTACTGGGTCCTAGCAATTCCACGTCCAGGAATTTAACCTATAGATACGCTCACAGACAAAGATGTATGTTCAAGGGTATTTCCTCAGCTTTATTTTGTTTTTTTTTTGTTTTTTATAATAAATTTATTTTTTATTGGTGTTCAATTTGCCAACATACAGAATAACACCCAGTGCTCATCTCAAGTGCCCCCCTCAGTGCCCGTCACCCACTCACCCCCACCCCCCCACCCTCCTCCCCTTCCACCACCCCTAGTTCGTTTCCCAGAGTTAGGAGTCTTTATGTTCTGTCTCCCTTTCTGATATTTCTCACACATTTCTTCTCCCTTCCCTTCTATTCCCTTTCACTATTTTTTATATTCCCCAAATGAATGAGACCATATAATGTTTGTCCTTCTCCGATTGACTTACTTCACTCAGCATAATACCCTCCAGTAATTTTGGTATTAAGAGATTGAGAATAACCTAAATGCCCATCAGTTGGGGACTAACTGATGAGGTTAACTGTGGTATGTTCCCAAAAGTAATGCTGAGTAGTTTCTTAAAAGAGGGAACCAACTCTATATATCCCGATACCGCACAGTCACCACAGAGATAGCGGTGATAAACAGCAAACAGACAAGTCGCATTGTTAGAGTATACTATGACAGTCTATAAAAAGAAAAAAAAAAGGGATATGCTTTGCCTTTCCAAAATACTGAAGTATTTATGAATGAAATGATTCAATGTCTGGGATTTGCATCGAAATAAGGGGATGAAGTTTAGTGGGTAGGGATAAAAATCGACCAAGATTGGTCATTGAATTAATAATTGTTGAAGTAGGATGATGGGCATATAGAGGAGGATTTATGCCATTTATTATATTTCCATATATGTTTGAAATTTTCCATTTTAAAAATGTGGGGAAATGGTCTCAGCCCCCCATTCTCATTTTCTCCCTTCAACCTCTCCATTACAGGTGCGCATACACCATGTTAGTTCATGTCTCTGACAACAATCTTCCCCTTCTCTGGCTATCTCTCCCTGAAAAATTGCTGCTCCTTCATAACCACCCAGGGCAATTGTCCCCTTCTCTGAGAAGCCTTCTCCAGCTCCAACAGTCAGAAAGGTGGTTCTTTCTCTGTGCTGGGGGTTCCCTGCAGAGTGTCTGTATTCCTATTATTACAAATACTATGTCATTATCCATCTCCCCATAGACAGTAAACATTTCTAGAAATGAGACAATGTCTCATCTGTCTTTTGCCTGTCCCAGCCCTTAGCCCTGTGCTTGGCTTATAATTGGCACTTAACAAGTGTTTGTTAAATTAATGGGTCAAGTCTAGCGAGGGAATGATTGGTCGTTTGGAATGGTACATGTTGATTTTGTGAAGTCAGAGGAATATAGGAGGAAAGAACGTAAGTGAAAAACATTACTGGGCCTGTGCCAGGGGTGTGCTGGGGCCAGGAACAGTAGTGAACCAGAAGCTAAGGCTTCTAGTCTCGAGGCCTTGACATTCCTTCTGGTTGGGGGACAGCATGGAGAGAGTTATAATTTTAGAGTGGATTAGGTGCTATGGGGAAAATAGGGCAAAGCTGCTTCAGCTCCAGAGAAGCAAGCATCATGAACCCACTTATGAGAGAGTGGATGAGCCAGTTTTTCAGGTGAAGGCACTCTGAGCACTGCTGAGCTACAGCTTGAGTGCTGAGTGGGGCTCAAGCCTCGATTTGCCCCTCCCAAGCCCCTGCTCTTTCCTCTGCCCTGCAGAGCCTCTCACCAAGCAGGTGAAAATCCAGAGGTCCAACAACATTCAGATCTGGCGGTCTGTCATCTGTCTGGAGAGTCAAAACAAGAGGAGGGGAGGAGGTCTCCTAGGGAGACCCCGAGACTCTGGGAAGTAACAGCAGCTGATAGTCACTGAGCACTTAGTACACTCCAGACCCCACGGTAAGCGTTTTACATGCACGCATGAATGTATTTATTCCACATAACATCCCATGTGAAGCAGAGACTTTTAATAGTCCCCTTTTACAGTCCAGGAAAGGGAGCTTAGGAAGAGTTAAGTCGACAGAGGCCACACACCAGAGCCTAATCTCTTTCCCAATGCTACCTCCTTGAGATAGAGAACTGAGATCAGAAAACTGATAAGGAGATGGGGGAACCAGAGAACAGGATGACTCACGCAGAGATGTTGGTGAGGGGAAGAAGTGTTAGGAAAGGAAGCAGTGTGCAGTGGCAGTGTCCGTGGAAAAACCCAGCAGGCTGACCTGAGGGTTGTGGGATTCCGCCAAACTGGGGGCATAAGAGACCTTTGACAGCTCTTGTGGGAGATGCAAACCTGATTTCCCATAGGCTCACCATCCAAGCCTCTGCTGGCTGCCCGAGCTGCCCCACTCCCCGGGAGTCCTATTCTGACTCCTGTTCAACCTGTCTGCTTAGGGAAGAAGCCTGGGACTGTGCTCCTCCCTCCCATCCCACCCACGGGCTGATCTGTCCCCCTCCCCCAGCACCTGCAGAGCTAACTCTTCACCAGCTGGTGCACCACCTGGCGTCTACACCAGACTCTTAATACACTTGAGCCTATGTATTTACAACACATGCCCAGGCAGCCTGACAAATGACAGCAGTAATCCCCAACTCATGCTGGACTGAGAAGCAGGTAGGTGCCAGTGGCTCAGGGAAGTGGGAGGGAAGAAAAGGCAAGGGGTTCCAGTGTGAGTGGATTAGCCAGGCCCTCACCGAAGCTCTTTGTCAATAGCACTCAAGCTCCTTTATTGGCTGGATGAGATCTGCACAGAGCAATTGAAGGGAGGAGCTCGAGGAGCACACGATTTAATGTCCCTATCCATTGTGGCCATAACTGATTGGAACAGGATAGACACCTTCCCCAAGAGGGGGATCTAAATGCTGCTTCCTCTCCCTGGACTTTGGAATTGGGCCACCTACTGATTGAATAGCCAGAACACAATGGTACCAATGATCCCAGTGGTCCACAGCTGCCCTGTGAGGGAGGCACGCTGGGTCAGAGAGACTCAAGGTAGAGCACAGGGTTAATAAAGGCCCGTGAACTCTTTAGCTAAAGGCTCTGGGCTGCCCTCTCTCTGCCCTTCCAGAAGGCTCCCTGTTGAGCTCTTGGGTTGCCACAAATCCTCTCACTAGTAAAATTTGCATTAGTATGAGTAGTATGAGTAGATTTCTGTTACTGGCATTCAAAGTCTCCTTGGCTAAGCTAGGGTATTGCAGGACTGAGAGCATGGGACAGGGGTCCAAGAATGAGAGGTTCCAAGTTTAGGGTTTGGGAAGTAACACAATTAAGTGTGTTGATGTCTAAATCCGAGTGGAGGTGACTCCCTCAAGCCCTAAAAATGAGTTCACTCCATTCTGTTCAGCAGACATTTGTTGAGCACTTGCTTTGTGCCCGGCACTGTGCTAGGTGCTAGGGCAACAAGCCACAGCTGCTCTTGCTGTGCTCACAGTCTCCTAGGGGAACAGACACAGATACATAACAATATGGCATAAGAAAATGATGATGTGATGATGCACATACAAAGTCAGTGGCAAAGCAGGTGGCAGAAGAGAGTTGTGGAAAGCAAGAGGGACTTTGAACCCCAGCTTGGAGTCATCCAGGAATGCTGGAGGGGCCTGGAGGGCTCTATCCAAGGCACTAACTTGGGGAAGTGGGTGAGATCAAAATCTCTGATGGGCTTCCTGAAGAATGGTATGAGGACCATCTGGAAGGTTCTAAAAGGAGTGATAAAAAGAGCCAACCTTCTTTTTCCCTGGGGAGCCTGAGAAATGGTTAGTGGGTCTCTAGTGAGAATGGAAACAGTAACAAGTGCTGGGAGAGAAGGCTAAGGCAGAGAAAGGAATGCACCTCCGTGGACATGGGCCATGGCTGGAGTGGAGGGAGCTCTTACAACTGAACACGGTTCCGTGGGGCTCAGAAGATCATGGTGAGCGCTCATTTACTACGTCCTGAGCACAGACCGTGTTGTAGGTGCCACGTTAAGGCACATGGCCCCTGCCTTACCAGTCAAGTGGAGAAGACAGACGTTAATCAAATAATCACACAAAAAATGTAAGGGAAAATAAAAAGCTCAGTAGGAGATCATTGATGAAGATGGGGGGGGTGGGGTAAACAGCAATTTAATTGTATCTAGGATTTGGGATTCAGACAGAGACTGACAAAGAAGAGGGAGGAGAGGCAAGGATAGCAAGGGAGAATGGCAAGTTCAGGAGCCCCGGGAGAACCTGCGAAGCCAGTACCACCCCTGGAACCGCCTTCACTTCTCTGGATCACCACTATGTGAGACTCATTGAGATTCATCTCCCTCCAGTAAACAAACTTCCTTCCTTTATTCATTCATTCATCCATTTGTCCATCCATTCACCCATTCCCCAGTGAGCCAGGTACCAGTGCGAGGAGACCCTAGAGAAGAAGCTGAGAGACCCCCCCTGCGTGAGGAGTTCATAAGTGACAATAATGCTCTTCCATTTTCTCGCTGTTGTTCTGGCCCCGTGCCTACCAGGCGAGGGAAAGAGGACAAAGAAATGGCTGTGCTGATCAAGATAGGGGACTGGTAAACCTCTAAAAAAGAAATCAGGGCCCACTGACATCCTGATCTCTCTGTGTACAATTGCTGAAGAAATGGGGAAGAGGGACGAAAGGTGAGAAGATACCCAAGTGGGCAAGAGCATCTCTGAGCCTCATTCCTTCCCAGGTGCAGGCTCCATATACGTGTAGGAATCCATACAGGATGTGCCACACAGGTATGTCCTCATAGAGTTCTACAGTTTATAAAATAAAAAGTTCATTTCTTTTTAAAAGGGCTGTTGTCATGGAAAGCAGTAGAAGAACAGTCACTTGGATAAGGAGGAGGGTGCGGGCCTGTGACTTGGGAGGCTCAGGAACCTTCCTGCAGGGGCCACAGCTGTGGGATGGCTAGTGCCCACCCCTCCGGCTGTGCCTGCGCTGGGCATCTGGCCCCGGGGATGGTTCTCCCGTGGTTCTGGCCCTTGACTTAGTTGCTGTTGCCACTCCAGATTCACTGATCATACCTATTCCTGGGGCAGCCTAAGAATTTTTCAAACTGGAGGCCTCCGGTGCTCCAAGAGCAACCCAGTGTGTGCTTTGAATTCAGATGTTAGCCACACGAGTTACTTAGCGGGTTCCCGAAGGTTAGCATTAGTTACCTCCAACAGGCAGAGAGCATATTTTCATTTTGCATCTGTGTATTTGCTAAATGTCCTTCAAATAACCGTGGACTGCATCAGTAACAAGGAAAAAGTAAACATTTCTGAAGGATTGCTTAAAATGAGGGCTGCCTGGAAAAGTGACCCTTAAGTGACAAACAAGCTCTGCTTCTTCTCTCCTGCCTCGCGCTCCATCCACTGCCCCTGGGAGCGAGGCTGTCCTACCCCTTCATCTACCATTCTTCCTTCATCTGCTCACTATCTAGTCCCAGCAGCTGCCCCTGGGGCTGGCCCTCTGTCCCCACTTCCTCCACCCACCAGCCCTCTTTAGAGAGGCCGGGGTGTGGCCTTCCTGCCTTCCCAGAGCAAACAGCTCAAGAGAGGCTGTTGGAAATAAGGAGAGGCTCTCATACTGCATATTAGATCAGCCATATCAAAATAAATAAAAGAGTATTCACATTTATCAAACCACTCAAGGATGTGGCACCCATAGGATTTCAAAGAACCCTTCACAGACTTGCCTCCCAAACCCCCACAATAGCCCTGTGAGGTAGGTCAGGCTCCACTCCTTTCTACATGTAAGGACCTGGAGGAGTTTGGCACAGGGAACGCAGGGTCAAGTCCAAAGTGAGGTGTCCAGCCAGTCCTTCCCTTTCAGATGCTTGACAGGCCACGGAGATGAGCAGAGCTGCCCGAGTGACCGGCTGCAGACCCGACAGGCTGGAACGGAGGAGGCCCCAGGACGCAGCCACACAAGGCGCTGGGCTGTGGGGAGCCTGGCTATTTCCGACTTGCCCTACTTAGGGGCTCCCCTCCTAGGACCGTTCCATAATCCAAGGTCGTTTGGCATTCTGCACTATGACATCCAGGGGACGCTGCCAGGAAAAGAAAAAAAAAACCTGCTTATTCATACTTTTTTGTGCCTTGAGAAGGTGAAGTGACGCTTTACAAAAGCCTGGAGTTGTAGTTTTCTTGATGTCACTGGTGCCCGCGTGTCCGAACAACAGTTACATCTGCAGCTTGGGGCACAGGATAGGTTGGAAGACGTTTTCAATGTTTTCCATCAGTACAAGATCATACCGACACAACTGGGGCCTGTAAAAATAGGACGATATCCTTGTCAATCAAGTAGTAAAAATAGCCCACTCTAGGAAAAGAAATCATACACGTCCTTAGGATACGATATTGTGGAGCAATTATTTCTAATGTTGTAGGAAAATGCTTATGGTAAATAAGCAGAGAAACATCAGCAACAATAAGAAAGCAGGATGTAAAATGTTATTTACCACCTAACTTCGTCTAGGTGTAAAAGCAATAATAGGCGACTAGAAAGAAAGAATCCAGGGCCCCTGGGTGGCTTGGTTGGTTAAGCATCTGCTTTGGGCTCAGGTCATGGGATCGAGCCCCACATTGGGCTCCCTGCTTGGCGGGGAGTCTGTTTCTCCCTCTCCCTCTGCCCCCCCCTTGTGTTCTGTCTCTCAAATAAATTAATAAAATCTTGAAAGAAAGAAAGTCCAAACTATTAACAATTGTTGCCTCTGAATAATGTCATTGTGGGTGATATTTTTCGGCTTCTTAACACCTTCGTACTTTCCAGATTTTATAAAAATCAATCTATATACCTTTGATAATCAAGAAAAACAAGTATTAAAAACTTCCATGGTTTTAAGATGTAATGACTGTCCTCTTGGAAAAAACTTGTATTATTAAATGTTTTAGGGTACGCCAAACTTTCAGGAGAAAGGAATTCATAAGCATAAAGCACTGACTGCTCACAGCATTGTCTACCCCTGTCTTGTCCATAGATTGGATGTTAGGACTATATGTTGGAGTGGCATTAGTCACAGTGACCTGCCGCCACAGCTTTGCTCTTTCTCCCCTCTTTGACTTTGCCCCTCCATACCCCCCCCACGCTGTTGCTTATTTTTTCTGAACCAATTGAGAATAGGTTGTTTACCCCTTAATACTTCAATGTGTATTTCCTAAGAACAAGGACATTCCCGGTACAGTTATCAGATTCAACATCAAGATAGTACTTCCCCACTGTGTAGTGGAATAAATATTCCAATTATTCTGTACCTTTTTTTACAGTAGGCTCTGTGTTTGCCAAATTATACGAGGCTTTTTTCTACAACGAGAACAAAAAATTTGCAAGCAGTGTGGGTGGAGTGGTTAGGGAAGAATTCTATAACTATAATCATTTAACATTATTTATTTGGATTATTTGGATTATTTATCTTTAAGTGCCTACCAGTATAATTTTCTTCAATTATGGGGCTACTCATTTTTATCAAGTCTATTTTTGGAAAACCCCTCATCTCCTAAATTGCAATTGATGAAGATCCCATTAAAACATCAGACCAGGACAGCCGCGGTGGCTCAGCGGTTTAACGCCGTCTTCAGCCCAGGGCGTGATCCTGGAGACCCAGGATTGAGTCCCACGTTGGGCTCTCTGCATGGAGACTGCTTCTCCCTCTGCCTGTGTCCCTGCCTCTCTCTCTCTCTGTCTCTTATGAATAAATAAATAAAATCTTTTAAAAAATCAGACCAAACAGATTAGACAGAAACCCAATAACATCTTTGGAAAACAAGGGCTTGTCAAACCCTGCCCATGGCTCACCTCTCTGGATGGGCAAGTGACCTTAACTTCATGCGAAGAACCCTGAGCTTGTACTTGGGGCCTATTACAGATCCTGTAGAGAACACCAAGGAAATAGTTGCCACTTTATCCAAGTCTTGATTAAATCTTGCAAGCAGACTCACTTGGTGGTATTTCTGAAATATTGCAGGTTCACTAGAAGGAAGAATTAATATTGTTAAGTGGATCTAGATTGCTAATGAAATCATTTTGAAGCCTACAAATCACTCTTAAGAAGGTAGCCACTTGACCCCAAAGTTCTGCTGTATTCCCAAAGACTGCATAAGAGAAGCTTCTGGCCTCAGGAGTGATGAAACACTGTGGCACAAGAGAAGTATGCCCGCCTACTATATACACTAGATATCATCCTCATCTCTTGACACATGTCTCCATTGCCCCGAAAAATTCTTCAAGATGAGTATTATATTGTCTTCACTTTATAGACAAGGAAACATGCTTCTGGAGCTTAAACTCAGCCAGGTCACAGGGCTTATCTGCATCACTGCAGGGATTCAAATTCAGTCCTGAGTTCAAACAGTCCATTAAATTGCATTGCTAGGTGTGTATGCATATTTTTAGCCCAATTAGCTACTAATTTGAAGTTTTGCTTAAGCATATATTTTTTTAGTCCTGCCTTTCAAATAAGATAGCTAAGTCCCAGGTTCCAATACTTTTTCCTACAATGTCATGTTTCCTACAGTTGGAATTTCACATTGAGCCTAAAGTATGTCCACTGGGGAGGCTCAGTAGGTCAATGTCCCTCTGGGAAACTGGGGATGTAGACCATGGAGACCGCCCTGGGCTCAGAGATGCGTGGCTTGCTCTAGAACTGAATCCTTAATTTTGTGGTGGGAATGGGGATGAGAGGGTGTGTGTCACCCCAGCCTCACTAGAATCATGTGTAAGTCCTGTGGAGAGCAAACGTGTCACAAGTAAAACTAATCTGAAAGTTACCCAGATTTTAGTTTTTAAATATCCTCACTGAAAGGAATGGGGGTTGGGGCACCTGGGTGGCTCAGTCGGTTAAGCTTCTGCATTCAGCTCAGGTCATGATCCTAGGGTCCTAGGATCAAGCTCTGCGTTGGGCTCCCTACTCAGGATGGAGCCTGCTTCTCCCTCTCCTCCCAGCTTGTGCTCTCTCTTGCTCTTGCTCCCTCTCTCTCTCTCTCTCAAAAAAAAAAAAAAATAAATCTCAAAAAAATAAAAAGTAAAAGGAATGAGGGCTTCCAAGAGAAATGGCTGATTCCAGGACTAAGTCAGAGAAGGTACAAAGTGATTCCACAACAACTTGTGTGTCAAAAAGTGAGGAACTAAAAAAAAAAAAAAAAAAAAAGTGAAGAAAAGCTCAAAGAATGGTGGAGATGTTCAAAAGAATATAGAATCACTTCACATTCATCAGGATGGCAAAAATTAAAAAAAAAACTGAAAATAAGAAGTGTTCACAAGGATATGGAGAAATTGGAACCCTTGTACACTGTTGCTAGGAATGTAAAGTCATACAACCACAATGGCAAATGGTCTGAGGTCTCTTCGAAGAATTCAAAATAGAATTGCTTTATGATCTGGCAATTCTAATTCTGGGTATATATGCAAAAGAATTGAAAGCAAGGTCTCAGAAAGATACTTTTGCACACCCATGTTCATAGCACCATCATTCACAAGAGTCAGAAGAAGAAGCAACCCAAATGCCCATCAATGGATGAATGGATAAATAACACGTGATATGTACATACAATGGAATATTATTCAGCCATAAAAAGGAAGGAAATTTTGTCATATGGTACAACATGGATAAACCTTGAGGACATCACGCTAAATGAAATAAGCCAATCACAAAAAGATATTGTTTGACTCCATTTATGTAAGTTATCTAAAGTAATCAAATTCATAGAAACATGGGGCGCCTGGGTGGCTCAGTCGGTTGGGCATCTGCCTTCAGCTCAGGTCATGATCCCGGGGTTCTGGGATCGAGTCCCACATGGGGCTCCCTATTCAGTAGGGAGCCTGCTTCTCCCTCTCCCTTTGCTGCTCCCCCTGCTTGTGCTCTCTCTCTCTCTCTCTCTCTCTCTCTCTCTAATAAATAAATAAATAAATAAATCTTTAAAGCCCAATGTGGGACTTGATCCCGGGCCTAGAATCATGCCCCGAGCCAAAGGCAGACACACTCAACCGCTGAGCCACCCAGGTGTCCCTCATGTGAATACTCTTAACACTACTGAGCTGTATACTTATAAATGATGAAGATAATAAATTTTACATTATGTGTTTTCATCACGATAAAAAATGCATTTAAAAAAAGGGCACAGACCCAGTTTGAAGAGATTTCACTGACCAGATTTGAGACAATTTAAATATCAAAATAAATAATGGTAGTAACTGACTGCGAGTCCCCATTAACAAAATAAAAGTCCATGAGTCCATATCTATACAACCAGATAAATAGATAAATAAATGGGGAGAAGAAAAATGCTTTCCCTAAATGATGAATTAGAAAAATCACCATTTGACAATCATCATAGTAACAATTCAACTACAACTACATCACAACTGGTGGGTAAAAGTTTGAGGAGTAATGGAACATTTGCATGGTCTCATAAGTAACTCCCTGCAGTATTACTTCTTAATACAAAGGAAAAACAGTAACTTGATAGTGAAGAAACTTGGCAGAAACACCTTAATGAACCAATCCACTTTAATGAAATAAATCAAAGTTGTGGGCCTCCTGATAGGGCACACTGGACCAAACATAACATCACTTCTGTGCTGTTCTTGCCAGAGATGTATGATCTGAATGTAATCATGAGGAAGCATCAGACAAACCCAAACTGAAGACATGCTGAAAATAACTGACCGATAAATGTCAAAGTCAAAAAAGTCAAGGAAAGATGGAAGGTTCAAGTGAAGACTAAAGAAAGAGGATAACCAAATATCCAATGATCCTGAGTTGGATCCCTCTCCAAGAGCAGCTGTGGGAACACGAGCATTCAGAGATTCCAGGAAAGGGTGATGCCGCCTGCGGTTGGCAAAACCCAGTGGGGGTAGATGGAAGGCAGGAAAGGGAAAAGCCCCCCTGGAGCTGGTAAAGCCTGTCTACAAGTACAGGTTGGAACCCCCTCTTCCACCTGGAGGGATGTCTGGAAATACTGGGGGAGGCATTAACCAAGGAATGGGTTCTTAAAAGAAAAAATGGAGTGAGAGCCAATGAACTATGGGCTTTGACCAATAATAGGAGCCAGATGTTTGTTTCTGTTAGTATGGTGCACTAACCACCCTGCAAACAATTCCTAATAATGAATACAATTAAAACAAAAACAAAACTTAAAACCTTTTAAATTGCACTGGAAAGCAAAGAACACTGAGAAACCTCAAAAATATGTGAAGGCAGAAATACTGACATCACATCACCTTTTGTTGGCCTTTTTTGGAAGTTAGTAACAAGTTTTCTTTTTTATGGTCTTGCACTGCAGTAGAACACAAAACAAAGCCACTCGAGGAGGAGAATTGAATGGGAGACTCTGGTGAGGGGTGAACTAAAAATAAATTCTAAGTACACAACCCTCCTACAACCTCAGGGGGCAGAAACAATCTCTATCAAAATCCCAGCTGCCTTTCTTTTTCTTCCAGAAACTGACAAGCTAATTTAAAATCCATGTGGAAATTAAAGAGACCCAGAATAGTCAAACAACTTTGAAAAAGACCAAACTTGGGGTGCCTGGGTGGCTCAGCTAGTTAAGCATCCCACTGTTGATTTCAGCTCAAGTCATGATCTCAGGGTCTTGAGATCAAGACCCACATTTGGGTCCACACTAGAGTGGAGCCTGCTTTGGATTCTCCCTCTCCCTCTGCCCACCCCCTTCACCCAACATGTCTGTGCTGTCTCTAAAAAAGAAAAAAAAAAAAAGACCAAAGCTAGGGGATTCACACTTCCTGATTGCAAAATTTGTTGGAAAGCTTCAGTAGTGCTACAGTAAGCTACATGACAATGTGGTATTTGTATTAGGATAGATATATACATCAATGGAAGAGAATTGAGAGTCCAGAAATAAAACCTTCCGTTTACTGTCAATTGATTTAGGCAAGGGTGTCAAGACATTCACAGAGAAAGAATAGGTCTTTCAATAAATGGTACTGTGATAACTGGGTGTCCACAGGCAAAGGAATAAAGTAGGACCCCCTACCTTATTCTATATGCAAAAACGAACTCAAAATGGATCAAAGACCAAATGTGAGACCTAAAATTATAAAGGACTTGTGTCCAGAGTAAATAAAGAACTCTTGCAATTCAACAATAAAAAGGTAATAATCCAATTTTAAAGTAAGAGGCACACAAACACCTGTACCCAGATGTTTATAGCAGCTTTATTCAAAATTATCAAGATTTGGATGTAGCCAAGATGTCCTTTAGTAGAAGAATGGGTAAATAAACTGTAGCACATCCAGACAATGGAATACTATTCAGTGCCAAAAGGATATGAGCTAGCAAGCTATGAAAAAACATGAAGAAAACGTAAATCCTATTACTAAGTGAAAGAAGCTACTTTGGAAAGGTTACATACTGTAGGATTCAGCTACATGACATTCTGAAAAAGGCAAAACTCTGGAGACAATAAAAAGACCAGTAGTTGCTAATAGTTAGAGGGAAGAGATGGATATGATAGGCAGAGCACAGAGGACTTTTAGGATTATAGGATCTACTCCATGATCCTATAATGGTAGATATATGTTCTAATATGTTTGTCAAAACCTATAGAATGTACAACACCAACAGTGAACCCTAATGTAAACCATGGACTCTGGGTAATAATTTATCAGGGTAGATGTTTCTGTTGTCACAGGTGTACCACTCTATTATCAGATTTGATACTTGGGGAGGCTGTGTGTATGTGGTCAAGAGGGTATATGGGAAATCTCTGCACTTCCTGCTCAGGTTTGGGAATCTAAAACTGCTCTAAAAAATTAAGTCTGTTGAAAAGAGAAAAAGTGAGTAAAGGACCTGAATAGACATTTCTCCAAAAAAAAAGATACATACAAATGGCCAGTAAGCACATGAGAGACACTCAAAGTTGTTCATCATTAGGGAATTGCAAATCAAAACCATAATGAGATATAACATAACGCCCACTAGAATGGCTACAATAAAGACAGACATGGGGACACCTGGGTGGCTCAGGGGTTGAGCAACTGCCTTGGCTCAGGGCGTGATCCTGGGGTCCTGGGATCGAGTCCCACACCGGGCTCCCTGCGTGGAGCCTGCTTCTCTCTCTGCCTGTGTCTCTGCCTCTTTCTCTGTGTGTGTGTCTCATTAACAAATAAATAAAATCTTAAAAAAAAGACAGACATGTCTGTGGTATATATACAAAATATGATACATGTACACAAAGGAATATTATTCAGCCTTTACAAGACAAGAGAAATCCTGTCATGTGTTATAACATGAATGAACCTTAATATTATGGTAGGTGAAATAAGCCAACCACAAAAAGATGAATATTGTGTGAGTCCACTTATATGAGGTATCTAAAGTAGTCAAATTCATAGAAATAGTAGAATGATGCTTGCTAGGGACTAGGGGGAGGGGAGAAGGGAGTTATTATTTAACCAGTATTGAGTTTCAATTTTGCAAGATGAAAAAGTTCTGGAGATGTTTCACAACAATGTGAATATATGTAACACTACTAAACTCAGAAATGATTAAGATGGTAAATTTTATGTTTTGTCTTTTTTTTAAATTTTTTTATTTATTTATGATAGTCACACACACACAGAGAGAGAGAGGCAGAGACATAGGCAGAGGGAGAAGCAGGCTCCATGCACCGGGAGCCCGACGTGGGATTCGATCCCGGGTCTCCAGGATCGCGCCCTGGGCCAAAGGCAGGCGCTAAATCGCTGCACCACCCAGGGATCCCTGTTTTGTCTTTTTAAATCACAATTTTAAATTTTTAAGACAGATAATAACAGTGTTGGCAAGGATGTGGAGAAATTAGGATTCTTACACATGGCTAGTGGGAATGTAAAATGTTGCAGCTGCTTTGGAAAGCAGTTTGGCATTTCCTGAAAATGTGAAATACATAGCTATCATATGACCCAGCAGTTCCACTCCTAGGTATATACCCGAGAGAGATGAAAACATATGTCTACACAGAAACTCATACACCTATGTTCATTATGTGTATGTAGCAGCATTATTCATAATAGCCAAAAAAGTGGAAACAACCCAAATGTCCATCAGCTGACAAAAGGATAAATAAAATGTGGTATGTGTGAACAGAGTGGCACAGTGGAAGCAAGCTGGGCCCATAACCCAGAGGTCAGTGGATCAAAGTAAAATGTGGTACATTCATATCATGGAATATTATTTGGCCACTGATACATGCTATCGTATCTTGAAAATATTATGCTCAGCCAAAAAAGCCAGACACAAAAAGGCCACATATCGTATGATTTCATTTATATGGCATGCCCAGAATGTGTAAATCTACAGGGACAAAAAGTAGACTAGTGGTAGACAGGAGCTGGGGAGGAAGCAGGAATGAGAAAGTACTAATAGGTATGGGATTTCTTTTTGAGATGATAAAAATGTTCTGGAATTACATGGTAGTGATGTTTGTACATTTTGTGAATATACTAAAAACCAGTGAAATATAAACTTTAAAAGGGGTAAATGTTATGGTATGTGAATTATATCTTAATTTTTATAAAAGGTTTAAAATTGAAAAAGAAATACATCCAAGACATGAATACACCAGGCATATCCTAGATGTGACTCCATTTGCACCATAGCCTGGTAAGACTGAATAAACTCAGGGCACATTCTCTGATACTATTTTCCTTTCCTTGAATTGTAAAACTACTAAATACTAAAATACTAAAAGCTAAAAGTTTACCTTGCAGAAGAGAAAAGTAGACATAATCTCCCCACGTAATAGAAGGACCATTTCCTTTTTTCCTATATCCTCTCTGATTGGTGATGATGTTTTCACAATCATTACTCAACTAAGAATGACTAAACATGAATAAAATAGAAATATTAAGGTCTCTATCTTAATCAAGAAAAAACTCCTTCAGAGGGACGCCTGGGTGGCTCACCGGTTGGGCGCCTGCCTTTGGCTCAGGAGGTGATCCCAGGATCTGGGATCGAGCCCCACATTGGGCTCCCTGCAAAATGTCTGCTTCTCCCTCTGCTTCTGTCTCTGCCTCTCTCTGTCTGTGTCTCTCATGAATAAATAAATACATCTTAAAAAAAAAAAGGCCCTTCACAGAAAGTCCTAGTTGGGAGAAATTCACTACATAAAATTAAATTTCTAAGACATGTAAAGCCAACATGTAATCAGTTATTGGCATAAAAAAAAAAAAACAAATTTTGTAGGTGAGCACTTTTTTGTTACAGACCTGCACGATTTCCCCTGCTATTTCTTGGAATGTCCAGGTGAGGTCCCTGCCCAGCTTCCTTACTGAAGATGACACCCTAGAATCTGCCTGACGCTGGTTGGTCAAGATGCGCCCCCTAGCGGTGTCATCCCTGAAACTGCAGCCGCACTGGGCTTGGGGACATTGGCATTGAAGGGAGTGTGGTATTGGCCAATCACTTGGCCTCTCTGAGCTTCCGTTTCCTTATATATAAAATACAGATGGTAATACCACCTCACAAGGTTTTAGTGTGAACTGCATGAGCCTGCGTGTGTGATGTGCCTAGTTCAATAAACAAAGGCTGTTATTATTATGATCCGGGGATGCATTAAAGAAAAAAATCACCTCCAGACCACCAATACACACCTTCTCTATTCATCTCTATTGGTGAACCCATAGGCGACTGCCAGTTTCAGATCACATTCCAGTTGGTCCTCTATGAGTGAAGCCAACAGACAACCCAAGTGCCTAGTAGATAAGAGGGCCCCCCAAAATGTTTATGAGTAAATGAGCAAGATGAACTTCAAATTTCTTTGCTTAAAGTGTTATTTTCCTCCTTTTTCCTGGTTATAAAATTAATGGATGAAACCAATTAACTATTTTAACATATATATATATATATATATTTATATATATATAGGTTATAAATAAATAAATAAACACACACACACAATATCATATAAAAGTAAAAGAGAAAGTAAAGAGAAGCTGGAAAAAGCACTCCTATTCCTACCATCCAAGGGACAATCTAACATATTAGGCATATTGCTTTTTCATTTTTTTAGCATTGTTGATCTAATTTTATACTTTTCATCATTTGATAAATCCTGCATTTTTCACTTTGCACATTATAATTTAATAGGTTTCATAAGTTAATGTATAAGTAACATTTTATAATATGAGAATATTTAATTCACCATTTCCCCTTCATTGGATTTTCAGGATGTTTCCAATTTTCTATTGCAAATCATATTTTCTGAGTTTCAGAAACATACATATATATATATATGTGTGTGTGTATATTAAGAGCTCACAAAAAATTGAAACGTGTGGGTGTGGATGCCTTTAGGTGTGGGATTGTTGAGATAGGGCAAGTATTTGCACTTTTATGTTACATATTTTATGTTATATATTTCTTTACTGTTTAAATCCTTTATAGCAAGCAAGGATGACTTTTGTAATTGTTTAAACAAAGGAAGGAAGCAGGAGAGGGAGAAGGGGAGGGAGGAAGGAAAGAAGAAAAGGAAGTAGATCCCTGTACCAATATTTTTTATAAAGAGCCGGGAAGATCAAGAACCACGAGAAGTGACCACTCCCATATATCTTTTGTAGAACAAAAACAAGTACAAATCTATAAATAAGAAAGTAGGTATATTTGGGATTTAATTTCTCTGAGCAAAAAGGGAAATAGCAAACTGCAAAATACCCCAGCCCAACTTACTGATTGATTTTGGATTCTGTGATATTCCCAGCTTTATCTTTCAATTTGATTGTAATGGAGCCTCTTCTTATGTTCTTATTCCAAGTTATAATGTCCACAAAGTAATGATATACTGCAAAACAAGGAGAGAGCACAACGAGAGAAGGATACTCTCAACGGCTCCACTGAAAGGTCAGTTCCTAAAAACCCAACCTGCCTCATAACTTGAGTCTCTTGTTCTCTTCCTCTCTAGTTTCTCTGCAAAGATCCAGGGCAGAATTTTCTAATATTCCTTTCCATTCTTTTTGGTAGATATGGCCTGGGTGATGGAGAATTCAGTGGTCTCCAGTTGTCATGTTCAAGCACCACAGTTGGATTGGTGTTCCCACCTTATTGACTGATTGACTGAGGTATCATGGCCTACTGCTGAGTGTGACTGGCTCATTGTAATCTCTGCCCTTGTACGATAAACCAGCAAGGCGTCCACGTAGAGACTCTCTAGAGCTGACAAGGTCTTCCACAATCTGGGCCGTGTCCACCAGCCTCCCTCATGTCTTCCCCAGTCCTGCCATATCACCTGCACTGCCAAACTGTCCCTTGCTCCTGAGCCTTCTTACCACTTGGACACTCTTACTTTGCCCCTTTTGACAACTCATCCTTCAGGTTTTGGCTTAATGTCCCTTCCTCCACGAGACCTTCACTGACCCTCAGACTAAGTCAGATTTCCCTCATAGAATTTTTATTATGCTCTAGTATTCTCCTGTCATTATAGTCAACACATTTACCTATATTTACAAAGTGCAAGAAAAAAAGTGATAATCAAAAAAAAGTGGTCTGTGTATATATATATATATATATATATACAAATATTGCCTGAGTAATGTCTTATGCAGTTAAAAAAATAAAGTTAAAATATACTACAGCAATAACTGGGAAGGGATTCCTCTTTATAATCCTGGAAGTAGTACCTTATAGGCATTCAGAATATTTCTACTAAATAAATGAGAATGCATGATGTGTTCAGAAAATTATTCTTCCTCCCTACTCTTTGCTTCCCAAGGTCAATGATGCTTTGGGAAGATGGGTTCCCACAGTGGTAGCCGGATTTGCTATCCTTTGATCAGACTTGCAGAGAAGGGAGTGGAATCTCAGGGAGATGTTGGTTCCAGAAATAAGGTCAGCCCTGGAGTATCCATTTCACGGCCCATTATTACTTGGGCACTTGCCTCCCTTGAACCGGGTAGACAGCAAACCCTGGGCTGTCACACATGGCTCCAAAGGGGGAGGGAAACACACTGATCTGCAGCCTCTTTTATTAGGGTTGCTCCTAAGAAGAGTGAAAAGGGGAACAAGATTACAAGACATGCCCAGGAAAATTTCTACTTGATTTCCAAGACATCCAGTCATCTGCTGCTACACTTAGCCCCCATCTGGAATATCCAAGCTCTCAGTGTCTTTAGAAGATCATCATGGTTGCTTTGGAGCTGGAACTGACCCATAGATGTGGCTGATACCTGATTTCACTGAGCCACAACCTCGGGTCTTTGGAGGAGTCAAGCACATTTTCTGGAAGATCTTAGTGATTAGAATGGCTATCCAGGTGGTACCTGGATAGCTCAGTCAGTACAGCATGCAACTCTTAACCTTAGGGTCTTGAGTTCAAGCCCCATGTGTGGTGTAGTTTGCTTAAAATCCTTTTGTAATAATAATAATAAAAAAAAAAACGGGATGCCTGGGTGGCTCAGCGGTTAGGCGTCTGCCTTTGGCTCAGGGCATGATCGTGGAATCCCGGGATTGAGTCCCACATCGGGCTCCCTGCATGGGGCCTGCTTCTCCCTCTGCCTATGTCTCTGCCTCTCTCTCTCTGTGTCTGTCATGAATAAATAAATAAAATCTTAAAAAAAAAGAAAGAAAGAAAGAGCCATTCAGCAAAGCTAGCAATTATGATTTGTTGAGATTGAATCCTTATAACCCAGGAGATAGGCATTATTATCTCTATTTTACCTAGCAGGACACTGGGACTCAGAAAGGTTAAATGTCTTGACCAAGGTCACATAGCTACTGTGTGGTAGAGTCGGGATTCAACCAAAGTCTTCCAGCTCCGAAGTCCACACTTCATTGTGGCCTTCGTTTACCAAGAGGTAGCCAGGAAGCTGAGACACAGTCATTTTTTAAAAGGGGGGGGGGGGTTTGAAAGGCAAACAACCACATCCACCACTCACTGCAGTATGGTTTCTCCTCAGCTGTGTCGAAGAACGCTTTAGTCATAGGAGGATTTTTCTGCTTTAAATACTCTTTCCAATGATCAGCATAATAGCCTATAAAGCAAGTTGGAAAAAGGTAACTAACATGTATTACATAAATGTAAAAGCAGCTGGGGAGGCAGTGGGAACAGTGAGTTTGACCACCCACACCACCAAGACAGTCTCCCTCTTACACCCCTGCTATGGGGAGGACCTACAGGGCCACCAGGCCCTACTTCCCCTGCATCTCCCATACCTTGCTTGCTACCTCATCTCTCAGAGCTGGGACTTGCAAAATGACTCCACTGTAGCTCTCCCCCCTTTTTACTGACGTATCACCCTGGTTCTCAGTGGCACACTAGTTCTCTCACACCCTGGTTAGGCTAAGAATAGCACTGACATTTTTCAGTAATACATTCATTTTATAGATTAAAACAGATTCAAGTTTACACCTAAAATACCAGCACTCTGGCAAAGCATTGTACTTTCATGAAGAACTACAATTAGGCCCCTAAATTGCACAGAACCTGAGCTTGCTATGAAAACGTGGGCTTGCCCTTTGAACAATGAGAAAATTCCCATGATCATCCAGTTTCAAAGTCCTCACCATCTGGAATACTTCTACCAACCCTTAGCAAATATCCAAGCAGCCTTCACAGTATCTGCTACCCCCACCCCATCCCGTATGTGCACATAAGGACCAGGGCTCAGAGCTCCTGGGTGGCTCAGGTTGAGCATTTGGCTCAGGTTATGATCTTGGGGTCCTGGGGTCAAGTCCTGCAGTGGGCTCCCCCCAGGGAGCCTGCTTCTCCCTCTGCCTGTGTCTCTGCCTCTCTCTGTGTGTCTCTCACAAATAAATAAATAAAATCTTTTAAAAAAAGAAAGAAAAAAAAAAGAACCAAGATTCAGGGGTGCCTGGATGACTCAGTTGGTTAAGGTTCCAACTCTTGATTTCAGCTCAGGTCATGATCTCAGGGTCATAAAGTCAAGCCCCATGACCAGCTCTGTGCTCAGTGGATTCTCTCCCTCTCCCCTCTGTGCCTCTCCCTACCCACATTCTCTCTAAATTAAAAAAAAAAAAATCAGGATTCAGTGTGAGGGCATTTACCAGACACAGTTCATTGGAAGGGGTCATTCTGTGGGGCCATTTGACAGGAGAGCCTGGGCCCACTGTGACCCTCCCCCATCAGAGAGGTTATGTGCATCAAGAGGATGTTTCTGTCCCCATGAGAACAGGCTATGTAAAGTGACTATGCCCTTGGTGGGCTTGGAAACTTTTTTGGAACCTTCTTTTTTGTGCTAGAGTGTCCAGGGAGGTTGCACTGCCCTCTGGATGAAATTGTATGCAAATGGCTTTCCTAACACTGTTTATGAGTAGGAAGGCCAAGAGTGCTTCACAGAACAGATTGGCTAGAAAAAGCTAAGTAAATATTTTTTTAACAATGCAATTTTCAGGCGCATTTTTATTTGCTTGTTTATTTGTTTATTTTTAAGATTTTATTTATTTATTCATGAGAGACACAGAGAGAGGCAGAGGGAGAAGCAGACTCCCTGCACGAGCCCAATGCTGGATTCGATCCCAGGACCCTGGGATCAACCCTGAACTGAAGGCAGATGCTCAACCACTAAGCCACCCAGGTGTCCCTCAGGCCCATTTTTAGATAGTAAAATGGTGCTGGGATTCTACCAAAAATAAACTGTTTGTTCATCAGAGGGGGAAACTGCTTGTTGGACTTACCCAGAAGGGGACAGGACTCCTTTTGTGGTATGCCACAGTTGACACACTTGCCATTCCTATAATCCCGGTAGGAGTCACAGGGATATGCGGTAATGGAACAGTTCTCTCTCAGAGAAGAAAGGTACAGGTACACAGACCTCTGGTGGTCACACTTAAAATACTTCAATCCTTAATTGTAAAAGGAATGATGAAAGAGTAGAGCAGTTGTAGCCTTTAATGATAGCACATCACGTTCCATACACCCACAATTCATCATCTGTCCTATATGCCAGGTACTGTGCTAACAGCTTCAATGTATTTTATTCCATTTAATCCTTATAAAAACCCATAGATCAGGATTCATGCCGGCATGTGGCAGGATAAAAGAAGATAGGCATGATTACCCCCATCTTGCCCAGCAGGACACTGGGATTCAGAGAGCCTAAATGACTTGACCAAGGTTACACAGCTATTATGTGGTAGAAACAGGACTCAACCTATGTCCTTTGTCGGTGAAAAGGAAGAGAAAAATCAATGGTAGATTTTCCCCAGAGATTCTCAGCAGAAGGCAAGCACATTTAAACTAGTATAGACATCAGAGAAAGAAGGAATTGAGGAGTAATTGGTAGAGGAAGATCCCCAAGGAGGACAAGCAGAGGTGACAGCTTTGAAAAGGAAGGGGAGATGCTTCCACCCTGGGGGCAGAAGGGAACATGAATGTGAAGACTGATCTTGTAAACTAAGATGAGGATAGATAGAATGGCTCCCTCAGTAAGATCTTAATCTAGGCGAAAAAGGCAAATCTAGACCAATTTTAAGAGGTGAGGAGGGTTTATAGGTAGTGAGATTTTTGGAATAGAAGCATCAGGAGTGATCACAGGGAGTCAGAAGAGATAAACATAAGGATTCTCTGGTATCACTGAGAGCCATGGAAAGGTTAGCAAGTTTGCCTGGATCTAGTACTCAATTAACAATGCTCCATGGCAGCTCCAGAATGTTCTCAAGCTAAGGTGGGTGACTTGGCAGAGACCTCCAGGGGTTCTGTACTGGGAGTACACAGGGCATTCATGAAAAGCCCCATGGTAGGGGTTCCATTTCTGCTACAGGGTGAAGGGTGACGTAAGAGGAATTGAACAATGCATGGTGGCAAATGGTCAAGCCATGAATGGTCAAGAAGAGGTGACAAGCAAGCCTCCAGTTAATTCCTAGTGGGTGGGAGGTGGTGCCATGGTGAGAGAGGAAGGCATCGAGGTGCAGAGAGGGCATCGGGAAGGTTAGACATGATGAAGCACTGCAGCACACAACACTGTTGGAAGGTGGATGGGTCCAATGATGAAGTCATTCATTCAGAAAAGGGTGTTGGGTCCCAAAGATGGGTAAACAAAGGAGGTGAATATCTGAGTAGGAAACAGTGATTATGAGCCAGTGGTTTGGATAGGCACTGAGTTCTGGAGTCAGATCCATGTTTCCTTTTCCCCCAGAGTCCACTTATGTCCATAGAGGAGATCAGTGAAGGACAGAAATAAACTGGGGCCAAGAGAAGAGAAGCATCGGTTGGCATGGGGCCAAGCTGGACTGGACTTAGTCTGACAGGTCAATATTGACTTATTGCTCCTGGAACTTCCACTTGCAGAAACAATGACATTGATAACAATACAGAGAATGTCCTTTATAAGCAAAGCACATTATCAGGACAGGATTTGAACACACACAATTTATGATACAATTTGGTTGACCCTACTAATGCCATTTCATCTGGATCATTTTCAAACACCACATAATTCCCGTGGGGCCATATACAGCCACCATTTTGTAACAAGATCATCTTTTTCTAGGATCATATCCATGATTATTTAACTTTCTCTAGCAATTGTGAAATACAGATTCAGAGCACTTAAGGATGGATTATTTTGTTCTGTCCCTGCCCACCCACACATTACTTTTATGTTGCCCTCTATCTGTTTTTTGTTTTATGAGGTTTTTTTTTCATTATAAAATAATAAAATAATACATGCTCATTTAGAAAATATAAAACAATAGGAAATTATGCAAAAACCAGCTACAAGTCCAATATTCAGACTTCACCACTAATAATTATTTGCAGCATTTATGTTTAGTCTTTTTTTCTATACTTACTTACATATGTACGAATATAGATTTAAAAAACAAATTGGAAAAAAAACCAAATTGGGATCATACTGTATAGTTTTGTGTCTTTTGCACTTAATATCCCATTGTAAGCATTTTCATTAATCTGAAAACATGACTTTTTAACAATTATATTTCTTTGTGTGAGCGTACAATAGTTACTTAACAATTTTCCATGTTGGATATTTAGACTATTTCTAAAAATTTAGTTATCATAAACAATGCTGTGTCAGATATCTTTGCACTTCGATTTTTGTCTACCTTTTCCATTATTTCTCTGGAAGAAATTTTCAGATATGGAATTTCTAGAGCAAAGACACACCTTTGCAAGAAAGCAAGAAAGAGAAATAATTCATAATATCTTTTAATCATATGGTTATGGTTATGTGTTTTTTTATTTATTCTTTAAGTTAAGTATAATTAGCATACAGTGTTATATTGGTTTCAGTTGTACAATATAATGATTCATCAGTTCTACACACTACTCAGTGCTCATCATGATAAATGTATTCTTAATCTCCTTCACCTGTTTCACCTATGCCCCCACAACCACCCCTCTGGTAACCAACCCTCTGGTTCTTTTCTGTTTGTCTCTTTTGTACTTTGTTCATTTGTTTTATTTCTTAAAATCCACATATGAGTGAAATCATATGGTTTTTTTTTCTTTCTCTAATTTCACTTCACATAATACCCTCTAGATCCATCCATGTTGTGGAAAATGATTTGATTCATTCTTTTTTATGGCTGAGCAATATTCCATTGTATAAATATACCACATCTTCTTTATCCATTCATCTATGGATGGATACTTAGGTTGTTTCCATTTCTCAGCTATTGTAAATAATGCTGCAGTGGTTTTTTTTTTAAAGTAGTATATGTGAGTAATAATTTTTAATTTATAATTTATGTTTATGCTGTATCTTCTCAGATGATTTTTCTATTAAAAACTGTAACACATAGAATAATATCATATTTTTTAAATATGCCTTTTAAAATCACTACTATACAATATATAAAGTTTCTGCACTTACCTCCCAATATTGTCTTGGGGCAACCAGGTTGATCCAGTCCTCCATTTGGGTAGAAGTCTATGTTTCCTAAAGGCTCCCTGTAGCCCAGTGCTAAAGAAAAATAGACTATGCTTTTATTTTTGAATTTTCTCATTGCATAGCTCATTTGCCCAAAGGATATAGGCAGGGGTTGTGTTCTTCATATTGCTATATCTATTTAAATATTTTACCCAAAGTTACCCAGCTAGTTAATTAGAATGCAGATTTTTCCAACTAGGAGTCTATGAAAATGGTAATGGAATTTATTTCCAATATTTCTCAAGATATAAGGGTTTCGGTCACTCATTCACAGCAAGTCTGATAAAATGATGTTTCTTCTTTATATTTGGCTAGAAGCCTCTAAGTGCCAATGATTCCTGGGCCTGTAATTGAATTCATTTCAGTCTTTCATGAATAAGAAAAAAATAAACTTTTACTTTGTAAGAGACAAAATTTTTTAAATTGGAAACTCTTCTAGAAAATGGGAACAAAAAAAATTGTAGGTTGATTTACTAATTGCTTATTCTCTTTAACCTTGTAACCACAAAATAATCAGTTAAATCCTTGATTTAAATGATTATTTGTACACATACACTTATACAGTACATATATATTACAATAATAGTGGCTATTATATATGGAGAACCTGCATGTGAGCATGGTACTAGGTGTTTTATATACCTCTCTTCTAGTTTTTACAATGTCCACAAAGTGGCCGTTGGTAAATTCAGATGAAGTAAGTTACAGATGAAGACACTCAGAGGACTTACAGAATGAAATGACACTACGAGAAAGGACAAAACCTGGGATCTGAGTCCCCTCTGCCTGACTGCAAAGCTTATTGTCTGTCCTCAAAATTCACTCTCTCTCCAAGAATGAAAAATAAATTACTCTATTCCATCAAGCATGAAAATGGCATTGATGTAATGCCCTTCAGGAAGGTAATACTTTGCAAACTACCTTGTAAGAATGCAGCTATTTTACAGAGACATTTCCTCTAAGGCTGACAATTGCTGAATTGAGACCCTGTAATAGGCGAACATGGGTTTTTCTATCTCTTTTTTCTTTTTTGCCCCCCCCCAAAGATGGCAATTTCTTCTAAAAAAAAAAAGATTTTATTTCTTTCTTTAGAGACAGGGCATGAGCAGGGGGAGGAGCAGAGGGAGAAGGACAAGCAGACTCTGTGCTGAGCGTGGAGTCAGACACAGGGCTCTGTCCCCTGACCCTGAGATCACGACCTGACCTTAAATCAAGAGTCAGACCCGTAACAGACTGAGCCACTCAGGTGCCCCTGATCAAGGGTTTTTCAGGTGGTTGTATCACAAAGAAGGTATGTTACTAAAGACTGCTCTGTCCCCTCAGCCCTCCCCAGGCTCTAATCCCAGACATCGGGTTATAAAGATCCATCTTTAACATCACCCCAACCCCCATGTCATGTACCCATCCCAGATATGAAATCAGCACCATAAAAGACAAAAATGGCCAGGAATATCCACAGAGAGCTGCAGAGCTATAGATAGCTCAGAATTGCTCTATACATAGACACACAACATTTGCGCATGTCTTTTAGCTTAAGAAAATAATGAGGAAGATGGGGTACCTGGGTGGCTCAGTGGTTGAACATCTGACTTTGGCTCAGATCATGATCCCAGCTTCCTGGGATCGAGTTCCACATCAGGCTCCCCAGAGGGAGCCTGCTTCTCCCTCTGCCTGTGTCTCTGACTCTCTCTGTGTCTCTCATGAATTAATAAATAAAATCTTAAAAAAAAAAAAGAATGAGAAAGAACAAACAAAAATAGAAATCATACAACCAAATATATGGAAACATTTGTTCACATGCTGTGTAAATCAGTCTGCCCTTGACTGGTCAAGATGATCACCTTAAAAATAAGAAACGTTGATGGGAAAATTACCTCCACTCTAGCAAGACATCTTGGATGCCTACATTAAACCAGTGTCCCTTTAGTATCTCTGTGGATTTGGAACCCTGCCCCACAGGAAAAGAGAGAATCTGGAGGAACCTGATCCACCCCTGCATGATGATCCCCTCAGGGGGAGACACTTTAGGAGTGTGGGAGGGGGTGCTCACTGATCCACAAGGACAGGAATGTTACCGTCAATGTCAGAATGGATGACGTCAACGAACTGTGCATCACCAGGATCTAATCTGTCCTCAGGAGGTCTCCCATTGAATAAAGGGCCCGCAGGGTCAAGACCTGGAAAGAAAACCGAGTCAGCTGGGCAGCCCCACGCCATGAGTCACTTGCAGCTGGGCTTTTGATCCTTCCCCACAAGGATGGCAAACAGGCTGCAGGGCATTCTCAGGTGGGCAAGCACTTGCATTCCCATCCTGCTTTGTCAGGTTCCTTTCCACAGCCCTGTAGCCTTTTCCCACAGATGAGATGGTCACCCTGGCAGTGCCCTCTGAGAACAGCATCCAGACCCCATTAGGAGCTGTATCTTTTGTGGGGCTCAACACCAGGAAGTGTACAGACATATGGGGACTGGGGCATGGGGATAAACTGGTTCCTGAGGAAAAAAGCCCCTGAGGGTACATATAAAAAGCAGATGCTATACTTATGCTTATTGCATTTTAAATGTTCTAGGAACCTCACTCAACCTTTCCATCTTGTTATTAATCAAATTCCTTTACAGTTTTATTTTTTATTCGTATATACTAGCTCATATGATCCACATCACAAGCCTGTTGGGAGGCAGGGTAGCTGTTATTCCCATTTTACAGATGCAGGGACTGAGGTTCAGAGAGATCATGTGTCTTAACCAGAGCCACAGCCTCACAATGGCAATGACCTCTCTCTTTGTTGGGCTCTTGGTTTCATTGCACTGGGTTTGGCACACACGGTGGGAAAGTATGAAACTCACTGCTCAGGCCAGGTATCAGCGAGGGAAATAAAGTGGGTGTCAGTTCCTGCAGAACTAACCCACCCCATAAATGCCTGAGCTTATTTCTTGCCCTTGGTCAATGTTGGCTGGGTGTTCCTAACCATCAGCTGGAAAAACAAGAGTGCAGCTCCGGTGATGTTGTAACTACAAACGAAAAACTTTAAAACAACAGCAACAACAAACCACCAGAGCTTCCTAAAGGCCCTGCTAGTAACCTACCTGGATTGAAGAAGATTCCAAGGGATGTCTCAAAGTCTTTAGTCTGTGATAGTCATTTTGTTTTGTTTTATTTTATTTTATTTTATTATTTTATTTTATTTTATTTTATTTATCTGACAGAGAACACACAAGCAGGCAGAGCTGCAGGCAGGAAGAAAAGAAGCAGGCTCCCTGCAGAGCAGGGACCCCAACTCAGGACTGGATCCCAAGACCTGAGATCATGACCCGAGCCGAAGGCAGACACCCAACCAACTGAGCCACCCACATGCCCCTGAAAGTCATTTTAAATGGCATATTCCATCCCCTGGTGATCGCATTCTTGCCTGACTTTCCTGGTTCTAGTCTCAATCTTTCTATTTCTCCTCCCCAACACTTTTGCTTCCTTGAGGCTTGTCTCTATCTGCCCCCCTTCCTTATCTTTCTCTTCCCCACCCCTCCAGCTTTTCTTCTTCTTCAGTCTGCTCTCTAACTAAAACTGACATGGGTGGAGGTGGAACAACACTCAGACACCCAAGTCCACAGTACATTCTCAACACAGCAAGAGAAACTTGTAGCCTTAGAAAGAGTTTGCTGAGGAAGCCCCCCACCCCACCCCATAAGACAGCAGCACTTTTGATCTAAGAAAATGAACAAAAGAAGGAAAGAAAGAAGAAAGAAAGAAAGAAAAGAAAGAAAGAAAGAAAGAAAGAAAGAAAGAAAGAAAGAAAGAAAGAAAGAAAGAAAATGAACAGTGAGCATGCTGGTTTGTAGCAGCCTCTACATCCATGGCAGAGAAATCCACTTACTATAAACGTTCAAGCCAGAGCAGTTTTGAGAGTTTTGAGGGTGGTATTGGTAATTATATCAAGACAGGAGGCACAAATGGAGACTGGGATAGGAGGCTTGGATATATGATCACCTTAGTGACAATTGATAGCAAATCATCAGTTTACAATGTCAGCCAAAAATCACAATTAAAGTGCACTAAAAAGCTATGTGTTTTGTGTGGACAGAGGCTACTGGAGTCAGATAGATGTGACTTGGGGCCCCAAACCTAATACCAACCAGCTATGTGACCTTAGGCAAGTCTCTTGCCTTCTCTGAACCTCAGCTTTTTAAATCTGCAAAATGGAGGTTAGAATTAATAGCTACTTCAGAAGACTTATAAAAGGCCTCCTGGATCTGAATCCAGAAGATTTTGAGGTTATTATAGAGTAGAAACAAAAATGAGAAAATGGAGCTCTTTCTTATTCCCCAAAGATCACCAGAAAAGTGTCTAGATGGTGCTCATTGCCTTTTATTACAGCATTAACCAATTTGAGAATTTGATGAAAGCCCTAGACCTCTCCCCAGACAGACATCCAACATAAGACCTCACTCCAGGACCGATACTTGACATTTTGTGAGAGGCTTCAGGGGCCTCATATTCCCATCCCCAACTTCACTGTGAACTCTCCAAGGCAAGGCTATCCAATAAATAAAAGTGTAATGTGAGCTACATATCTGATTTTAAAATTTCCAGAAGCCAATTTAAAAGGTAAATAGAAATAAGGAGAATGAATTTTACTAATACGTTATATTTAATCCAATTTGGCCTAGCATATCCAGATGATCATTTCAACATGTAATATAAAAAAGTTGAGATTTTTTTTTTTAATATCCTCTTCTTTTTTTTAACTTAGTCTTTGAAATCTGGTATGTATCTTGCACTGAGAACATCTCAGTCTGCATGAGCACATTTCAAGTGCTCAGTGGCTACATGTAGCCAGTGGCTACTATATGGGACAGCAGCACAGCCCTATGGTCATTTCTCAATGTATGGTGTTCAGACCACCTACCTCTTCTGCTTTAAAGTAGACACCTGGGCCCCAACCCCAGAGTGCTGGTTCAGCAAGTTGGCATGGTAACTGGCACCCCATGGGATTTTTACACACCCTTAAGTTTGAGAAACAAGGGGCAGCCTGGGTAGCTCAGCGGTTTTGCACCTGCCTTCAGCCCAGGGCGTGATCTCCTGAATAAATAAAATCTTTAAAAAAAAAATTTGAGAAACAATTGTAATGTATTATCAAGTGATGTCGGTATTTGGAATATTTTAAAATCCACTCATGCTCTTATGTGGATCATGCCGCCATCTTGTGTTAAAGAAGTTAATGAGAAATAGGCGGTGCCTGGCTGGCTCAGTTGGTAGAGCCTGTGACTCTTAATCTCAGGGTCATGAGTTCAAGCCCCATGTTGGGCAGGGAGCCTATTTAAAGAAACAAAACAAAACACAAATATTAAGAAGTTAATGAGAAATAAAACCAGGCGATGTGCCTAGACAGAAAAAGCAAAAGGAAGAGCAGATGAAAGAAGAGAAATGGAGGAAATGAAGCAGCCATTATGGCCTACCTGATTAATAAGCAGAAGCATCTAATCCGGGGGAGTTGGGTTGGGTGTGAATTGTGTCCCTAGGCAACAGGCCCAATTCCCACTCCACACTCCAGTGAGGCCAGTCAGAAAAGGCAGTGGGAGGTAATCAGAAAAGGGAAACGCTTCACCCCTGAAGCTTCTCTGGGGGACAGCCGAGATTAGCTTTAGGGATCAGAGAGGATGAAGAATCTGGAGAATGTGGGAAAGTCAGGAAGCCAGAAAATTGAGCTGTGGACCATTAGCGGTGTCCCAGCCACAGAGTAGGGCCACGGGGCCCAGAGTGGAAGGTAGGTTGGCTTGGGTTATACTGCACTCACAGTCACAGTAGTGATGGGGACAGGTTTGCTGGGAACAAAACTGGGGGTGAGATAGGATGGGCAGGCCCAATGGTGGGCTGGAGTCCTCCAGGGCCAGCACTAGACAGCAGACTTTGCTCATCTCTTCCCAAACTTCATGGTTAGTGATGTCAGGTTGATAGCTTGAAGTCAGCAGTGGTGAGAGTATTCAACCCATGGAGATCAGCAAACACTACAAATCAGGATTTTTGTGGGGAGGGTGGTCATGGGGAGATCTGTTGGGGTTCTGAACACAACATGGAGGAAAGTCCCCCCACCAGAAGAGCTCCCAACAGATAAGGGGCACAGCAGATTCAAGCCTTCTGTCCTTTGATCCTATAGGGAAATGAAACTTTTTTAAAAAATATTTGTTTTATTTATTTATTTATTTGAGAGAGAGAGAGCGCGCGCACACTTGGGGGGAGGGGCAGAGGGAGAAGTAGACTCCCCACTGAGCAGGGACCCAGACTTGGGACTGGATCCCAGGACCCCAAGATCATGACCTGAGCTGAAGGCAGACACTTAACCAACTGAGCCACCCAAGGGACCCTGGGAAATGAAACTTTTTAAAAAAAAGGACATGTTGCATTCTAAAACATAAAAATAATAATGTAAAAAACTTAAAAAGAGCTCTGCCTCCCTAGGAAAGCAGGTAAATGAAATGAGGGTGGCCTTGGCCTTTTGAGTGAAAGTGAGAAAAAAAAAAGTACCAGGGAAAACAAAACAATGTGACCTCAAGTATTGGGACTAGAGGAGACACCAATGATGTCTGTGTGTGTGTGTGCATGTGTGTGTATGCGTGCACACGTATGAGGGGGGAGACAGGGGGACAGAATGATTGCTCCTGGCTACCAGTCAAGTAGCACATTCAGAGACTGTGACCCTAAAAGTTTATCTCACAAACATAGTTAATTTGAATCTTTCCTTCCTCTGTTCACTTCTACCTTCCAGATTCCCTAGATTCAAAATAGCTCTGTGTGAGATGCATTCTGGGAAGGGCACGAATGGGGGGAGAAGGCTTCAGTCCCTGAGACAGAAAGGCTCCCTCAGCCTGTCCTCTGTGGCTGTGGAAAGTTACTGGAACAGCGGGTGAGGGAATCAGCAAAGCAGTCTTTGTTTGCGGTTTCACCTGCTGTGTTTCTGAGTTTTCATTCAGCTTTGTCCTGAAAGCTCATATTCAGAGGGTAAAACTCACTATCAAAATTCCCATCTCATTTTCCTATCATGAGACTCAAGCTATGCCTGGGAATGGGAATGTATTAGGTATATGGTTCAGGCTAACTTAGATTAAATGAAAGGAAGATGGCTATCTGTTTGAAGGGCACAGATCAAATCCCCAAGGACCATAGCTGTGTTTTCTAACCAGAAGAGAAATAAAGTTACCATCAATCTTTTCTATGGAAGATACAATTTACAATTATATGTGCTTTGCATGTATTCTATTAAATAATAACCTGAGGACCATCTAGGTGGCTCAGTGGTTGAGCATCTGCCTTTGGCTCAGGGCATGATCCCAGGGTCCTGGGATTGAGTCCTGCACTGGGCTTCCTATGAGGAGCCTGCTTCTCCCTCTGCCTATGTCTCTGCCTCTCTGTGTCTCTCCTGGATAAATAAATATTTTATATTTTTAAAAAAATAAATAAAAAACAAATAACCTGAGGTCAGTATTTTCATGGTCTCTCCTTTGCACCAAAGGACACACACTCAGAGGGTTTAAGTAATTGGAAGAGCTGGCTTTGAACCTAAGGACTCGGATTGCCTGCATCATGTTCCCCTAGATGCACCCTGCCCAGGCCGACTAACCCGTGCCCATTCACAGGAAGCCTTACCTGTAATTCTCCCCAGCTGCCCATTGTACATCTTTCCAACAAACCCAGCTATGTGGGCTCCTAGACTTACTCCAATGATATAAATGTTGTCAAGAGAAGCTCCTTTTACCTGGAATTTCAAGAGGTCCATCATTATCGATTATGATGACAACGTTTAGAGGAATTTCCTAAACTTGACTTTGGAAATGGTTCTTAAGAGAAACATTTCTAAGCAACTTATATCTATGAGCTCACTTAAATGTTACAACCCCACAAAGTAAATACCATTCTTTTGATTATACATATGAGGAAACTGAGGTCCAGTGTCAAAGTAACCTGCCCAATATCAGGTAGGGAGAGGTAGAGCAGGAGTCAAACCAGTCTGTTCAACTCCAAGCCTGGGCCTTAACCTTTATGCTGTGGTGTCTCCATTCATGCTTCTGCTAGAAATCAGGCAGAAACATCTCTAAATCCCTCCCAATTGAGAAGGGCAACAAAACATTTTGGTGAACTCCTTTATCTTCATGCTGGCTCTGTTAATGGGCAGAGAAGGAAGGAAGGAAAGGAAGGGGTGGGGATGAGGGTACCACTCACCACAATCTGCTGCGACAGCCTGTGGTGAGTCATGTTAATATTATTCACTTTCCTAGGGCTGTGGCTTCAGTGGGAGAGCTTGTGTGAAAGTTCTGCTGCCCCTGGCCACAGTGGCCTGATTCTTTCTGAGATAGTTCTGATATAGTCACTTTTTTGGTTTCTTTCTTTCTTTCTTTCTTTCTTTCTTTCTTTCTTTCTTTCTTTCTCTTTCTTTCTTTTTTGTAAAGGGGGCAATTCATGAGATAGATCACTAAATAAAATGTAAGATTTATTTAATCTTTGTGAGTCTTCTAAAAACATAAATCATACACACACACACACACACACACACATCTCTCTTCAGAACATGTGTATCAGCTTTGCTTTTGGATAATCCAGTCAGTAAACTTTAGGCACGTCTAGGAAGAGGAATGGCTCTAGAAGATGAAGAAACTCTACACAGTGAAGCCAGAAAACCCCTAGACAGAACCTCTCTTACCCATGACACCTTTATGTGACTTAGAAAAAGATATCCCTTCCTGAGTATACTTTACTGTTATTGCTGGCAAATATAATAAATATGTAGGTCTACAATGTGTGCAGTGACAGTGGTGCTCCCTTAGATGGCTGCCCTGTGCAGTGCACAACTTACACAACCATACTTTTGGGCCTTCCCTCCACCTGGGCTCTCTACTTTCCCTAGAGCTTAGCTAGGTTTTCAAAATAATCCCCCTGTTCCCTATAGATATCTCGTGGTTTCAAATCTCCAGATAATGGGCCAGGTTCAATCTGGCCCTGAATCATACAAGAGAATTCTCTCTTACCAACATCTGGTCGATAAATTCCTTCAAGACATTTGCGACCTTTCTTGTCTTACTGGAGGCGTGGTTGTATATTACAGTTGTAGCTCCTCGATTCCAATCAACAATAACCACATTCATGTCTTCTACATCAAGCAAACCCTGTACTAAATCCTCCATCCAAACTGGAGGGGAGCCTGTAGGCCTGAATCCATGGACAATGAAGGTGGTTTTCTTGGTCATGTTCAAGTTCCCAAAAACTGTGGAGTTGATGACTTGTGCACAGGTCCGGTTTTTTCTTGTGTAGAGCATCAACTTCACATTTAGTCCTGTACCAACCACTGCACTGTGAAAGCTCAGTCTGGTGAATGAAGGACATGTTTCATCTGGGTCTGAAAATGAAAATTAGATGGCATCATAACAGTTCTTTCCTCAGTTGGGTGTCAAGCAAAAGTGCTGCCCTACAGTCATTGGAGTTCTTTCTGTGCTTCACACACTCAGCAGGAGGCTGCATCAAGTTGAATGAAGTTGCAAAGTCATACCCCACTCAGCACACTTCAGCAGTGACTTCTTTTTCACCAGGAAACCCTTTTTTCCAAATCTTACTCTTCTTCAAAGTCCAACCCAAAAGTCACTTCAATGAAACCTACTCCAACTCTCCCCAGCCTTCAATACTGTCTTGCATTCCAGAACTCCCAAAACCTCTGTAACTCATTGACAGCAACATAAAAACATTGCAGCGGTGCATTATGGGTATTAATGTACATGTGTGTCTATCTTGCTGGATCACCTCCTTGGAATGGTGCCTTAGAACCTGTGTATCCCTCACAGTGCCCAGCACATAGTAGAGGTCTCAGTAACTGCATCTGCTTGGACCAAACACCTTTCCTTGTCTAGAGCGCCTGCCTGGGACAACAGTGGAGACAGTGATGTGCCTTGTTCTGAGCCTTTCATTAGTATCTGAAACAGTTGACCATGGTGCCTTCTTGGACTCTCTCCTTCTTTGTGTCTCAAGCACCACCTTCAAGCATTCATCCTGCTGTGTAAGCTCTAAGGATAGCCTTAGGAGAAAGGTTGGAGATGAGGTGGAGCAAAGCAAAAAGACAAGCTGGAGCATCTTGTTACAGCAGAAAGTAAGAGACTATTTATAAAAACAGGTCATAAGGACACAGGAAGCCAGCCTGAAGGGGCTTCTGCTGGCCAGATCTGGTGTATTTGAGCACAAAATAATTAAAGACAATAATGAGTTATGAACCTTTGGAAAGAATTAGGGATCCATGATTCCATAACAAATAGATAAAGAAGCAAAGAAACAAATAAATGGAAGAGAGAGGAGGACTCTTGGTATAGTGCTGAATGCCAGCTGGTAAATGTGGAGTGAAGGCTGGAGTTGAAACTCATCATTTTGCAGCCTTCATAATGAAGATGGGTTAGGCAAGAATTATCAGTGGATGCTAAACTGAGGTGGTGGTTATTCTGAGAAGGAGCACATGTGTATGGTCTTAAACTTTCTCCTACAGATTGCTGATTAGTAATTAGGGGAGAAGTAGTAACTATACAAATAGAGAATTTGAACAACATCTTGACTAGATTATCAAACTGAACGTTGCCAAGGAGGGGCAGACAGACACATGTGCCCCTAGCTGTAGTATTCCAGGGAGGCATGTATAACCTGAACCTAACTATGGAGAAAAATCAGACAAACACAAAATGAGGAATATACTTTTTTTTTTTTTTAAAAGGACCTGTAACGGCTGGATGCTGGGTGTGTGGTAGCTGTGGCTGGTGCTGGCAGGGAAGGGGGCTTCTGTGAAAAAAAAATATTTCTCTTTTTAAGATTGTATTTATTTATTTCCTAGAGAGAGAGAGAGAGAGAGAGAGAGAGAGAGAGAGTGTGTGTGTGTGTGTGTGTGTGTGCAAGCAGAAGGAGGAGCAGAGGGAGAAAGAATCTCAAGCAGGCTTCATGCTGAGCAAAGAGCCCAAAGTGGGGCTCAATCCCATGAACCTGAGATCATGACCTGAGCTGAAACCAAGAGACAGTTGCTAAAAAAAAAAAAAAAAAAAAAAAGATTTTTTTTTAAATTTATTTATTCGGTATAAGAGACACAGAGAGAGGCAGAGATACAGGCAGAGGGACCCTGGGATCATGCCCTGAGCCACTCAGGTGTCCCGCATGCCCAAAAAAATTCTTAAAGAAAAAAAAAGTTTTAAAGATTAAAAATAAAAAGTGACCCATATTCTTAAAAAAAGATTAATGTCATAAAGGACAAATACAGGCTATGGAAATGTTCTAGATTAAAGGAGATTGAAGAGATGGGATATATAAATGCAATATCTGGTCTTAGTTTGGATCCTGTAATGGAAGAAAAAAAAAGTCATACAATAAATTATTGGGTCAATTGACAAAATTGGAGTGTGAACACTAAATTAGATAAAAGTATGGTATCAGCATTATATTAATTGAGGTTGATTAACTATACAGATATATAGTTGATTAACTAACTATATATCTCCCCTAGGTTATGTAGGATATAATCCTAATTCTTAGGAAATACAGCTTAAGTATTTATAACTAAATGGCCAACTTATTCTTAAATGGTTCAGAAAAAGAAAATTAGGGGCAGAGAGATAACAAATGATAAAGCATATATAGCCAAATGTTAACAGTAGGTAAATCCATGTAAAGGGTTATTGGTGTTCTGAGTATTTTTTTTTAATTCTTGTAGCTTTTTTGAAACTTTAAAATTATTTCCAAATAAAAGCTTAAATAAAAGGAAAAAGAAAGTGGACAGGGCCATATCAGTAAGATGAAAAGTGGGAGTGAGGTTGTGAGTTCTGATATCAGAAAAATAAAATAGATAATAATGCTTAACTAAAGTCTTCTGTTTGAAAGGGAACAGGGAGTTGGAAATAAACTAAGGATCAAGATGCAAGGTGAAAGAGGGGTTAGGAAGGAAGAAGGGCTTTGGGGTCCTTGGGTACTGAAACAGAGTGTTACTTCTGAAACATTATGTTGAGCCTTGATCAAGAACCACAATCAAATAGAAGTTAAAAGTAAGTCTCTGATCCAACAATATGATGTTTGGGAAGACTGTTTTTTTTTTTTAATGATAAAAATGATTTAAAATTGTGTTACTCCCCACTCTCCTACATCCTATTTGGCTGAGAGAAAGAGCCACATTGGAGGTGAAGTGCAGCAACAATCAGTCCCTAGGTGCAAGCCAGAGATGGTTCTTTAGGATATTCAGGGGGAGGGGGCAAGGTCCTACGGATGACCATTCTTTGTGGGAGGGAATAGGAGGGGAAGACTATTGACTTGTAACTGGCCAACAGGAGACAAGAGTGCCTTGGAAAACACCTGTTCTGTCTTCCTCCAATAGAAACTTAAGAACCTTTTGCCCTGGGCCCTTATTCTCAATGAATCTACACTTGCACACCCAGGAATAGCTCTTCCTTCATTCTGAGGCACAGAACAGACTTCATCCTGGTGTCTCTACCCTTTTTTAATAACCTATTCAGGGGCCCCTAGGTGGCTCAGTCGGTTAAGCATCTGACTCTTGGTTTCACTGAGGTTGCGATCTCAGGGTTGTGATCTCAGGGTCTTGGGATCAAATCCTGTGTTGAGCGCTATGCTCAGCAGAGTCCGCTTGGGACTCTCTCTTCCTCTCTCTCTGTCCCTGCCCCCTGTGCTTGCTCTCTCTCTGTCTCAAATAAATAGATCAATCTTAAAAAAAAAAAACAAAAAAACCCGGTCCATTCATGCATGCTTTTATTTTAAACATCTTGCAAAGACTCTGGTGCTCAGCAATGCATGAAGTTCCAAAATAGAATGAGCAGAAGAAGGTCAAATAGAAGGTTAAAAACCCTCACCCTAGAAAATACTGGTTAAAAATTGAACCCTATACTCACGTATTCCTCCATTTGCTCTAGCATGTACAGTGATTCATGCTCACAATTGATTGTCTTCCCCTTCCCTCAGTTTTATTGATATATAATTGACATAACATTGTGTAAGTTTAAGGTGTAAAGCATGATGGTTTGATATATGTACATATTGTAAAATGATTTCCACAAAAATCTTAACACACCCATCATCTCACACAGTCAGATGTTTTTGTGTGTGTGGCAAGAACATTTAAGATCTACTCTCTTAGCAAATTTCAAGGATACAGCCCAGTATAATTGACTACAGTCACTATGTTGTGCATCAAATGGCAGACCTTACCCACTTGTCTATGTAAACATTTTCCCCATCTTTTGGCCCCTTCCATTTTCTTCTTTCTGTAGATTGCATGCTTCTGGAAAATGTGGCCTGAAATTTATCTCATGTTTGTAGAGCAAGACCCAGAGCAAATAATTGACTGTTTAATTAGTCATTTTACTGAAGAAGATGTGTCACGAGGTAGGGCTGAGCCTCTTGGGCTCAGCCATCAGTAAAACTTGTCTTTGTTCCTAATTGTGCAACTGACTCACCTGACAACCTGGGGAAATTACGTCATCTTTCATTTATAACCTGCCTGCCCAAGAGAGGAATGCTGAGGAGATTAATTATGAATGAGATCATACTTGGGAACATGGAGATCCCCTTCCAAAGAAGGGGACTATTTAATTGTTAGGTCGTTCATTTTGAGCCATACTAGGCCAGTGTGTCAAAAGTCACATATCTGGGTCATTGAAAGGCTCAGACTAGAGTCATAAAGTTTGGGTCAGAGCTATTTTTCAGCACAGGTGCCATGTCTGTGGAATGGCTCAACCAACCTCTTTGAATTGCTGAGTCTTTACTAAACCCCTTTACAATGGGTAGTTACTGGAAGGCAAGAAGAGCAGAACAAGTGGATTTTTATGTTATTTTTTTAAGGGAGGCTCCACACCCAGCATAGAGCCCAACACAGGGTTTGAACTCCCAACCCTGAGATCAGGACCTGAGCTGAGATCAAGAAGCAAGACACTTAACTAACTGAGCCACCCAGGTGCCTCCAAAACAAGTAGATATTTTTCATTTGCTAGAACCACTTTGACTTCATATATTTTTTAATGTCTTATTTTTATAATGGCATTGAGCTCTGGAAAAGCCCATCATAAGTACTGAGTGAAAAATGAAATATTTATATATGTTATAACAGCTTTATATATATTCTGTCTCATTCTCAGAGGAAATGTACAATTCATCCAATAAGTTTACCCTCCCCTAGGTCCTGGGTCAGGTAGCATTTTAGAGGGAGAGTTGGGCATTAATGAAATAAAACACACAAGTAAAAACAAAAGAACAACAACAAAAAAAAAAACCCCACACAAGTAAGCATGAAATTACAACCTTTGATATATGCCATGTAAAAGAGATATGGTATAAAATAAGAATTTAAAGAGTGAGTTTCCCCTGATCTGGGAATCA